CTCAGATTTTGGGCTCGCTAAGTTGAGGAAAAAGGAGGACATGGTGACCATGTCAAGGAGGAGGGGCACACCGGGCTACATGGCACCTGAATGGATCACTGCTGACCCAATCACTTCAAAAGCTGATGTGTATAGTTTTGGCATGGTGCTTTTGGAGCTTGTGAGTGGAATTAGGAACTTTGAGATCCAAGAATCTGTGGTTAGGAGTGAGGAGTGGTACTTCCCAGGTTGGGCCTTTGATAAGATGTTCAAGGAGATGAGAGTGGAGGACATCTTGGATGGGCAGATTAGAAACGCTTATGATAGCAGAGCTCACTTTGACATGGTTAATAGGATGGTAAAAACTGCCATGTGGTGTCTACATGATAGGCCTGAGTTGAGGCCCACCATGGGCAAGGTGGCTAAGATGTTGGAAGGGACTGTGGAGATCCTTGAGCCCAAGAAGCCCACTGTTTTCTTCCTTGGAGAAGAGTAGATTCATTTTATTACTCATCCCAGATTCATAGAATTTTTTTTTTAAAGTACTTCTTTTTGTGTAATATTTGATTAGCATCTTTTGTAGCGGCATGGTGACGTGGGTGTGTGGTCAATGTTTGAACACAACTGATAAATTGGGTGATCAAGTGTGTAAACATTACCCTTTTTACATGAGTATCAAATGTTACGAAGGAAAACTTGCATGAATCATACGAATTAAATAGGTGTTATTATGTTAAAAAAGCATTTGATGGAAAAAAAGATAATTAATTATAACAGATTAACCAATCAAACATATTCTGCATATTTTGTGTAATTCATCTTCATACAATTCTGTATATTTTTAATTTTCTTTTATCCAAAGATCCCATATATAAATTCATAATTCTGTTATCGATTTTAGACTGCAAATACATATCTTATTAACTTGTTCACGGTTGGATCCTCCGTATCACTGCTCGCCCTTCGCATCACCATCATGCACCTTACTTTTCCCCATGGCTTATAAGGTGTTTGATTAAATGCCTACCACAGTTTTGTTTATGGAATTTTCAGGATGCCCAGTTGATGAACATGTTATGTTTTATGTTCTTCCAACATTGCAGACACCTATTTAGGTCCATTAAACCACTATTTCAAGTTTGCATTAATACGTGAAATTTTGTTTCAAATGTATAATTTAATTAAGACGAGAATTGTGTTCATAAGAGCTAAAAATGATGAAATTCGAAATATTATTCTCAAATTTCTTAATTTCTCAATTTTGCATCCCAAAATGTGATAGGGATGAGTTGAGGTTCCTGGAATGCTGATAGGATTTATTATCGAAAATGAAAAGGAAAAATACAAGTAAAAGAAAAATTAAAAAAGGAGAATTTTCAATAAGGAAAGACAAAATGACTAGTTTTATTTGGAGGGACTTTTCTCTGGCGCTTTCTAAAATTCTCAACTTCAAAACACTGATTTTGGCTAACACCATTCTCTGGAATCCCTTGTGCACAACAACTTGACATCTAACAATGTACATGATTTGGATCATAAATTAGTAGTTTGAAAGAAAAAAAGAGTAAATTCAACTTTAAATTTGAGTATGGTGTTACCTTGCAAGTAATGGAGCAGAATCTATTGTTTCCATTATGTAAATGCTTTCCACATTCTTCACAAACACCACCCCACTTTGCAAGTGTTGCTACTTTGTCTTCTTTGGTAGAGCATGGATTATCAATCTCAGATCTTCTTCCTTGCTTAAATTCTTTGGATGAAATCCGAGGTTTGAGATGCACAATCTTTTCATCTTTGGACAAATAAGTCTACAAAATCATAAGAAGAAAGTTCAAATCACGAGTTATTTGTCTTTTAATTAGAAACACGAAATAAAGCAATCAAACCACATATATAAAGAATCAGACAAGAAGAACTAAAAAACTGAAGATATTATAAATAGGAGAGAACCTGAATAGTTGAGCAATCAAAATACTTCTGAAGTTGAGAGTGACGTACAACATCTTGATATGAATATTTGTGTATGTGAAACGTTGGATGGAGGTGATGAACTTCCTTGCAATGCCTACAGAAGCTAACTTTGCAGTCTATGCAGAAAACATTTTTGTCGTTAAGCTTCCTGTCTTTGTGTTCTTCACAATAGTCAAAGCTGCTCTTCAAAAAGGCATCAAGCCAATCCCTTTGCCTTCCATTTGCCAAACCATTTTCCTCCTGCTGCACAATCCATCCATTAACATCAAAACAAATTCAAAAATCATGCTTTCAGAACATACATGTTACAATTATGCTATCAAAACAACAATATTTAAGATTACTAAGAATATAAATAAATGCTAGCTAGGAAATCCGAGTATAAATAAATGTTAGGAAATCCGAGTATAAATAAATGTTAGGAAATCCGAGTATAACTTAATATCTTAAACTTAATTCAGGTAAGATAGATTTATATTTCCTTAATAATAATAATAATAATAATAATAATAATAATAATAATAATATTATTATTATTATTATCAGTGTAACATAAAGATCATGATAATTTTCAAAAATTGGATTACAGTTAGCAATGATAAAACTAAATATCTCTATTTTGAATATAATATATCCATTAAAACATTTCTATTTCCTATTTTCCTCTTACCTTAAATGATGAAGATGGCAGTACTTTGATATTGCTTTCAAAACTTCTTACGTCCTTACTCTCAGATTTCTTCGTATTGAACAGAAAAAGAAGTGTGAAGTGAAAGAGAATAACTAATACCTATTTATAATTGGTCAGTGATGTAGGATTAAAATTCTAAAGATCAAGTTTATCTTAATAGTGAATTTATCTTTTTAATTTTATCTTTTTTTTTTAATTTTATTTATCTAACTTTATCTTTTACTAATTTTAATTTTTTTCACTACATCGTTCAAATTATATTTTTCTATAATAATATAATTTATTTTTTTCTTTAATAAAATATTTTATTTTATCTTTAAATTTATTTAAATAATTTAATTTAACCAATTAAAAATATATAATATATTTTTTCTTAATTTAAAATAAAACAGGACATTGAACAAAACAAACTCTAAAATTTCATATTCCATAAAACAAAAGTTGTAAGTAAAACTATTAATCATCCCACTTTTTTTTGTCTTGTTATCTCGCAGGAAATTTAAATTTTATATTTTATAACAAAATTTGTAAGTATTCGAATTTCATTTTATAAAATTTTAATTTTTAATTATTTTAGTTATTCGTAACTCTCTTTTTTTTCATTTTCTGTTTAAAAAATATATTAAATCAATATAATATCAAATTACATTTGCTAACAAGTTTATATAACTTCGACCATTTTCAATTCTTAAAATATTTTTTTTCAATTTAAACAAAAGGAGCTTAAAAATTAAATATCATTTGTATATAATATGTTCATTCTAATATAAATGAATAAGTAAATCAATGATAAATTTAATTAAATATAAGATAAAAATCATATAAAACATTATAATAAAAAATATATAAATTTTTCATGCTTTATAAATATATAAATTAAAAATCTATTAAAGTAAAAGATAAAGAAAAAATATAGAAAAATTATAATGAAGAAAATATATAAGATAAAAACTGATAATAATGATGGTAATACAATTTTTATTTTTATTGAATTATGTATTTTATTAGATTTTATCTAGCAGATAATTGTTTATTTCATATTATAAAACAATACAAAATTATCCTAATTGAGATTATTTATTTCTTCTAATCTAACAATCCAATCCAAAATGTAATTATTTTGAGTTAGATTAGGTACTTTTATTCACTAATTTAAATTTAATTTTAATTGAATACATAAAAAAAAATTAAACCCAATCCAGAAAAGTTGATTGGTTGGATTTTATTTGGTATGACGTGGCGTTAGTTGCAAAATTACCCAACAGCCACTCAAAATCAATCACGAGACACCAAATAACAGTCACATGATGACACATTCATTACATTACATCACACCCTAACGAACGAACCAACCACCTCAATTCTCATTCAAAAGTTGCCTCTTTCTGACGCTGCTTCGGACAGACACAACATTCTACCATTCCAAATGTCGGTGAGTCCCTAAACCTTTCTACAATCCCCTTTTCCTCAGATCCACTTCGTTTCAGATCCTATCAGGGTTTCTTCTTTCTTCATGCCTTCCTCTGCATTTCGTTTTGTATTTGTTTTATGGCAAGTCGGGACTATCCCATTACTTCGATTCATATTTATATATTCAGTGATGCAATGCACTCTTAAGTGGTTTGGATGTTGTAGTTACGATGAATATAAGAAGTAATAGTTTAGAATTTTTTATCTGCATTGTTTCCTGACGACCCTTTTGGATCTCATGGAAGTGGTCTTGGTGTTTTACTACCCTCCAGAAAAGCGCAAACCTGAATGTTGAATTGAGTCATTTTGGGGATTTGTTATTTGGATAATGCTACGGCTGTACATGGATAGTTAGAATCAATAGTTAGTTAGTGATCACTCTTATGTCTACCTAAACCAATGTGGATTTATCTTTAAATCTCGACAATCTATATATGATTGTATGTTCCAGATTATAGTTCTTTTCCTTACAATGTTAAGAACTTTCACTTTATATGCTTCTGTGAGTAAGATTGGTGGTTGTTGTTAATGTTAAGTCATTAAATTCCATTGATTGGACTTATGATTATTAATTTTCGTGGCATTTGAATTTCTACTTTTCAAGTGGATACTTTACATTGATGCTGTATCTTGGAATAATCTTTCCTCTTGGCTTACTTATTGAATTGACTCTTTGTTTTTTTGCTTTGCCTTCTAAGCTATGATGATGATGGTACTTATTTAGAATTGTACCATTCTGTTCTTGCTTTCACTTAATTTCATCATTTCTTCATGGATTAAAATATTACTATACTTTTTTTTTCATTAGATATTCTTAATACTTTGGAAGGAAATTAAAAAGGGATTTTTTCTGTTTGAGTTCCTGGTTTTACATTTTCTCCTTCTGCACATGTCATTGCTTCTTGCACGCCATACTCTACAGAATGTCATCAGAGAATACCTTAAATTAACAATTTGTGTGCAGGTCACTTTGGACTATGCTGATCAAAGAGCTGAAGCTATTCCCCAATCCACCGGATCACCAACTTGGACTATTCATGTGTCAGATGTGAGGAAGAAATTTTTACATAGTATCATTGGTTAGCATTATGATTGTAGAATACATGATCCAGCAATGATATCATAATTCCACAGTGAATTCTCGGTGGCAGCAGTATGAATTTGCCCACCTTTAGCAGAAAAATCTGCTCCAGAAATAATAAACAGCATTTGAATACTTGTGGTAGACATAGTTAAGGAACTAAAATAGAAATTACTTGATGAAAAGTCAGCATTAGTAGCTTGTAAAATTCAAACAAAACAGTATTTCATTAGAATACACATCAACTAAACACCCTCACAATTATTAAAGATTCAAATTCCTATTTTAAGTTCTTACAATAGGGGACCTAAAATTACTTGAATATAGAACTATTTCAGTTATTTTTTGTTTAGCAAATTGTCTTTTCTGGTTTAGTACAATCTTTCTGACTTTTTTAGGTTAATCATTCAAATCAATACTCTGTCCTTTGTTGGTATCTTATTAGTGATAAGTCCCATCATGGTGAAATTTCCAAGTTCACTCTGTTTTGGTTTTTCACAGATAAGAACAGTTAAGGTTAGCAACATATCACTGGTTACTTCCAAGATGGATATTCTAGAATTCTTTTCATTCTCAGGTGATATTCGGTATATTGAGATGCAAAGGTCAGAGAACTTGTAATGTTTAAATAATTTTTCATGATTGGTATTTTTTAAACTGTTGCACTGAGTGGATGTCTCCCAAATCTTTGGTTTTCAATTGTACAGGGAAAGTGACCGCACTCAGGTGGCTTATGTTACATTTAAGGATACACAGGGAGCAGACACAGCAGTTCTATTAACGGTATGTTTCTAAATGTCACATTACATTTCATAATAAAGAGATGGTTTGCACCAATGTATGTTATTAACCCTTTCATTCAATCCTTGAAACTGATAAAAACTGCATAAATCAGCTATTTTAGTTGATTTTTGTTTTTCAAACCATATGCTTAATCTTCATTTTATAATATAGGGTTCAAAGATAGGTGATCTATATGTCACCATAACGCCTGTGGAGAAGTATCAGCTGCCTCCTGATGTTCTTCCGGCAAGTCCGGTAAGTATTAGTTTTTCCAGTAGAGTAATTTTATACTCATATAAATGCTTGAAAGGAATTTCATCTCAACAGGTTGTTAAATTAAATGTTGTGTAATTTATTTTGCATGCAATTGTGGTCATCATGCACGCCTGCTACTAGTACATTTGTATGTAGTGAAATGTGAGATACAAACAGTTTCGCTGAAAATGGGGGTTCAATGTGTCCCAAATATGATTGTCAATACTAGTATGTTTTATTTATCTGTCTCATTTTGTTATTATTCTGATAGAGTCCTAGTCTTGGGGTTGAAATTTATGGCTTCAATATTGCAGCCAAGTTTATATGGTTTGCTTAAGATCTTTGTCTGGATATGACGACTAAAGATTTTTATATTTATATTATTCTGCTAATGATGGTCTGCAACTTATCTGCCACAATAAACATAACTCTGGGCTGAAGATTACTAGATCTAACTTGGCACTCTACTAAAACATTCTCTTGTGAGGTTAGATTGATAACTGAACTTTAAGGAATAAATCGTGGATATTATACTGTAAACTTTTGTACTGCACAGACCTAGAGGGTACTTTTAGATCTTCAGTTAGAGGTAGATGCAAAATATCCGCGAGTGTATAAAAATTCTTCACTCCCTACAGGGTTGGAAATTCTAATTTCTTTACTGTTAAATTGCATTATCTAATATATGTTTATGTTGTACAATGCTCTTATAAATAGACAAATCAAAGTGCCGATGCAGTAAAGAAGGCTGAAGATGTAATGAGCACCATGCTTGCTAAGGGTTTCATTTTAGGAAAGGATGCTATCAACAAGGCAAAATCCTTTGATGAGCGTCACCAGTTGAGCTCAAATGCATCTTCCACAGTTGCTTCCATTGATCGTAGAATGGGTTTCAGTGACAAATTAAGTATTGGAACAGCTATTGTGAATGGAAAGGTGAGAGAGATGGATGAAAAGTATCAGCTTTCTGAAATGACAAAGTCTGCTATTGCCACTGCAGAACAAAAGGCAAGCAGTGCTGGATCTGCTATCATGAGCAATCCTTATGTATTAACTGGGGCTTCATGGGTGTCTAGTGCCTTCACTGCTATAGCAAAGGCAGCCGGGGATGTCAGCACGATGACAAAGGAGAAGGTTGAACAGGCTGAGGTAGAAAGGAACGGGATCATTTATAATGAAAGGAAATGGCCTGAAGATGAATTTTCAAAGAAACACTTTGAGGATGCTTCAGACATGGGCCCTGCAATAGTTCCTGTTAATTCACATGATGACCATAAGCTGGAAATCATATAACTACCAGAATTCTTACATCCTCACATGCACAGTTGGATTTATTTAGTTAGCATAGTTATTGTCAGATTTCCGATTTTGCACGTTTGTTGTACAATGATAAATCTTATTGATTGATTTAGCGATATCAAAGTTTGTTTGGCAGACGTGGTTCCTAAATACGGTCAAACATTGATGTCAACAAAATTATTTTTTACTTACTTCTTCATTCACTTGTCCCTTTATGTCAGTATAGTTTAAATATGCAGAACTTTATGTCAAAAAGAGTATGATAAAAAAGTTAAATGTTTTGCTGTTTTGATTTTCCATTGCAACGAAAAGAAAAAATAGGCATATAGCTTTGCTCTTCACCTCAATATTTGACTGTGTTGACTATCTTGCTTTGGATGTTTTTCCATCTAAATGTAGAGTTTTTAGCCACCAGTTGACATCTTAGTTGAGTTTTGGTGCAATGAAATTTTCTTTAATGATCCCTACTTCATTTTCACTTCACATTAAACTGTACAGTTTTCTCTTTTGATTTGGGGTAGCAATCTGAACTGTAACATATATTAACCTGAAGCTTATTACTTGTTGTGTGACGTATATTTATCATGCTGTAGTTGACCTAAAGTCGGTCATTTTCTGTATTGAGGTGGTCACTAGCAAACATAATTCACTATGAACTAATTCCTGTGCTTACTTTAGAAATACCTTCAATATAAAATGTAGTCATTGAGTACAATGATGCTTTAATGCATATAATTAAAATTCCTACTGACCAAACATGATAAAAGGTTGCGAGGAGGGCACAAAAGGCAACGTCTGCAATCAAATATGATGCAAGATGAATTTTTGTATAAACCTGTAATATCTTTGCAGGTCATTAACAGTTAACAGCTCCTGTCCGTTGAAAGGTTGTCACGCCTTCCAAAAAAATGTGTACATTTTTTTCCTCTATATCCGATATACAGAACAATCAATATAGTTACATGTGGAGAAAAATAGAATTTCCTTGCTCTCGGTAGGGAAACAAATGGAATTTATTTTTTATCAATGAAGAATCAACCACCAATAAGAAATCTATTTGTCATGGTTAGGAACAATTGCCACCAATCTGAGCCGTATAGTCAATGCCTCCAATTGTGTTATCCTATATAGCGTAACAGCCACTCCAGGCACTGTTATAGTGAATATAAGTTTCATGTTAAATACGAACAAAACCGATAATAATAGGAGAAAGTGAATAATGATAAAAAACGATACAATATATTTTCATTCTAATTTTGGTGTGGGGATTTTCTCAGCTCAAGAAATAAAATTATTTGATAAATTTCATAATAGTTGTATGTCACTTTTTCATCACGTCATTTCAAATTTTTTCTTTACTCATTTTGCCGGTTTTAAATCTCAAACCAAAGAGAAAGTACTCCGACAAATTATAGTAAATAGGACTATCTTACCTCTATGCATTCAAACAAATTGTCGTCTTTTGATCTAACGTGGATCTGCAAAATCATAAGATTAATTATATACATGAAATGCTACTCACAATCTTATGGACATTACAGGATAATCCAGTCTAAAAAGAAAAGAAAGATAGAAAAAGCAGAAACGACATGCGCAAGTTTGCAGATTTATAAAATTAGTGTTTTCACAATTTCAGTGCAAACCTAGATCTTACATATACTTTTGGACTCCAAATTCATTGATTTATAATGATATGCAAAAGTGGTATGAAGCGGATCTGGCATTGCATAACCGTATCATATAATTTTTAACTCCGAGTTTGTTGACCTAAATTTCAAATGAAGAGTTAGTTCTGTATCGCAATAATAGTTACCTCTATGACTTTAAGCGATGATCTTTGATTGACTTCAAGACCAGCCAGGACTACAAGTGCTGCAGCAACTGTTGAAGGCCAGTAGCACAGTTGCTCATGAGATGACAGTGTCAGCACTGCCAGATACTTGACCCTCTTCTCAATGTCTGCATCAGCATTGGCCGCTTTTAGGTAAAACCTGTAAATTATAAGGTGGAGTGTGATTTAGCTGAATCATAAACAATTGGGTAACTTTATTTTCTTGTACTCTTGGAGTTTTAGTTTTTGAAAGGTTAAATTGCAACTTTTTATTTTATTTTATTTCTAATGTGTTTTTTGTTGTCTTTTTTGTCCACGGATATTAAAAATTCATAATTTTGATTTACCTTAGAATTTCTTTTGTATTTTATTTCTATTATCTTGGTTCATTTGAGTTCTAAACTTAACGTATTTATTTAAAAGTACTATATAAAAGAAAAATTAATTAGTTAAATATTAAAAATAAAAATAAACTGTACACAAAAATTAAGAAAATTATGGATTTTTTTAAAATCTGGAGACTAAAGTAAAAATAATGAGAACAAAAACCTAAATAAAAAATTTTAAATAGCTTAAACTTAACCGATAGTCTTTTCTTATCGGGGCTATGTTAAGTTTCAAGTACAAAAATTTCTTTTAATTTTTAAATAATACACAGTATCTTAAAGGGAAAAAAATGAAAGTAAGTTTTTTCTTTAACTAATGTTAATAAGAGTTATTTAAGAATAAAGATTAATATTTTATTATAAATTTTATATCTGAATTGGTTAAAATTAAAAAAATTTCTTAAAATTAAGAAAAAAAAGTTACTCTTTTAACTAAATTTTAAATTATTCATCTATAAAATTTATAATAAAATATTTATATTTATTTTTAAGTAATTTGACCCTTAATTTTAAAATTAAAATGGTTTCACATAAAGAAACAGAAATATGAATGAAGACCTAAAACTATGAGTATAAGCTAACATTAATTTATGCCGAATTTCATGACATATTCATGCTGTAAAAATAAGAAGTTACTGGAATACCACAAGAAATTGTAGATGGTAGGCAGAAAGCACTGAAACTTGAGCACCTCCTGCACCATCCATTCCATAGCTACCACCTCGCATCTACTGTACTTATTGCTTCCTACATAGAAATTGGTTTGCCCCATTCTGTAATACCCACAAAGGAGTTCAGTTATTCGTTGGACATAATCAATTTCATGAATTTGACTAGGAGAAGTTCAGTTATACAAGAAGCAAGACTCTGTAAAAGAAAGAAATTAAAAAATTACAAGCGGGTTTTTAACTATACTCATGGGACAGTAAAACTTAGCAAACAAAAAACAATTATTTACTTGAATTTTTAACCTAAACATCAAGAAAGCTAATGTGTTACAAAATAGAATTTATTCAAATGTTGTATAATGTTTGGAACTTTATGGACAATTGTTATCCTTTTAATTAAGAATTAGCGATTAACGACGATAAATACACTCAAACTATAGAAAAATTAAGTCCTATTCTATTTTCATTTTCCTTAATCTCAAGGCCGTCACCAGCCATCACTTCTTAAACGGCAACCCCAGACCAGTAAATATACACATTTTTGCCCAAAATAATTAGATTAAATAAGGATGGGGGAGAAATGTTAAGATTTAATGATGAACCTGTTGTGTTGTTGATTTTCTTCGATCCTGATCGCTAACGAGAGGCAAGCTATTCCAACGATTTGAAGGTGTTTTTCGACTTTGAAGTATCCTTTGTTTAGGAAACGGTCAAGTAGGTTGACTCCAAGAAAAATCGTCTCTTGCCGAAGCTGTTTTCGACAAGATTGCTGCCAAATTTAAAAAGATAAAGGCTTTCAAACAAATTCAATTGCCAATTCAAAGTCAAACAAGTTACACAGATGCAAATGTTTAGAAATCACAGTCCAATACCTGAAGTTAAGGATGGTATTATACAAATTTAAATAGGTTCGCATACATCATTATTCCTAATATGCAATAATTAATAGTCTTCACCCTAAATATTAATAATTAATAGAGAGAAATTGACTACGTAATTGGTATGATATTCCAAACATATTTTCTAACTATTTAAAATTATCTAACATATAATTAAACGACAAAATAATATATATATATATATATATATATATATATTCTCTTTTTTATTTATGAATTCAATTTATTTTTCTGAATGTTATTTAAAAGTGTGGTAAAATCAAATTTGACAACAATATACTATTGCACCTATATTAGAAATATCATTTTTTTTTCCTTTCAGACCATATGACCTTCAATTCCTTTCCAATTATAAACAATTATAAAAAGAAGTAAAATGAACACTCATTTATATGAAATTTTGAAGCATTAACATTATTGAGACTTATGAGATTGGTTAGACTATCAAAATTGGTGGGAGTAACATTTCTCCTTACCTGTGCTATCTTTTAGGTTCAAGTCAAAGCAGTAACTACCTACATATGCGAGCACGAGAAAAGTGGTTGCATGATGGCATCAGCAGCATACATGGCGATTGAGGGCCGTGCCACTTGAACTCACGTGTCATGAGGTAATTGGACGCTCACCCTACTCCAACTACTTATTTTACAGGATATTATCTTTCAAAAACATTGTTTTATAACTCAAACAATCAATACTCATTTTAAAATAACATTACATAACATTATATGTTATTTTGTGTTATTTATTTGGATTTTACTAAATCAAGTTTGAATTTCACTTACTCTTCAAATACATTCTATCTCATCCCATCCAAAGTACAATTATATATCTAAACTATCAAACCACAACAGTAACAACTTGAAATTAGATAAACCTACCTCAATGATCCAGTGAACCATCTGCGCACGCTGCTCAAGCACGGTCTCTCCGAATTCAGTGGTAGAGATATATCTTTTACCATAATTTGACACAAAGACTTGCTTCCTCTCTCTCTTCCTCAGCATCTGGTAGCTGTCCTCGTCATCAGAATCTTCAAATCTCCCAAACTAATATCCACAAATTTATAGATAAACAATAAAGAACTCCTAGCTATAACAATGAAGATTGAAGGAGCTAGGTTAAGTAGGTTCCTAACAGAACTAATAATATAAGTAACTTAGAATTCTGAACTCGAGAAACATACATTGACATCATCCTCGTTGCTTGACGAAGAGTTCATCACTGGAGAAGTAGAATAAAGAGTTGTGAACTCCTTGCGATACTGAAGGAACAACAAATACATAGGGGAAGGAGTTTCTCCTACGGATCCCCCCGAAAATTGGCTTCCAGAATCCACGAACATTGACGGAGAGTAATCCGAAACTTCTGGCTGCGAGCATTCACCTAAAATCTCGGAATGAAACTCAGAAAATACAGTTCCCTGACTGGAATGTTCCGATTCTTCATCATCGTCACAGTATGAGAAATGCAGATCTTCAGGGCAACGCAGATCCTCATAGCAAGCAAGGTCCACCACGATGTTGTAAATTTCCGATTCCTGATTTGATTGTGCTATTAAATCCGTGCAATTGTCCTCCACCTGGATGTTTCTGGAACCTTCTGAGTATTCACATTTCGACGCTCTGTTTTTCTTGCTGTTATTTGTTTCCTCCTCAATCAACACACGAACTCCAGAACTAAATGAGACGTCGTTTCCATTTGATTCGGAAGAGATTTTCATGTCTCCGTAGCTGGAGGACTTCGAATTGTACTGTTCCTCGCAAGTAATCTCTGATTTCGCGCATGAAACGTCCTGTTTCTTAATCTCACTTCCACTTTTGAACTTCTTAATGGCAGTAATATCCGATTTCACATGCAGCTCCAAAGAGTTGTCGTCTCCTCTTATACTCTTAGATTCTCTTCCGTTTCTGACCTTTAGAATTGAGCTTCTGCTTCGGGAGAACGAATTGGAGTCCGCGCATGAAGACTCTGACACTTCCACTTCATTCTCATTTCGCTTCTCGGAGATCAGATTTATCGCTGAATTGATTGATGATTCGTTTCTCGAGTTTTTATTTTCCTTGCTGGCGATGGAAGCTCTGCTGGAGTTGCAGGAAACTTCACCGGCAACGAAGTCGGAGTCAGAACTGGAATCCATGGAAAAACTAGGATTATGGTCAGAGTTGTTGATGAGAAGCACCGGGGATAAATTTTTCCGTCGTCGTCGAGACACCTTCAGCCGGAGCTTCTTGGTGAAGTTGAACCGAGGTGACTCCACTTCTAACTTGCGCTTTGATTTTCTCGATCTGGTTGTCATTGTTGTAATGTTAACTAAAAATTGCAGAGAAAATTGCAGAGTTAAATAGTTGTTATTGTTGAGATGATTGAGTAAAGAGAGTGTGGGAAGTGTGTTTGAACCGTTACGGGAGTTGTGGGGAGGAAGGGAAACGAGGGAAGAGGGTATATTAATGGTACTGTCCTCTTGATGCGTTTTCCGTGCACCACGTTCATGCATTATATCAATATTCCTGATACATGTTAATTTTTTATATTTCATTTTAATTAAAAAATTATAATTCTTTAATTTTATTGTTATTTTAAAAAATAAGGTAAATTATGTATTATTATTTATATACTGAAATAATATATATATATATATATATATATATATATATATATATATATATATATATATATATATATATATATATATATATATATATATATACTTCTGAGAGACTCTGAACTTCAAATATCAAAAAATTTCTTCGAAATGTCTTCCCAAACAATACAGTACGGTAGTTTGATTTTTAAGTTAATATAAATTTAAATAAAAAGGTAATTAGATATTAATTAAAATATGTTATACTTTATTAGATAAGAAGATATTTGGATGATCATCGTCACCAATGTGAATTTCTTATGAGTTATTTTTTTCATATCTAAAATAAAGATTTATATAATTTTTAAGTAACTTAATATTAATTTTATTTTTTTAAAAACGAAGGATGTGATATTGTTTTTGAAAGTAACGAAAATATCCGTGATGTGGGTTGAATTAACTGTTATTTGTCAAATATAAGAGGAGATAAAATTTAAATTTCTATGATTTTTTTAATAATAAATTATTTTAAATAATTAATATTTTATTTAAATATCTCAATAAACAATTTTTGTACTATCCGATAAATAATGATTTACAAAATCATCAAATATAGAAGGTGATGTATAATTTATCAACGGTAAGACTTAATTCAAAAATTCATGAATTTATTTTCTTACAAAATAAAAATTGGCAAAGGATTTATTTAAATATATTTTTGCATGTGCACAAATTTCTTTTAATTCCTATTTTTTTTTACAGAAGAATTATTTGATATTTTTTACAAATTTTCAAAAATTTTAAAAATATATAGTAATTTTTTTTTTCAAAGATGAAAAATAAATATATCTTTCAAAATTAAAAGTAAAAACGAAAATATTAGAGATAAAGAATAGAACATATTAAGTATATTCTTTATTATAATAAATATTTTTTATTAAATAGAATATAAATATAATTTGTGATATTACAGCGTACAATTTAATTGTTTTTTTTTTAAAAAAAAGGGAGTGAAATTTGCTGAAAACACACATGCATTCATCATACTGATCCACTTTCCAACACATGTCTATGTTTATGTCCATTCATTGACAATTTTCCCAATTGTTTGTCCTCATCAGTACATCACAAAAGTACAGGCATAAACCTATTATTCACTTACCAAGTACATTCTTTCATCATTTTTTCCAAGCTCTAACTCAATATATATAATTTTTCAGTTCTTCATGTATGAAGAGTGTTTCTTTTAAATATGAATGTTGGGTATATTAGCTGTGCATTTGATGCATTCAAAGGTTGTTGTCGTCCCAACCAGAGTTTCTTTTCTTCCTCTCAGATATAAATTACAGTAAAAACTTCAATAATTATTAGAAAAAAAATCAAAACTTTTTTTATAAATTAAATTTAATTAATACCTAAATTAATGTATAAAAGTTATCTAAAAAAATTATAAATTCTTATTTTCAAATAATATATAAGTTTTATCTTATTATTAAGCTTATTTTGTTTTAAATTGTTTTTATAAATATTTATAAAAAATTTATCCTAATTATAATCTATTATTATATACGACAAAATTATTATAATCTATTATTACATCAACTTTTGCGTGTAGACAAAGTAGTATGTGAAAGTTTGGGTTCAATAGTATTGATTAACTAAAATGAGTTTTTTTTTCTTCTGATTCAATAATAATGTTACCATTATTTAGTTTGGACCCAACAATTTTTGTTATAATCCTAACATGTGTTAATGTTTTAATAAATATAATAATTTTAATATTATGTTTCATAAAAGAAAAAAGATGGATTCTTTATTTAAATATTAATTTTTAAGTTAAAAAGATTAAAAAATTATTTATCTTAGATTTCAAAACTAAAGACACGGTTAAACCTTTATTAATGGTATTCATTACATGAGTTGGTTTCATAAATTAAAAAAAAATGAATATGTTCAAAATTATCATAATCTTTACACATATTGAAACATAAAATTATTTATTTATCTTTAATTGATTCATAATTTACTATCTCAATTTCAAGTGTTCTTATTTTTTTAATCAAAGTTGAATTCCAATAATAGATAGATAAACTAATTGAGTATTTCAGGCCAATGTAAATGGGTTGAAAATTTAGCCCAATACGAATGAAAGAAAATGATACAGAAAAAAAAATCTGAATTTCACTCAGTTTTCAGTCATAATGTTTAAGAGTAATACTAGTTTATTTAAAATAAACTTCAGACACAGAAGATTTATATATATTCTAATATGATTGGTGTCATTTTAATCAAATATAATGAGTTATTTTTTGTGATATTTTTTATTTTTATGATTCAATTTCACTAAAATAGCGTGGATTGTTACTTAATTTTTTTTTATTAAGGTTTAATTATGTTCTAACTTTTTATTAAGATAAGATTTTGTGTTTATCCCTGAAATAAAAAAAAATATTTTTTCTAAATTTTGCAAACAAAATAACTTAAATCTCTAAACATAAACTTATTAAGGAATTACAATAAGTTTTCAGATTTTAAAAATAATTTTAATCTCTCAAATTTTGTATTTAGAAATTATAATAATTTTTCTAATTTTGATAAATTTTAAAAAAGTATATTTAAGAGACCAAAACTAAAATTACTCAAAGGGATAACACAAAATTCAATTCCCCAGCATTGGTACATTTTGATCTTCATGGAGAAAAATAAAGTAGATTTCCTAAACAGTTTTTCTAAAATAAAATGTGTTTTAGGTGAAGAATTTTGTACACTATTATCGTTTATGTTTAGTCTCTATTTTGAGTTCATATAAAACAAGTTTTTGCTCACATATTTTCAACAAAAATTAAGTAATATTTTTATCAAATTATGTTTTCATTGATTTATTTTTTAAAAAATCTCATATTAATTAGAGTAAACTTGAAAATAAAAAATAAAATTTTATCTCAACAACTCATGTATCAAACATCAATTAACTCAAACCTAATATCAAAAATTATTTTAGCTCAAAACTAATATCATAATTTATTTTTAACTCAAATCTAATATCTTAATTTATTTTAAATTTATATAAAAGCATAAACATGTAATATTTAATTAAACACAACTATACCGGATATTTTTACTCTCGATTATACATTATTTTTTTCATGTTAGATTATATATATAAATGATATAAAAAAAACTTTTATATAAATTCTTATTACAATCAACTTAAATATATATATTATAAAATTGACCCTGTTTCACTTACTATGATACATAATTATCACCTGTCATAATAATTCACTATTAAATATTTTTTTTATTAGTAAATAATATAATTTCAAAAGGTATATAAATGAATTGCAACTCTAGCCTATATAACATGCTTTTAGATAAATTAATTTCAAATAGAAAATATCAGTGTCATTCAACTCTTAAGAGCCCTTGTACATATAAGCATCACTCTAATATACACCACATAATTGTGATCACCGATATAATACAGAGGTTCACTAAAGCAGCAGCTACACCAGATCTGAAGGTAAATATAAAATAATATTCTGAAAACAAGAGCTATAATAAGGAAATGGTACTTGGTAAGGACAAGTTGCACTAGCATCATCGTGATTCGAATTGCGTATGAAAAGTTATGGGTGGTTCAGTTCATCCAGTTGCTTTAGTTGAAGATACGTTGCTCTGATGAAAGCGTTGGTTTCTTTTGTTGGTTCTTCTATGGCTTCCTTCAGCTTGCTCAGTGCCATGCAATACGCTTCCTATCCATTGATCAAATCAAACATTTTTATTAAGTTCATTGCTGCAGAAATCATTTTGTATAGATCATGCAATTTTCAATAATCAAAGTCACAGTTGGGCATGCTAATCTGCTAATTGTGGTGATACCATGAAGTGATCTAATTCTGAAGTGTTTGGACTAGGAGTTGCTTTGGACTTGGAGTTGACCAGCTTCTTCCATGCATCATCACTTGTTGCATCAAACTCTCCACCTTCACTTAACCCCACCTGAATTGAATACAATGGCTTCTTGTGTCTTTTTCTCTGAATTGCTTTAATTAACATACAGTTCATGAGTCAAAAACATGGAAAAAAAATGTACATACCTTCAAGCAGTTGATGTGAGATTGAATCAAAACTTCATACAAAGGATGAGTTGCGATAATCTTCTTTAGAACTTGTTCATTTTCTTTCCCACCAGCAATGTCTTCACTTCCCCCAGCAACACCCTTTTCTCCCATTTGTGAAGCTTCCATATCTCTCTAGCTAGCTATGCTTATTATTATTGTTATTATAAGTACTTTCTCTTGCACCAATCGAATCACAAACTTTGACAGAAACAAAAAAGCAGCAGTATCATATATAGCAACATGTGGTGGATAAAAGGGGTTTGTATTATGGTTATTGACCAATGTAGGTGCAAGGCAAGTGATGAAACGTAGTTATCAACAAGTACAAATGGGGTTACCTGCCGTATGGGTATTTCTGTTCTTCATGTTGTTAACCATTGGAGGTAAAATAAATAGTAAGAAACAAGTGCATGCATGCATGGGAAAAAGATAAAGGGTTAAAACTCTGTGTTCCCTGTTTCCCTTTTTTGCCTTGAAAGGAACTTGTCAAGGTTTATTGCTATGATTAAAGCACCTTTCAGGTCTTCACAACTTGGAACCCCTCTTTTGGCTTTATTCTAAGATTTTTACTTCACTTCACCATTTCTCAGTACTTACTGTAGTGAAAATTATTTTATAACACTTCTCAAATTACAATATATATGATCTTTCTCCTTTGTTCCTTTCCATCACATTTTTTTGGTTCCCATCTTTTTCATCTTCTGTATAAACTTTACAAGCATATTTTAGAAGCAACGTTTCTCTTCTTAGTTGGGTTAGTGTGTAACGTGGACATGCATTGTTTTTGTTCATCATCATCATGGTAATTTTCAACGTAACTTGGATGGGTTATTTGTTTATACAAATAACTGATCTCGAATAAGAAAGAAAATTATTGTGACCAATCTAAATAAAAGTTGTTTTGGATCTAAATTGGTATAGTGTTTGTTGAATTGGGTTCCATAGTCAAACTTGGATGGGTTATCTGTTTATGGGCCTAGCCCACTACACGACATACATTTTTAAATATTGTCCAACACACTCTTGATCACAGTTCTCACTGTACTTGATTTCCTAGTAAATTTGTATGACTTAATATAATAAAAAGGATGAATGAAAGTACGAAAAAAAAAATTGTGGTTAATATTAGAGTTTTAATAAATTTTTATAAAAATAAAAATTGATATATTCAAAGGTGAAAATTGGTAATTGTCTTTCATGATATCTATATTATGATTTTCTTTTTTATAATTGTTTTTTTTAATTTAATAAAAACAATATGTATAATGAGTAGAAAAGAATGTGAGATACATGAGTGAAAAAAAACATATATATAAAAAAATATTTTTTTGACCGTTTTTCATATTATCAAATACAAAAAAAGTTATATATAATGAGTGAAGAAAAAACGTACCATACTTTTAAAAAATAGAATAAAATAAAATTTAGAAAAATATATTTTTAATAAAACTATTCATATACAAAATATGGACATACTACTACTACTAGAAAACAATAATAGTAATAAAATAAAAAATAAAAAGATTAACAAATTTTTTAAACTCATTTCTACAATTTTTTAATTAGTGATTAAAAAAATACTTTTTAAAAACTAATTTGTGCTATTTTTTAGAATTAAAAATATATTTAAGCATGTTTAAAATAAGTATTACAAATGTTTAGGTGAAAGTTATTTCTCTCTTACATTTTTTTAATTTATGTCTAGATAAAAAGTGACAAATCAATTTCTTATTCATCATTCATCCACTGGAATCATAAAGAAAAATGTTAATGAATTAATCGATTCATTGTAAAAAATGGATTGAATATAATGTTTTTATTTATTTTATGGATAGTAAAGTAATGATTTATTTACTATGTTTTAAAATTCAATAATTTTCTAATTCATATTTAATTGAACAAAATTAATCTAACATTTTCGTTCATATTTAAATCTTTGGTAATTTTGTTTTAAATTTGAAAAATATATTTACTTTTCTTTTGTAACAATTAAAATCTACTATTATACTTCTTAGAAAACCTTAAGCTCCTAATTTTCTATGTACTTTTAGTCTGGTATTCAACTATGTCTCTAACTTTGTCTCTTGTTCCCTTTGTTCTTGTGCACGCACGCAGCAATAAGAAAACGCAAAAAACTTGATAATGAATTACACGTGGAATTGTTGGTTCTTATGGAAATTATCCATTCCAAAGTATTAGCACATTCTTCAACCTTTTCTGAAGGCAAGAGCATTAGGTATGAGTAAATTCAATTACAATTCATATGGTCGAGATTTTGTACAAAATTACTTTATGTAATAGTTTATATATATTAAACACTTAATTGAACACAAGTTATATAATATTATCCCACTATAAATTCAAACCGTACATTTTCACGTTGTGGTTAACATTTTCAAACTCTCTACATTACATATAATAGGATTATATCGCTATGCAATGAAGTCAAATGTTGATTAAGGTGTATTTTACTACCATTTAGTATATAATAATCTTACATACTATTATTTATTTATTAATAGATGTGATAAAATAGGTCCATATGTCGTTTTAACTCATCCATATCTGAGCTGAAAAAATAGTACAGACCAACTAGTTAAAATGGATGATGATCCTAATTCATACAGTACGCCGAAAACATTTTTTTATATATAAATTCTTTATATATATATATATATATATATTAAATATATTATATGAATATATTTTAAAATTTTATTCATTAATTAATATTTTTATAGGATAAATTGATAAAATTACTAAATATTAAATTACTCAATTATAATTAATAATTTTATTTTATTATTATTTAAATTATAACATTATAATATATTTATATATTTAAATAATATAATAAAAAATATAACATTTTTAATTATAACAAATTTTTTTCTAATATGTAAATATTTTTTTAAATAAATTAATTTTATCACGATGAAACAAGACAAATTCAATACTAAAATTATAAACTCGAATTACCAATTTAGATAAATTGATCCATATATATATATATATATATATATATATATATATATATATATATATATATATATATATTACATCGTTTAGAAATTATGATTAAGGATAGTTTAGATATAATCATTTTTTAACTACTGAGACATTATTTTTAATGATAAAATAGTATCAAACTAAAATTTTAAAGTTAACAATACCTTGGATGTGTTAATGAACCATAACGAAATTATCATAATAAATATGAGATCAGAAAACTCTCGTTTTTAGATTTAACAATGACACTCATCGGTGGGATAAAAATAGAATCTTGCTCAACTTATATATCTTAATTCTCGACTGAACAATTATGTTTCAAGTATACTAATGAATATCATATCACTTAGGTGTCAAGTCTAAAGATAATTTGTATATCCTTAATTTTTTTAATTTACCAAAATACCTTCTAAAGATAAAATTATGACATACTAGATTTTCAGACAATATATTAGACATGATCGTTAACTCTAATTATATAATCATTAATTTTGTAATACTTGTTGAAGACTCGTGTTTGAAAGTTTTTAAGTATTCATATATTTAGTATAATAATAATAATCATTCCTTCTAATCTAATTTTTAAAATTAATAATTAGCATGCTAAAAAACAAAGATAAGATCAAACATGTGTTGCGAACATTTTATATAACAATTAATTAAGTATTTTTGCTTTTAACAAAATCAATACGTAAATAATCATAATAAAAAAGTTTGTACGTATATTAAGAAAGTATCTTTCTTCATTTTTTAATGTGATGGGTTATATTGTTTGAAAAATAACAATTACAAGAATGATTAATTTGACATCAAATTAAAAAACATGGAACGCAATCATGGGTTGTATATTACGTGTACTAGAAGACATGTAAAAGAATAATGTGATTCGATTTTTCATATCTTCTTTATATGGTGTCACATATTTCTTAAAAAAAATCGCACTGCATGATTAATAATAATTGTTACGAGGTTATTATGAAATAACTAATCAATAACAAATAATGACAATTTGCAAGACCAAACTAATTTAAACATGTGTAATAAGCAAATTAAACAAACTACATTATACCAGGAAACTACTTTTCAAAACTACAAACCTAATTGACATTTTTGCATTATAACTTGATGACTGGTTGAACCTATGTTTTTGTTCAAATTAACTTCAACCTCCAATTAAGGAGATTGCAAGATATAACAAAACCTCGATTGAGCGGAATGATACTGGCTCGAAATAATATGGCTTGAGCGAATTTAGGGTCGACATAAGTTCTTATTTTGTTTCCGTCCTTCCTGAAGAGCTTGAAATATGTGGTTACTCAAGTTACAGTATGTGACTAACTGTGATGGACTTTTAGTACAACCGTGATCAACTCTCGCTCAAGCGAGGACTCCATCGCGCTTGAGCAAGGAGAGCTGCAATAAATGGTTATTCTCGGGGTTCTATATCGCTCAAGCGAAACGAACTCGCTAGAGCCACAAGTGCTTCATATATGTGGTTACCCAAGTTATATTATGTGGCTACCTATGTTGGACCTTTAGTCCGATGATGTGCTCAATTCACTCAAGTGAGAAATCCATCGCTTGACGAGGAGGCCTGCAACTAATGAGTATTCTCGGTTTCTATTTCACTCAAACGATAAAATTCTCGCTCGAGCGACAAGTGCTTGAAATATGTGGTGACCCAAGTTATATTATATAGCTAACTAGGTTTGACTTTTGATCCGACTGTGGTCAATTCTCGCTCAAGCGATGGTATTCTCGGGTACTTTTTCGCTCAAGCGATAAAATTCTCGTTCGAGCGAGAAGTGATTGAAATATGTAGTGACCCAAGTTATACATCAATGCATTCAACATTTTTCTAGGCACCCGTGACCGCTCTCTGTAAATATATAACTAAATAATGTGCATGCAGGCCCAAGTTCCTAAATATCTAAATATTTGAGATTGATTATATAAAAAAGAAATAATATTAAAATAGTAAAATCGTATTTTACATAGTTATAAATATTTTCCAAAAAAAAATAAAAAATCCAGAATTCATTCGTTATTACAGTCCTTCAACTTCATTTTAACAATCCAGAATTCATATCAGGTAAGGTTTTGGATTTCATGAGAGTATCTTTTTAATTTTACTTCCCTTTTTATGTTTTCACAGAGAGAATATGAGGAATTTAAAGTTCGTATTAATGGACTTGTTGCAAAGGCACAAAAAGTTGCTGAAGAAGGATGGGTGATGCAAGATGGTACACCATGCCCTGGAAATAATACCAGAGACCATCCAGAAATGATCCAGGTTGGTTGAATTCTCACAATGATTACATTTTACAAACAATTGCTCATTTATCAGCTTTGGAGTCATTTCTCAAAGTTTGTCTTACTATAGAGTATGGGTTACAATGTTTAGAATACTGAAATCATGACTATAACCAATTGTTTCTACATATTAGCCTTGGGGACTGTAAATTCTAACTTTTTGTTGCTAATTATGCACGAGCAAATATTTATATGTTGTGATGTCATGATGGTAGAATTTGGTTGGGATGTCGTTCACTATGATTACATTTTATATTTGCATGTCTTTTTGGGTCAAAGTGGAGGACTTGACACTGAGGGTAATGAACTTCCTCGTCTAGTTTATGTTTCTCATGAAAAACGTCCAGGGTTCCAACATCACAAGAAAGCTGGTGCCATCTTTTCTTGCTAACGTGGTAATGTTTATTTGCTGAAGGGAATTCGAATTTAAGAATGAAAAATGGCTGATTAAGTAAATTGCTAACTTAGCATTCTAAACTTTTTTTATTTAATAACACAAATAATATCATATCACAGCTTCTTCTGTAATAAACAAAGACAAGTAACAAACACAAGTATTTGAATTGAGGAACAATTGTGTACTGAAGGAGGGGGGCAGTGGGGAGAACCAAATGTTTTGAAAATTTGTTATCTCATTTAGCAGGCCAAATGTCCACCAACATTTTCATCAATATTAGCTATTACCTTTTGCAGTAGAATTCTCAATATAGATCTGTATGATTAATAGGTCCCAATATATATCTCTATGATTAATAGGTTTTTGACCAAATGGATGTTGTTCTACACACTGAGGAACATCTTCAACATTTGACAATTTATTTAGATATTCCCATAACACTAAAAAAAATATTAAAATTAAGGACGGTAATATTTTTATTATTATTATATTTTTTACTTATTTTATAATAGCCTATTTTTTAGAGATCTTCCTCTCCTTTACATTTTTAATATTTTTATTATTATTATATTTTTTTACTTATTTTATAATAGCCTATTTTTTAGAGATCTCCTTCCCCTTTACATTTTTAATATTTATTATTATTTATTATTATTTATTATTATTTATTATCATTGATAAGATTCGAACCAAGTACCTTAGAATTAGATGCTGATACTCCAACCATTAAGCTACTAGAATTTTTCGATAATAATTTACAAATAAATTATATTTATATATTTATATATAATTAAATATTTATTTTTTAAATTATTTAATTTAATAAATTATTATAAATTAATCTAATTATAATTAAAATAAATTATTAAATAAAAAAATATTTAATTTTTTAATTAGGTAAATAATTAATTTATTAGGATATATTAAGTAATTATTATATAATTTTACCAACGGATATATCCGTCGGTAATGATTTGTTAATTTATCGATGGATTTATCGACGAAAATATCCGTTGGTAAATAATTATTAAATTCCTGATCGAATTTATCGATGAATATATCCGTCGGTAATTAATTGTTAATTTATCGACGGATTTACTGACGGATATATCGTCGGTAATTAATTATTAATTTATCGGTGAATTTACCGACGAATATATCTATCGGTAACTAATTATTATTTTATCGACGGATATATCCGTCGGTAAAACCAAATTCTATATCCATCGGTAATGACTCATTTTCCGACGGCCACAAATCCATTGGTAAAAATCCGTCAGAAATTTGCAATTTTCTTGTAGTGCAGATCACCTCCAGCAGCTAATGAATTATCATTTTTATTGCAAGGATAAAATGTAAGTGGCAAGACCAAGTTGTGTGGAGGATTAAATAATGCTTTATATGAAGTGTTAGAAATGTAGGCTGAGAACAAGAGGAGGTGAATTGATCTTTTGAAATTTTTTCGCACTTCATGGATACAGATTATCTATTTCAAAGGATTGAGAATTCTGACCCAGAATTGATCCAAGAAATACAAGCAGAATTGAATAAGACACACGCAGAATTAAAGAGTGTAAAGGAATGGAAAAAGAAACACAGGAATTATACTGGTTCACCTAAACAACAGGGTTACATCCAGTTCTCAATCAAATTCCAGTTGAGTTCCACTAGATTGATATTATTTTGAATACAAACCAAAATGACAAAACACTTTTCAAAACTTCTCAAGTGATTTTAATCGATTAATTCAAAGTTACATCGATTAAAATACTGACAAAACATTTTTAAAAACTTCTCAAGTGATTTTAATCGATTAATTCAAAGTTATATCAGTTAAAATACTAACAAAAGATTTTCAAATACTTTTTTAATGAAAATAATCGATTAATTTGAATGTGCATTGATTAAAATAATGACAATATATGTTTTAAATGGTTTTAATCGATTATTTCGAAAATACATCAGTTAAAACTCTGTCAGGAATGTTTCCAACTGATTTTAATCGATTAATCTTAAAGTGTATCAGTTAATTTCAAGTCTTAAGAACATATTAATCAATTAAACATGTTTTTAATAGATTAAAATAGGTAGAGGCATTTTTAATTCTTTCAAATGATGAAACCTCATGTAGCAAAAAATAATGAATGATTATACCTATTAATATTGATGCACATTCACTAATCACTACATCCTTTAATCCAAAGATTCTTTGACTTCATCAAATTTTCAAGATCTTCAATCTACCATAAGGTTCAATAAGATCTCCATCACTTTTAGTCTCCCCTATTTGATGAAGACAAACACCTCTTTTTGAATCATTTTGAATAATCTTGATCTGCAAAAGAATAACTTGGATATACTATGTATTAGTGAGTATTAATTCAATATTAATTTCTCCCCCTTTGACTTCATCAAAAATAGGGAAAGAAGAGGTTTGAAACAAACATCTGCACAATATCAAAAAAGTTCAAACCAATCAATGAAATTAATTGATGTAAATCACGTTTAATCGATTAAAACATAGATGATAGATGTACAGTTTAAAAACCTAGAGCTTTTAATCGATTAATTTGTAAAATAATCGATTAAAATAGTACGGTTAGTGTATTTGAAATTCTATGTGGATTTAATCGATTAAAACTATTTTATATCAATTAAAATAATCAGAATATGTGAATTTATGTAATGTTTAATGCATCGAGAATCCCTAATTCAATTCTGATTAATAATAAAAGTTCAAAGTGTATATTGGTTAAAAATATTACAGACCCAGAAAAAAAAACAGTAAATAAAAAAAACTATGATAGAGAGGGACCCTTCTTGGTGAAATCAATCATCCCAATTCCCTTGATTCAATTGCATATCCTCCATTTTGGTATAAAGATCAGCAATTTGATTCCCAAGGTTGGAGAATTGAGCATTGGTTTGCTGGAAGTGTTGGTACGTCATCTGCATATGCCTTCGCTGATTTTCTTGCAGTGTTGCCATTTGTGAAAGCATGGTTTGTTCAAATTGAGAGAGAGGAATCCCATGGTCAGGTTGAGCACAGAAGGGTATAATCTCCATGTTCTCAAAAGATGGATGATCTTCAGTTGATTGGGGAACTTCAGTAGTTGGAGGAGAAGGAATTTCAGCATGATCAGGTTCTTCTTCAGTTTCATCCTCATCCTCTGACATCCGAGTTTCAGTTTTGGAGATCTAGTCCTCATCAATTTTGATAAATCTCATCTTCCTCATTGTAGCATCATCAATTTCATTGGATGCCTTTAGAGTCTCCACGTACTCTCTAGATAAATCCACTGTAAAATATCTAAAAATTTTATTAATCAACATAGCATAAGGTAATCTATAATCACATAGCCTCTTTGCTTTAATCATGTGATCCTTGATGACATAAACCCAATAAACCCGAATACTATTTGATATGCAGTACATGAGTGTTAAATCCGCTTCATTAAGCAAAGCATGATTGGTCCCCCTAGGTGTGAGCATCCATGCAATGATGAAAGCCAACAACCTCTGTTCTAGCCTTATTTTACCAACATTTAAGATCCTGACTAAGTCATTTTGATCTTTGAGGCAAGAGTGAAAAAATTGTATTTTATTGAAATCTGGCAATTCAGAAATGTTCCCTCTGGATACTTTGACACCAACATCCTGAAGTTCAGCCACTTGTTCCCATACCGTAGGGGTAATCACCATATTGACACATTTAACTTGTGATATGATGGTGGAGCCATTAACAAATAGATTTACATAGAAGACTCTCACAAGATCTGGTTGGATATTGCCTGTGCACTCAAAAAAAGTCTTCAGCTTTTGACTCTTTAATTACCTTCTCAGAGGAGTGAAGCCTTCATCATCAAGCCAAGCAAATCGAATATATTTTGGGATAACAATATGCTTTCGACTGAAATTGGTGATGAAATTATTCATCTTTTCAATATCTCAATTAAACCAATTTTCAAGATGACCTCCTTGATTTCCAGCAATAGAGGAAAATTCCCCTTTTTACCTTTTTTTACTGGATTTTGATCTCTTGAACATTTTCAGCCAAAATTTTGAAGAAAATATTGATTTTTTGAAAAGAAGAAGGAGAATTGATTTAAGAAGATGAAGAAGAAACTAAATATGATAAAGATGAAGAACCTGCTTTTAAAAGAAAAACAAAGACTGATATTGAAGGATAATGTGGTCTGTTTGAGTTTCCAGCTTTATCAATTTGTTGTGTTCCCTTGACTGAATACAAAGGTACAAGACTTGAGCAGTGGGTGTGCAGAATACATCAGCTATTTTGATAATTTTGAAGAGATAACCGATTATTTTGAGCAATTAATCGATTAAAAGTAAATGATTCAATATTTTAATTGATTAAAAATTGTTTTATATTAATTAAAACTATCAATTCATGATTTTATTTAACATTTTTCATATCCAGAATACCTAGTTGTTGTATGGATACCAAAATATCTTTAGATGTCTGTTCCTACAAGAGAAATTAGCAATATTTGGTACCCTTTGAAGATAATAGGGTCCTATCAAGTTATTTGTAATGATTTCTTTGGAACCCACTTCATTCTTCCTTTTGGAACAACATATTTTTTAATTCTATAGTATTTTACAGAATGACCTCTCTTTATGCAATAGAAAAATGATATATATTTTCTATATGAAAAATGATTTTTGATCTTTCTGGTTTTCTTGCTAATGATAGGTGTAAATCCAATTCCAGCATGATCAATAACCAGTTTTTGAGAACCAAAAAGAATATCAAGATTAGTTTTACCTTGTATAAACTTTGAAACATTTTTTATCAGATATTTAATTTTCTTTTCTGAATCTAAACATTTTTTACAAGGTTTGATTTTATTACACAAGCAATCAGAATTATCATGAATTATTTTTAAATAGTCAGAGTCAGTTTCATCCTCAAGTATTTTATTTTCAAGAGAGCTAACTTTATTCTCTAACCAATTATTCACGCCTTTTAATATGTTTTCTTTTTCAAATTTTCCTTGCTTCTTCATGTATTTCATTAAAGGCATCTTGTAATGAACTATAATTTATGAAAGTAGAGGAATTAGAACTTACACTGCTAGTTTGAAAATTCAGATTGACCATCAAGCAAAAAATTTCTTCTTCTTCATCATAATTTTCTGTTGATGAAGTGTCATTTTCATCCTAAGCAATATATGCTATCTTTTTCATCTTTTCTTCTTTCTTGTCATTATACTTGATTTTCTCATGACATTCCATTCTCACATGCCCCTACTTACCACACCCATAACATTTATAATTGAAGGAATCAGATTTCTTTTCATACCTTTTCTGTCTATCTTTATCTTGGATCTTCTTCTTGAGAAATATGTTGAACTTTTTGACTAGTAGACCAATATTTTCACTTTCTTCTTCTGATTCTTTTCCTGTATCTTCTGCTTTCAAGGCTATACTTTTTCCGTTCTTTTCAGAAATGTCCTTCTCATTAAATCTTAATATTTCTATTTCATGTTCTCTTAACTTTCCAAATAACGAAGTTGTAGTCATGATGGATAAATCTTTTGATTCTGAAATAGTTGTGACCTTGGGTTGCCAAGATCGGTCAAGAGATTTTAATACTTTTATATTTAACTCTTCTTTATCAAAAATCTTACCAAGTCCCATTAGGTGATTTATGATGTGGGTAAAGCGTTTCTGAACATCTGTAATGTTTGCTCCAGATTGCATTTTGAATAATTCATATTCTTTTATGAGAGTATGTTTCCTTACTCTTTTTACATCAGTTGTTCCTTCATGAGTTACCTCCAAAAATTCCCACATTTCCTTGGCAGATTAGCATTGAGACACCCTGAAAAATTCATCTATGTTAAGAGAAGATGTAATAATGTTCTTAACAGTGCAATCATTTTGAACTTTTTTCTTTTCATCATCATTCAAATTGGACCATTCTTTTTCTATAATAAGAGGACCTTTTCAATTACATTCCAGATATTCCTATCAATGGATTCAATAAAGATCTTCATCCTGATCTTCTAAAATGGATAATCTATACCACAAAATAGTAGAGGTTTGTTTATAGAAGCACCCTTAGAAAATGGTAATTTGTTTTCATCCATTTGAGAAAAAAAAATTTAGGACTGAAAGTCTTGAGAGATTTTCAAGACCCTGCTCTAACACCAATTGTTAGAAATGTAGGTTGAGATCAAGAGGGGGAGGGGGGTGAATTGATCTTTTCAAACTTTTTCGCTCTTTATGGATACAAATTATCTATTTCAAAGGATTGAGAATTCTGACCAAGAATTGATCCAAGAAATACAAGCAGAATTGAATAAGGTACAAGCAGAATTAAAGAGTGTAAAGGAATGGGAAAAGAAACATAAGAATTATACTGGTTCACCCAAACCATAGGGCTACATCCAGTTCTCAACCAGATTCCAGTTGAGCTCCACTAGATTGATATTATTTTAAATACAAACCAAAATTACAAAACACTCAATCCGCACCAAGAACCAATTTCCAGTTCTTGAACCAAACCTTCACCAAGAACCAAATTTCAGTTCCTGAACTAACCTGCAACCTAATTCCAGCTGAAGAACTAGTGCCCAAATCTTTTAGACACCCACACAATGCAGATATGAATTAAAGAAAACAAAGAGAAGAAACTAGAACAACCAAACCCAGTTATGCAGATGCAGTTCTTGCTTTGCAGAATGAGTTTTTTTACATGCAAAAATGCCTCAAAAAAGAACTTTGAAATTTTTCACAGAAACTAGTACACTTCTTCCTTAAAAAGATCTTTATTGATTGCTTGAATGATATCTCAAAGGTGTGTTTTAAAAAGTTAAAACAAATGTGTTTATATAGAGACTTTTTCTAACTAACTGGTTTAATTAATCGGTTATAACTTCTTTTAATCAATTATTAATTCTTGATCTTAACGGGTTTAATCGATAAAAATGTCTTTTAATCGGTTAAAATGTGTTTCATCATTTTTCAGATTTATTTTAACTGATACAAATGCATTTTAATCGATTAAAATAGTTATACAAAAATTCCTTAAGTTATTTTAATCAATTGATTCGCGGCTTAATCGATTATAATATTGTCATAAAATTTCTCAAAACTTCATAAGTGATTTTAACTGATAAAAACATGGTTTAATTGATTAAAACATTTAACCAAAACTCGTCTAAGTTTTTTTAATCGATTAATTTGAAGTTACATCGATTAAAATATTGACATAATACTTTTCAAAATTTCTCAAGTAATTTTAATCGATTATTTCGAAGTTACATCGATTAAAATACTGACAAAATACTTTTCAAAACTTCTCAAGTGATTTTAATCGATTAATTCGAAGTTACATCGATTAAAATATCGACAAAACACTTTTTAAAACTTCTCAATTGATTTTAATCGATTAATTCGAAGTTATATAAGTTAAAATACTGACAAAAGGTTTTCAAATACTTCTTTAATAAAAATAATCTATTAATTTGAATGTGCATCGATTAAAATAGTGACAATATATATTTTAAGTGGTTTTAATCGATTATTTCAAAAATACATCAGCTTAAAACTCGTCAGGAATGTTTCCAGCTGATTTTAATCAATTAATCTTAAAGTATATTAGTTAATTTCAAGTCTTAATAACATATTAATCGATTAAATAGGTTTTTAACATATTAAAACAGTTAGAGGCATTTTTAATTCTTTCAAATGGTGAAACCTCATGCAGTAGAAAAGAATGAATGATTTTAGCTATTAATATTGATGCAGACTCACTAATCACTACATCTTTTAATCCAAAGATCCTTTGACTTCATCAAATCTTCAAGATCTTCAATCTACTATAAAGTTCAATAAGATATTTATCACTTTCAGTCTCCCCTATTTGGTGAAGATAAACACCTATTTTTGAATCATTTTGAATAATCTTGATCTGCAAAAGAAATCACTTGGATATATTATGTATTAGTGAGTATTAATTCAATATTAATTTCTCACCCTTTGATTTCATCAAAAATAGGAAAAGAAGAGGTTTGAAACAAACATCCTCACAAAGTTCAAAACAATAAGTAAAATTAATTGATGTAAATCACGTTTAATGGATTAAAACATAGATGATAGATGTACAGTTTAAAAATTTAGAACTTTTAATCGATTAATTTGTAAAATAATTTATTATTGTTTAATGTATAAAAAATCTCTAATTTAATTCTGATTTTATAAAAACAAATAAAAAAGAGGTTGTATGAATACATAAGATAATTGTTATATATAATCACATTTTTTTTAATTTACACAAATTCAAAGAGTTAATAATATTTCCCACGAAAAATAAGATAAGATGATATGATATGATATATGAAATCATACAATAATTTCTCCTTTCAAATGTCAAGCACGTGAGACCAACGACCCAACGATCCCGGCGATGAGAGCGGTGGGATCACCAAGCACCGCCGACACCACCACCTGCAGGGCCACGCCGGCGACCTCACAACACCTCCTGACCCTACCACCTTTCCCTCCTCTCCCCTTATGGCAACCACTCTCAACCACACTCTTCAACCCCCCACCCTCATGCCAGCTCTCCACCACCATCTCCCTCACACACGCCACATGCAAGTTATACCTCTTGCACGACGACCTGTAGCTCCACCCCCGCCCCTTCTGCCCGCACCGGTGACACGCCGACCGCACCGTCCGGTACAAGAATAACTTCACTCCATTACCATAACCACCACCACCATTGTTGCCGTCGCTCCCAATAACCGTGGGCAGCTTGGCGCAGCAGGGGTGGAGGTCGAAGCCACAGGAGAAGCAGTGGTAGAGGAAGCCCTTGACGGGCTTCTGGCAGGCGTTGCAGTAGCGGGGAGTGTCGCCGGGAGGGTGAGAGAGGAAGTGGAAGGAGCATTTGGGGTAGAAAGGGTGGAAGAGTGAAGGAGAAGGAATGGAACAGTGAGTGTGGAGGTCGAAGTCGCAGAGGGAGCAGTTGTAGCGTGACCCTATGCCCAGTTCCTTGCAGCCGTCACATTGGAAGGGGGGATTCGGAGTAATCGAACGTTAGCTTGTGTTGTTTGTGGCTGAAGTGGGATATCTCGCTGAATTTCTTGGTCGCTGTTGTTTCATGCTGTTCATGGTCGTGTTTCTGGTGTTTAGGGTTTTGGGAATTGGACTTGAACGAAGTATACATGATTTTGTTTCTTCTGGAAAATTTTTGGAGTGAAGTGTGGGAGGGTAGAAAACGAATATATATATTCACAACGTTGTGTTCTTTCTCTATTAATTCTATTTTAGGCTAAAATTAAAAAAAATGACATATTTAAATGTTTCTGTTTTTCAAAATATATTTATATCTTTTAACAATTTTTTTGTAACAAATTTTCTAATTCATATATGAAAGAATTTTGAAGGTGATGGTGAAGAGAATCGAGGCAGACATAAGGCATATTATTAGGTCGTTTGTGCCCCACAAGAGAATATATCCCAATTTTTTCTTTTCTTTGGATGATATATATATTCTTAATTAACCTATAAATGAGTTGAAATTGAACTAATTATTTGGTAAAATTGAATTGTTGGAAAGATTATGAGAATGAAAACGTGGATGTCTAATCCTACGAGGCATGACATGCACGCAACCCCTAAAGTTTTGAAAGAAGGAAAGAACGAACGCATAAATTCTTTATCTCAATAATTTAACTTTTAAAGCTTCTTACCTTCTAAACACTATTAAATATTGGCTTCTACAACACAAAGTTTAACCACATTAATGACAACTTAATTGTAATAATAACAAATTGAATTATTATAGGAAATTTCTTGTTTAATTGATATTAAGTTAATTCATTCAATTTAAAACATTATTCTACTTTATTGAAGCTCTATGGAAATTGCAAAAAACAAAAAAATGATTAGTATAGTTGGCAGGTGTGAGGAGGAGAATGGTGTTTGAGTTGTAGAGATGAATGATTGGAGAGAATCTATATCTTCTACACTGCTTCTTTAAGAACAAAGTGAGAAGAATAAAGCAACAGAACATGGCTCAACAAGAATATTTTTGAGGAGTTTTTTATTTCTTCCCTCTTTTCATATTTTTGACCCTTATTTACTCATAAAAACAAGCATTATGAATCTTCCAGAAAGTGCTACTCATTTTTTCTTAAACTTCACTTTATTCAATTCTTCTGAGACAAGTGCAGTTGCAGGAGATTACATTAATGTAGGTTGAATGGAAAATCTTACTAATTAAGTCTCTTATTTGTTGTAAGAAGAAAATATAAAAAGTTGAGTGTTACAAGTGTAAATGAGAGTGTGTTTGGACAAGCATTGAGTCAAATCAAACACACTTAATTATCTTATAGGAATGAAGGACTTATGTCAGATAATACTATTGCAAATTGTTTTCTTATTACATATTTTTAAAAACATTCATAATTTTTATCTAAAAATTCATTTTACATCTGTTTTATTTTATATTTTAGCTTATTAAATTATTTTTCAATGGTAAAATAAATATGTTAGGCTTAATATTCAATTGGTTTAAAAATAAATAAATTTATTCAAAATTTCTATATATATAAATTCACATATTAAAAGTTAAAGAGAAAAAAATTAAAATTAACCTAAATTTTGTGGTAGCAATATAACAGTATTAGTGTAAAACTATAAGAACTAAACATCAACAATGGTCCCATGGTCTAGTGGTCAGGACATTGGACTCTGAATCCAGTAACCCGAGTTCAAATCTCGGTGGGACCTTTAATTTTATTTTTATTTTTTGTTTTCATTTTCTTTACAACAAACATCCTTTCCTTTTGAGAAATTGATCTTCTTTTTTTAATTTATTTTTTATTTTCATTGTTTTTAATTACAAAAAAATTCCTTTTCTTTTGAGAAATATTCGAATTTACTATGTCTTTTGAGAAATGGATGATCTTCATTTTATAAAAATAGTTTTATCATTTGAAAATACATTAATTGTTTCCCCTTAGTATTAAAAACTAATATACGTCAATAAATGGATAACAATGTCTTTATTTTTATTTTTTTAAAATAATTAACTATACACTATGAGGATACATTACTTTATAAGAAAAATACTTACATTATTTATTTTGAAAATTGTACCTTCATAAAAGATTATATATACTTAGACATAGAGTTAAAGGAGGCAAATCCAAGCAAGAAAAGTTTTCTGGATGAGCTTCTTGAAAGTACTGAAATCCTTTATTATAACCTTAACTATAATATTCCCTACCTTGGTAACCTTACACAATTGTTTTTCTAAGAAAAAACAAGATATTTTTATGATTCAGTTGTATGATGCTTCCTTCCTTTATCCGAGTCAAGTTTCCTGTGCAATATTTTGGTGCTACTCTTTCTGCCCCCAACAAATCTCACTCATTTTGGCACTAATCTTATATTGGATAAGAAAACGCAATGATAAATCTTGGAAAACTAGAAAATAACTAATTAAAAATTGAACTAAAAATATTAAGGAGAATTTTGAAAATAAAAATCATATGTAATATTAAACATTGGAGGAAATTTTATAAAAGAATCTCATAGTAAAAGAATCACATGTAATTGAACTCACCTAGTAAGTTAGGACATGGTACAAGATATAGGGTAGTGTAACTGATATTAGAGCTTATGGTTTAGCGAGATTGAGCATCTAGAGACACTGGATGATGCTTATGTTTGTACAAAAACTTTATTCAACAGTGAAATTCATCCCGTTATATTGAGTTAGGATGCAGGATAAGCCTGTCATGGGGGTTTCTCTCTTAGCCAATTGATGGAAATCACCCTGGCTTTTGGGTATTCCAACTACACTAAGACCACTATCCTTTAATTAGTAAGAATCTAATAAGTACTTCTACTGAAAAAGAAGGGAAGTAAATAATGCAATTAATAGGTGATGGAGTATACGCGATGGAACTTTAAGGCTCATCTTCTCACACTCGTTAGAATGACTCTTGAGTCTCTGCGAGCATGGAGTTTTCATCATCAAGAACTTTATTTCTTTAACGTTGTTCTTCACACTCTTCCTGTCAAACAAGAGATAAAGACATCATACGAAATACAAACTAAGAAAACAAGAAAGGTTTTCACCATATATGTAATTTATTTCCTGTAAGAAACCAAAACATATTCGCAATGAAATTATTTCATCACATCACATGTAAAGAATCTATTGTTGACATGATTAAAGCAACTATAACATAGTCACATGCTAAGAATTTTTTTTTTACTGAAAGATATGTTCATTTACAGAAGAAAATTCTGGATCTGGGTTCTTAAACTAACTGACTTCTTTGCAAATGAATCTCTATGCTTGGCTGATCTTTACAGGAACTTAACTCATCTTCAGATGTTTCCAATAACTTGCCCGGTCTTCCTCCAAAATTCGTTCTTGTTTGTGATGAACTTCTCAAGGTTGCTTTCCCTGATTGCTCCCACGGCTTCGCTCTTCCAGCTTAAGAAATTGTCATTACTCAGTTTGATAGAGACTGGGTTCATTGCTAGATGCAGTTTCAGCGAGAAATGAAGAGCAAGGAGATTCAATGAACTACTAAATTGATCATTACTCACTGTAATAATGCATATGGAGAGATTTATATACATCAACATGTATTACTACCTAACTAACTAACAGACTTTGGGTACGTTGGGAAAACTCCTTCACAAACACATTTTGGCGAAAAAAACTATAACCAGTTAATTTGAAGAAACTCTCTCACTGGATTCTTCAAACCAGAATGTTTTTCACTTGCATAGTCACCACCTTGATGGCAAAGGTTTGTCAAGATTTCCTGCTAGAAACAAAAAAATCAAAATAAACTACAATATAAACTATAAGCAGATTCCCATAAACAAAATTGATTAAGATGGCCATTGCATGATTACTGACATCTTCAGGCACCACAAAATTGTAAGGTGTATCAAACAAAATAGATTTTGTCACCGACACGCTCAAGAAGCTTGTCAGTTCAGTAACTTTCAAAATGAACAACTGCTTTTAAATAAAAAATACCTAGTGAAACGAGAATCCAGCAATGAATATGGACAGGTTCATTTAAACATGTGAGCCACCTGTGCTAAAGAAAGTACAAACAATATAAGCCCACTTTTACTTCCCATGCATTTTCTACAGAAGGATAATAGTCAAGGAATATTTGGTATTAGAATTTCATCATTCACTTAATCATACGCACTCACATTGACACTACCAGATAATGGTTAATAAAGATTCATCCATTCAAACATTAAAGAAACGAAAAGATTAATGGGACATTTAGGTAAACTGAGTAATTAAGTACTTACTTAAAAAGGAATTATCATAAAACTAAGTCGCAAGCTTAACTGTAAAGCATCCTACAATAGATTAGAAAAATTATTTGAAATGCATTCTTCTATGCATTCATTAATGGGAAATGTCCGTATCCTTGAGCGCTGAGTGGGCATTTAAGCATCCCCAAGTATTCCCATGAATCAAATAATCCATGTATTAACCAGCATTAGTTTATAATACAAATCTCCATTGTAACAAAATATTTTCTCATTCATAACCAAGTTAGAGCATGTTTGACTACCTCAAGTAAGCTCTTCAGTCTTTCAAAATCGAATCAATTGCATGACACATAAGGCAATACCAAGTAACAAACAAATCCTAATTTTTCCAGCTTATTAACTAAAAATCACTAATTGTATGAGTTAGGGATGAAGTTTGTTGAGAAGTGAAAGAATATGTAAAAAGAACTTCATAAAAGTGCACAAGAAATTAGGAATACACATCACTAAGCCTTGAAATAAAAAGTTGAAGAAATAAGGGGGTCATACATTCCATCATGTTCAATCATTTCTAAACTCAGAAACTAGTGAATTAGACACTACTTCTGGAATTCTTACTTCTCCTGTTAAGCATACAACATCAAGTCTCTGGTTCTGCAATCAAACTCCATACGTGAATGCATGAATACTCAGTTCAATTTCCATACTTAAGAAGGCAGGTTTCATTGCTGTTTGTGAAGGAGAACATGAGAAAACATTTCATTGAAATAGATATGCTCTACAGTTTCATATATAAGGCAAACCATTTGCTTACAAGAAGACCACGAATTTAGATTTACAAACTGAAAAAACAGAAGCTGACAGGTTGCAAATTCAAGATGAACAATGGGAAGCTTTAAGATGTTCAATGGGAAGCTTCAAGAATGAAAACGAAGTTCAAAATAAACAGACAGAAATTATAGCTTCACATTTACAAGAGAAACTCCAAAAATTCTCCATTTTATTGGTCATAAATATTACATGATACAAACAACACAATCAGTTATATCAATTTCTTTCTAAGATCTTCTCCAACCATAAGTCAGGAAAATGAAAACTATCCCTACAAAATTTACTCACCAAAGAATGAATTGTGCTCTCATTTAGTCTATATCCTATTCTAAATATGATATCTAAAACAACCAAAATGTCATCCAACCTATCTTCTTGTGATAGACTGTTAATCAGGTACTCAAAAGTCTGTTCATGGGGTTTCAGCTTCCATCTCGGAATGTTTAGCAGCCATTCCATTCCCTGCAGAGAATTTCCTTCTTTGCATAATCCAGTTATAATATAATCATGTGTACTGGCTGTTGGTTCCAAATGCCTATCACACATATCCTTCCACAACCTAATCGCACCCTGTGTGTCTCCTTCTTCACATAGTCCTTTTATTAGAGGATTAAAAGAGAAAACCGATGGCTCTAATCCCTGTGCAAGAAGTTCATTTAATAGTTTTGTTGCCTTAACCAGCTCCCCTTTCTTGCAAAGGCCATTAATAAGAGAGTTGTATGTAATCAAATCACGAATAATGCCCTTTTGAAACATTTCTTCAAACAAGCTCTGTGCTTCATCTGTCTTTCCATGCAAACATAAACCTGAAATCATTGTGCTATAGCTAACTGTGGTTCCTGCATAACCTCTGCCGCACATATCCTCAAAAATCTTCCTTGCCGCAACAAGATCACCAATCTTAAAATACCCATGCATCATTACATTATAGGTGTATTCATTTGGCTGAAATCCTTTTTTAATCATCTCAAACCCCAGCTTCCTGGCCTCCCCAGTCCATCCCATCTCACATAGACCCTTGATCACTGTTGTGTACATAACCCTATCTGGGAAATATCCTCTGTCCTTGAGATCATTAAAAACCCGGAAACCCTCAGAATTCTTCCTCTTCAAGAGTCCATTTATGATTTCTTGATAAGTAAAGATATCCGGATTACATTGCTTGGCAATCATAATATGAAGGATCTCAGATACTCGAGCATATTGTCTCTCCTTACAAAAGCCCCTTATAAGTGCATTGAAAACAACATTGTCAGGATGTAAGCCATTTTCCAGGAGTTCCCTAAGAAGTTCATACCCTTTCAAAACTTTGTTTTCTGCACAGAATGCCATTATCAGATATCCAACAGTTTCAACATTAATGCTAACAACAACACCAGATTCCGTCATCTGTTCATACAATGTCCAAATCAGATCAGTCCTCCCAGCCCTCAAACAACCCAATATGGAAGCATTCCAAGTTGCCACTGAGGGACAAAAGCTGGCCCGTTTCAACATATCAACTGCATCTTCAACCATCCCAGCCCTGCTGAGACACTGAATGTAATCCTCCAAAGAAGCAGGCTCGGGAGTGAAACCTGGGCAATCAAGCAATGATTTTGCTGCATTGCAAGCTCCAGCATCCACAAGCACACAGAAGAGGGCATTGCAAGATGATTGGTCAGGTGAGAAACCACAAAAAGAGCACATCCAGTGAAAGAAACGAAGGGAGAGGAAGGCATTGTTCTAGTGGTTAAGATAAAGGAGGAATAAAGAGGGGTCAGAAAAATTGATAGATGGATACAGGGAAAGGAGGGTGTCCTCCCAACGGGGCTTTGTTCTAGTAATCCTACAAATTTCAAGGATTAAGTTGCAATCATTAGCATCGAGGTTTTTGGTGGAATGATCATGATACCCTTGTTTGGTCTCCAGGGTAAGATTTCGGAAACGGGCAAAGCTTCGGCGGAACAGAGTTATAGAAGAATACAAAGGAGTTCCCCTCACCGTTGCCATTGTCATGGGGTTGGTACACACAGCTCAAACAATTAAAATAAGAGGAAAAAAAAATCAAATGAAAAAGCTAGGTGGAGCTTTTGGATGAACCTGAGCTTCATGCGACTAGCCTTTTGTTTTAATTCGTGAACTTCAGTGTTCAAACACACAAACATTGAAGTTTAATCCCTCAGTGCGACATCTGCTTTGTAAAAAACAAATTAGAGTTATCAATTATCCATACACTTTGCAAATCAAAGTAAAAATGGAGCATATGTTTCGTCCAGAGAGAAGATAATTTGTCTAAAAATGAAACAAAAAACGCATGTTATTGGAACAAATCCAAATCAATTAGCATTAACCTAATATTATCATTAAGCCACACAACTTTTTGGACTCTGGACTAGAATGATTAAATTGCAATTATAGGGACCCTCAAGACATTAACAGTGTTTTACCCAAAAGTAATTTACATCTTAGAATCATAAAATTTTGTTCACATAAAGAGGTGGCTGGAATGTGAAGGCATCCTGGTAAATAATGAAGGAGTAATAAAAAGCTTGCGAAGATACACATGCACATACATCCACAAGAATGAATGATTTGAATAAAAATATAAATGTATCAAAATTTCAAGGCATAGAAGGTGGATTCGTAACAAAAAGTATTAAATCAGTATTAAAAAAGTATCACAATAGCAATCATCTGCGTCACTATAACATTTTTTGGGTCAACCACTGCGTGCCAAGATTGCTAACTATGCTAAAATTTTCCACTTTCAATTCGTGTTCAAACTAAGGCATCTAATGCATGGATGGTGTTAAGAAGTAAACTAATCCAAACCCACTTTCAATATTAAATAAGAACCAATAGCAGTTGTTGAAGGTTGAAGCTTTAGCTCTAGATAGAGAGCCGGAAATAGGACCCTACAGGACCTGCGTCCTTATTTACATATCCTTTCCTTAGCAGGAGGTGAAGATCAAGCACATCGTGACGGAAAGGAATGATAAGTAGAATCGGTAGCGGAGGATATGAAATAGAAGCATTCCCGTCATCAGTGAAAGAACGCAGCCTTGGTTAAAAAGAGGTGGGAAGAAGAGATGGCATGGATAAGATCTTGATATGGCTGGCTCTCGCATAGAAAGGGGGTCCCAAATTGGACTTCTTCCACATAAGACTCGTATTTCTTAATCCAAAGAAGTTTCCCATTACGGTAGAACAAAAAGCCCCTAATCTCATCTCGTTTGCTCTTTTGAGAAAGCTCATCCCGGGAATACCCGTCGGAGACGCAGAGCTTTCTCAATGGCCCTTTCTATTTGGACTTGTGCCAAATGCACTTTGTCTTTCTTCTCTTCCCAGCTTTTACCATGTCCCCCGAACAATTTCGGTACATATGACGCAAGACGATTCCACATGTCGAGGTCGGAATGGGATCGGGTGTTTTCACGTCTCACCGTAGTGCCCGGTTTGTCTTGATTTCCGATGGATGAACAAGAAGGAACGAGGTGCTCGACCGGAAGGGAAAGGACTTGAGTGCTAGATTGATAGATGGAATGCTGACTCTGCTAGGCTGGATTTATAGCTTCATATAGGCTCTCCTATAGAAGATCGCTTCAAGAGGGCTGATTGCTACAGAAAAGAGGGATACGAAAGAAAAGAAAGAAGCCATAGAGATTCACTCATAACAGAAGAAATTACCCACCTAGAATACATATCTATATAAAAGAAATATATATAAGACATGAAAACAGAGTGAACGAAGTGACCCGAAGGGAGAAGAAGAAGAGGGGTCGAAACTCTCTCATTACGCTTTTTTCCAGATATGCCAGATGGGAATGAGGAAAGCGGAGATTCATATGCTCTTGTGTTTGGAATGGAATGCTTCTTTTAACCCAAGAGAACCAACATTCAGTTCAACCCAGCACTTGAAAACATCATAAGACCTTAGAGAAAGGTACTTTCTGTAAACCACAAAACTTCTTGAAAGCACCATCCTTCCATCAGAATCTGAAGAGAAAATCTATGAACATTCCCATTCCGAAAAGGGTCAAAATTCAAACGTTGGAGAAAAAGGAGTATCAGAAATCGTGGCAAAAACCCGGAAGACTTTTTTTTTTGGCAACATTCACAAAAACCCCAAATCTAAAAATCAATAATATAGCATAACCATTTCCACAAACAAAATAAAAATAAAAATATTTGAATGCAAGGAAAAAAAAAACAGTACCAGTTGTCTGGACTGAAGAATGATGGGGAGAACCAGCTTGTGGAAACAAGGACGAACCATAGCGTGAGAGTGATTAGGGTGACAGAAAAGAGGGAGAAGAAGAAGAAAGGTTCAGAGCATTCTTCAAGAACCTTTAATTGAGAGATGAAATCTTTGAGAGGATTTTTGCTTCACACTCAGATCTACTCACTCTTCACCTTCTTCTCCACCCTTCCCTGCTTTTGAGTCAAACAAGGATTTTTAAACCTTAAAAAAACTCCAACCTTGTGACCTAATTAAAAGCAACTACTGCACCACTACTCCGACTCAACTCAGACCCTTTATTAACATTTATTATAATTATCAAATCACTAATAAAATTTATCACTTCCTTCTTTTTTATCATTTAATATATATATATATATATATATATATATATATATAAAATAATTATTATTATCATATTATATCATAATAACAATAACAATAATAATAATATGTTCAAAAAATCAATTACGCATCCAAATTGTTAACATTTGAAAAAAAAACACAAAATATTAAATATTAAATATAAATGAAATTGAGTCTTAAATGAAAAATAATAATGTAAAAGGAAATTTTAAAAATACTCAATCATTTAAATAAATATAAGTTGAATAATGGTAGAGTACTAAACTCTTTAAGAAATAATAAAATGCAAGACAGACTTTTTTTATAAGTTTAAAAACAAAAACTTTAGGCTGAAAAAATATTACTATTTTTTAAATAAAAATAATCATATTACAAATCATTACATTATAAATATATTTGATTTCAATATTGATAAAAATTACAAGTAGTATTAAAGGATTAATTCAAGATTTGTGGATGATTAATTGTAACAGTAACGTATTTTATGCTAATAAGAGTTATAATTATATGTTGATGATTTGTAATTATATTAAAAAAAATTAAAATAATAAATAATGATATATTGTTCAGTTTAAACATATGTACAGTTCCATTCAATTTTTTTTTTAACTTTGGTATACTTGATATATTGTTTAACATTTTCTTTCAGTCTTTAAAAAGTTTAGTGTCAAAATTAAAAAATATTTTTAATAAAAAAATAAAATATTCTCAATTAACGTAATTATTATATATTTAATATTTTATAAATAAGATAATAAATAATATATATATATATTATTTTTTTAATTTTTAATATATTATCAATCATAATTTTATCGTTTTTAATATGAATTTTTTTTTCATTTAATATTTTATTTTAATACTACATTTTTTTATACAAAAAATAATTTAAGTTACATTATAATAAAAAAGTGATTATAATATAATTTATATTTAATATATCACAAAAATTTACTGTATCTCAACAAAACAAATATACTACAACCATTTTTTGTCTTATATTTAAAAAGAATATTATGTGCTTATGTTTTCTAAAATTTTGATAATAATATAATAAAAATTATAAAAAAAAACACTCATTACTTCTATTCTATTCAATTAAAAAATGTTGTATTAATACTTATATAAAATATTTTTCTTATATATATTAAATATTATATACGTATAAAATATAATATCAATGACTTTTTAGAATAATATTTTTTAATAGCAATTATATATATATATATATATATATATATATATATATATATATATATATATATATATATATTACTCATAGAACTAGTAAATACGATATGATTATACATCTTATAATAATAAAATAATCTTCATTTTTTTTTTCATTCTAATTATTGAAATTAATATTTTTCATTAATAAGACTAAAATAACACTAACCTTTATAAAGGATATAAGCGCAAGAATTTTTTAATGTGTCTTTAAAAATTATAAAAAAATAGAGTCCTCTTGCTAAGAATTCTCAATATTAAATCCTATTCTATAAAAAAAATACTTAGTATGTTTTTAATTACATAGGTTAACTATTTTTTGTTTTGGGTCTTCAATTAGTATTATTTCTTATTAGATTTTTGTTGTTAATTTTATTAAAAAAATTAACAACAGAAGCCTAGTTTAGAAATAAATTAGGTTAAAAGTTCTAATTTAAAAAAAAATTGTTCCTGGTTCTTTTTTTCAATAATTTTAAATTAAGTTTGGGTCGTTTACTTAAAAACAATTAACAATATATACCTAATTATAAAATAAATAAAAAACAAAATAATTTTGAAATCTAATTAATAATAGTCATGATTTCACATTATTTAATAGTTAAACATCACAAACAACACATTCAAAATCATAAAAGCAAACAAACACTCCAACAAGTACATGTCATAGAGTAAAGGAATACAAACATGTCATCTTTGTTATTTTATTATATTATTTTGAATTTGAAATATTTATTATATTTAATTATGTAGATTTTTCTCAATGTATCTACTATTTTTTTTCATTCTTTTATCAAATTATTCAACATATCAAGTCTTCTAAAACAAGTAAAATTAAACATCAAAATGAAAAAAAATTAAATATAGGAACGTTGATACTTTTTTTTTTTATTAAGTAGGCAAATTAAGCAATTACAATAAGTGGCAGGAGGTGTAAAGAGCAAAAAAAAAAAAAAGTGTAAACTGTACTCTTTCATTGAAAAAAGTTACTCAGTCCATCAATACAAGAGAAAGAATTTTTTTTATAGTCTTTTAAATACCAACAATATCAATAAAATTTTAAATAGTGTGAGTTGCAGTAAAGCCATCAGAATAAAAAGATCCAAAAGGGAAAAAACAAATCAAGAATATTAATCGGAAGGTGAATAAAGCAATGATGAACAGATAAAGAATTAATGAAAGCTTTGAAATAATGGTGGTCTTACTATATAACTATTCTGTATCTTTTTTCTCTTTATCACATAAATAAAGCAGCATGAAATGATCTGACTTTTACTAATCCGTGAGTCTGTCACATACAAAATCCCTGTGGAAGTTCAATGCACTGAGAAAGCATATTGAGTTTTCCACAAAAATGAATGCTTCTGTACACACTATGTTTACAAAGCAATTCCCTAAGCTTATGAATTGACAACTAGCCAGCCTAACCATAACAAGCTCATGAACTGACCTTGAGCATAAGTTGGCCACTCCAGGTGGCTGTTAAGGAGCTTTATACAGGTTGATGTTCTCATGAATACTAACAACAACATTCCGCAACTCAGGGAAGATGGATATGAGTAGAAGTTCAAGTATTGCATAAGCAAGTTGCTTCACACATATAGAAGACTGCAATGAAATAGGATAAAACAATTGTTAGTTTTTAGAAGGAATGTAAATTGTTTGAGTACTTAAAAATAAGGCCAACAGAAGAAAGAGTTAACAGTTGACGAGTCAATGCATCAATGGGAAAGAACTTTAACCTGAGTAAAGTAATATATATCACTGGCACAACGTCTATACTGCTTCTGACCAATGAAGCCAACTAAAGCTGCCGGAGCTCCATCTGACCAAAATGGAGGCAAATTTATATGTCAAAGTCTAGGAGTGGAGATGTTTGCTTCAAAGTTGACAAGGTTACAAAGACCTCACAAACAGCAAGAAAATACCATAGCATTCAGTCATGTTCATCAGCAACAAAGCCATTAAGTTCAAAGGAAAATCTCTTAGAATTTTGACTTGGAGCCTAACTTAATCCTACAAAATCAGTTTGTAAGATAAGAACTATCCAAACTTCATAATCTCTTTAGGGCTTTAATGAACCGTGCATTACTAGCTTGTAAAGGAGGGCTAGGGTATCTTTCCAATGGCTTTATAAAGTGTGAATACACAGAACTAGATCACGAAGTTTAACTAATTAGTAAAGCTCCACCAATACATTTTTCCTTTTACATATTTTAATGGGTGGAGAAACAGTACTTGTAATTCATCAATTGTATTTCAGAAAGAAAAAAATCTATACTAGTAGCCCACATTCACTACATAAATAAAATGTTATATATTTAACTTCTTGAAATTCAAAATTTTCATTAATTAAATTGGAATCAAATATTTTGTTCATACCAAGAGGAACTAACAAACCATAGTTGAGGAAGAAAATGAAGAAACAAGTAAAAGATTAAAACATCACCAAAAAGTAGCAAATAAAAACTGAAAGAAGAGACATAAAACAATATCTTGTTTGAAAAGAGTTCCTACAATGTTAATAGAAGGTAAAATGTATAAACACATCTGTAGTTCGACCAACTATCCATATCAGTTTGGAATCGTACATTCAGTGGTCAGGAAATTTTTGCTGAACCACACTGGAGGTGATTACAAGTAAACCATGATGGTGTATATGCAAATTGGTTAAATTTGAACAGGGTGTTTGTACTAGCCTAAGAAGGAAGATAAAGATATAAAAGAGAAATTTAAATAAAGATTCAGAAAGAGCAGGAATCAATCCATTTCAATGCACCACCATCTTAGGACTATACAGAAAATACAACTAACCAAAGAGAAGTTTCTTCACATCACTTGCTCTACGAGCAGCCTCAAGCTGTAGCTCGAAAGATCCTGACTGTGATTTGGACAACCTGCTTCCAACAGATTCAATTATGCTTGGTAAAGGCTTTTGATCGCATGCACTTCCACCAATTAACACCTGAGGGGTCTGTACTCTTAGAAAAAATGTACCACCTGGCCAAAGGATCTGCAAACATTATGTAAACATTAGCACAACCTATTGACTATTATTTTATAATGTTTCCTTTCGGCTGGTGAACAAAATAATGAGACCAGGATATTAAGCTAATAGGTTGGACAGATGAACAGAATTTTCCTTTTTATCCCCTTTTTTTTATTTTTAGTTTATATCAGAAACTATTGAAATAAAACTATAAAAAGAGAATAAGATGACCTACACAGAAGTCAAAATTAAAAGAGCATGAAACAAAAACTGCAGAAAACAAGGACAAGCAATGACATTAATCCAAAAAGCACTCTTCTCCAATCTTGCATGTCTACTAGAAACCAAGTATATTCAAAGTAGGGATTTGAAGTGTTTGATGAAAATTTGGCTTGCTCTTAACTTGAAGTAGTTTCAGTTTATTAGTTTTTGGAGCTTCGGTGAGAGTGAATAGAGTATAGCTAGCAGCACAAAGCTTATGCATTGCTCTGGTCAGAATTTCAGAATTATAAAGCCAACCTTTGTCCTTTTGCTTGTATGGCACAAGATTGTCTCTATAGCTTCTCGGCTGAATTTAAGACAATTTTTTCCTGTCAATGTATCTATTAACAAACAGCCACTAAAACAATCCAGTGCTCTAGATGAACACATAAAATTGAGGAATGCCATATTTGGGCGTGATCTAGTTAATTAGCATAAAAATAATCTCTAGGTAAGCAAACAATGTCACATTAAAATATGTTTAAGAATTTGGTTCAATTCTTACATCTTGGACCCACCGAAACCCTTGGGCAATGGTATCCTCTCTGCGGAGCCAGTGAATCTCACTTAGGATCCAATCATCAATAGCATCTTCCATCACCACCTGTAATATCTGTTTTGAAATCCAGAATACCTGTCTTCTGTATCAACAGAAAGGGGAACTAGCATTTGTAACTTGAAGGGAGTGTTGGAATATATGAAGATATACAAAATATCTTGGTCATATGTTAGATTTTTCTTTAGGATTAATTTCCTGTTTAGTTATGATCATGGTTAGTATAAATAAGGATTAGTTCTTGAGATTTTATGTATATATCATATGTAATACATCACAATAGAATATCATCAAGTCTCTATTCTCTCGCTTTATACTTAAACCTATGTATGTTCAACCCCTCTAAACATGCAAAGCTACATATCTTAAATAACTTGCATGGTAGAACAAACATTCAATACAACAACAACAACAAAAGCTTCTATAAAATACACAATAACAGTCACCTTGGAAATATAGGAAGACCAGAAAGATTACTATACCTTAACCAGCCTCGTTTCTTAAGTTGAAATACGTTGTCAACCAAATTCAAAATAGGGACAGTCACGTTAGATGGGGTCCACTGCAAGAATAGTTAATATTATGAAGGTTAATAGTGTCTTCTAAGCCAAAAATAGAAAGGTTAAATTGATCAAGTCACTGTACTTTTTTAAAATGTCCAAATGGGTTCCATAAAGTGTGTAATTGGGTCATTATTCTTTCAAAATATTCTAATTCAGTCTTTATTGTCAGAGCACCCTTTCAGTGTAACAAAATAAAGGGTGAATTCATGAACTCGAATTAAAAGTTTGAACTGATAGTAATCTAATTATTTTCCTCTTTTAACTTTTAATGACTCTATCAAAAACTCTTTAAAATCCTTATAATTTAAAAAAGAAAAATGATCGAGTCCTTCAATTTGGCATATGAGTACCATAATAGTGCTCTAACCGTAGTGTCTTGATTGAAGAAATTTGATTTTGTAGAGATCAATTAAGCAATTTGAATTATGAGTCCTTCAACTTTCTTGATAACCTAATGGCCAAGTTGATATACAAGGAAGTCAAAGGTGGAGATGAAACCAAGCATCATTCTTTTCAAAATTAAAATTTCCCTAATATGAATTAGAAACTAATCTTGGACCCAAATTTGATCATGAAGGTGGTTGAACACCAATAGCATTAGAATCTTGAAATTTCAACTTGTTGGTTAAGCATTTAGCATTAAGATTTGATGAGTCTATGCATGATTGCTAAGCAAAGGAGCCAGAAGGAAGGTTCAAAGATAATCATGGTGATTCATGTTATACATAGTCCACTTCTGTCCCCACCATAACCCAAGCTACTGGACTTGAGTTTGCATGCAGTGGCTAGTGGGCTCCCATTGCGATGGAAGGAAAGTATCACAATGCTTTCAAGAAGGCCAGATGAAGATCATGGTGATGAAGATGAACCATCATATCAAGCTTCCACTATTCCAACCTTGAGGGGCATGGTTGATTTTAGGAGGGATGTATAGGGATGCATTGTTAGGATATAAGGAGAAGGAGAAATTAGTTAAGATAGTTAGAATATTCATGCATTATTAAGATAACTATAATATTAATGAATTAGTTAGTTAGTTAGTTAGAGAGGTAGTTGATATAAATAAGGAAAGAGGGATAAGGGAAATTCAGAGTTACTGTTTTTGTAAATTGAGCATTGAATCTTTGTGAAAGAAGAACTCTTTCATGAAGGGAAATCCTTGGAGAGAGTGTTGTCATATTTTTTGTTCTTTTCGTCCTATTCAATTAAAAAGTTATTTTCTTTCTCGTTTCAATTTTTGGTTCCTAACAATTCCCCTTCTTTCCTTAGTTGTTGGATGCATGGTAATCACACAAACGATTAAAACAAGTTTTAGCTAGCTAATGGAACAAAATTCAATAAAAAAACACAACATTTCTTTTTTCTTGTTCCAATTTTATTGAAGGATGAGTAATTCTCTTTCTTTTTCCCTTAACGGAGATCAGTACCAACACTAGTATAGTAATGTTGTACAATTTTCATCATGTATTATTAATCTAAAGGCTATCCTCAACTTCACCGAGTAGGCATGTTCGCAAAGAGAATAAGTAGCTAATGCATAACTTAAGCACAAATCAACATGTAACAGCAAACCAAATATCTCAATCAAAAAGTATGATATGCAAACAAAAAGAAGAGCAATCCTAGTTGGCTACAGACCTCAGGTGGAACTCCAACTGGATCCTCCATATAATCAGGAACTAGATTGAAATTTGTAGCTCGAACATCTTTTCCAGCCTTAGCTTCCATTGTTGCATCATGTTTTCTATCTGGATTCGAGTTAATAGACCCATTACCATGGTTCATTAGCAGTTGTAAATAATCCTTTGAGCTCAATTCATTGTCAGAATTCCACTCATTATCTTCTGCTTCTTTATCAATATTCTCATCACCAAAATTAACTTCCTTTTCGCCTTCCTCATTATCAGAGCTTAACACACACTCTGTGGTAGGCCTTGAAACTCTTTTTTCCATTTCATCAATGTTCCAACATGTGTTCCGACTGGTTGATGTAGAAGAACCCTCAATAGTAGGGGATGATGAACCAACAACTTTTCGAATTAAACCATCTGAAACACCTTTAAATTGTCTCACAATATCGTCCACAGCATCATCTACATTGACTGCCAATATAAAAAAAATTGAGCATTATAGTAGGATCTTATTTAATGATAACAGATAAAAGAATGGTGTATAGCTTGTAATAATAGGTAAAATCCTATTTTTAAATAAAATTGAAAATAAAGATAGAAACACCCAGATATTTATGAGTTAGACAACCTCCCTTCCCAAAGGACCTAAAACCCTTGTGACAATTTCTTGCCTAGTTCCTACTTCCTATTCTTCACATTTATCTCACTCCCCAACCAAACTTCTCTCCTCTCTCCTCATTTGCCATTGTAACATAGGCATTCACTTATTCCGTATTTGATATTTTCTATTTTGTTCTCTTATGTCCTTACCGACGTTTTTATTCTCTATTTCTCATCTTCTACCAAGTATAAATAATAGGGGTTATATATCACTTTATATTTTGAACTATTAATACACAGGAAAAATCATAGAAAAGAGAAGAAAAAAATTTACAGAGAAAAACCCTTTACAAATAACAGTTAAGTTCATTAACTAATGCTATGCTTCAATGTTGGAAATAAAGAAAGGACTGATGCAAAAACAATTAAGTGGCATATTAAATTGCACTACAATCTTCTCATATGTAGCTTTAAAAAAATCTAATAAAACTTTTCTAAAATACTTTGTTGCTGATAGAGAAGTATTCCAAGTAGACCTTTAGTTAAGATATTAGCATACTGGGAAAAAGCAAGAGCATGAAATAATATACCTCGCACTTAAACAAGTATGACAAAAATCCTCAATGTTTTAACCATAAATACCTGCCAGGGTCCTCATCATTGAAGAAGATTTTCCAAAAGAGTAGTTCTTCAAGTGAAAAAAGGAAAGAAAAAGGTGCTTAGATTGTCGTTTTTCCCATCTTCATGTACCAAAGAAAATGGTACAATGTCACTTATCTAATGTTACAATAAGAAATACCAAGCATATACAAACCTTTGAGGAAACACTCAAAAAGTCCCACACTTCATGTTGTTCAGCAATATTAGCTATTGATAGGAGATCCTGAAGCAAGTCATCACATTTGATTTAATGATATAGATGTTAAAAATACACATCAGAAAATATTGACAATTGTAGAATATGACTGAAAATACCTGGAGATATTTATCAAACTGAATGCAACGCTGATAAACAAAGGCATCCTCTGTGCTTGAGGAAAATATCCTTTTGGGAGGCAAATGTAACATGTAGTTGGGTATATCTTTTAGATGTCGATGCAATCGCTCAAAATTCCTGTATCTGAAAGTCACCTAAAAATGTTCAGTGATGTAAAGCACAAATATAAACAAAGAATAAAATAATTTTGAAACTCCATAATATGTATTCCCTAATATTACAAATTAGTTTAAACTACAAAATGGGGAAAAATGATGGTTAAAAGAAAAAATTGATTGCTCCTAGCATTTTACTATATGGTTAAAACTTAAAACCCAAACATTACAATTCATAATCAATATAAATCCAAGTAAACCTATTGGAAATTATCCAAATTCAAACACACATAACTTTGCAATTCCCCTATAGCAATGAATGAAGGTAAATGAATGAAGGTAAACTCTCTACCTTCTTCTAACAAACCAAGTTTTCTCTAGACCATCAGTCACTGCAATTGAATAAACAGCAAAAGAAGTGGATCCTAGTTTCTCAAAATATGCTCCCATCACCTGTAGTGTGCAAGTAGACAACAAACAACAAACTAACAATCAAATTGAATAAAAGCAACCACAGCAAAATATCTCATCTATCATAGGTTGAATCCATTCAAATTTGTATGAGTTAATATTATATAGGTTTCAAATTGACTTACATTTTACAATAGTATAAATCAAAAGTTGCAATAATATCATACAAAAGGGTATACCCGACACCGAAGCTTCGGAACCAAATATCCCTCTCTTCTAAAAACCATGTCAGAACCAACCTTTCCCCGAAATCCTTCATTGTTTTTCTCAAATTCTGGGTTGTTGAGATCTGACCTTGGGGACCCCTTTGGGGACCCTACCTTAAGATGAGTTTGGTTAACTAACAGAGAAGCACTGTTGGATCTCTTTAGATCTTTATATTTGTTACAAGTGAACTCCTTGATTTCCTTCACTTCATCACCGTAAGGGTCTGCTTCAAAAGATAATTCCTTGTCAGGATCAGGTAAAGACTCTGACTTGTTAGTGCCTACAACATCTAGGAGTGGATCTGAACCCACACAATGCATAGCACCCTTTCCTTCTGGAATTGCATCAGCTGCAGGACATTTCATAGAAGGGTCCTGTAAGCCAGTTTTGGAATTTTTATGTTCTTTCCGTCTATAATTCCTTCCTTTTGCCCACATGTTCTCCAGATTCTCAGGTGTAAGAACTTCAGTTCTTCTCTGAGTTGCAGCCTCCAACATTTGTGCCCAATCAGCAGAGGCAGTATGATTATCATGTCCACCCCCAGCACCAGAATGACCATGATTATGAGTTGTATTAGTTGAATGTTCAGTGGCCCCCATCCAATTTACACCATCATCATTAAGGACAAGTAGAATGGATTCAATCAGCTCATTGATATACCTAATCATGAATAGAAATATATTTTATGAATTGAAATTAGAATAAAGTTAAATGTCCACTAAAATTCAGCTTTATATAACAAATGTAACACCGCAACAGTTTAATCAAGATGAAGATCCAGTTTCTACAAAACTTGTGCATTCAAATGTTTTCAACTGATTAGATTAGATAACACGCTAAGCTTTTTTTCTTAGATTAATAGAAAAGATATTTTAGGTTTGTAATCAGATATTAGATATTAAACTAGCCAACTTGAGCGTTTAACATATGTAACATGTACTTTTTTTTACTTTTTTCTTAAGGGGGGAAGGAGGGGGAATATCATCACTATCTTGTTAGTCACCCCAACTAAGTTAGCGCCACAAACAAACAACACCAATCATATGCAGCACCTCAGAATATCATATAAAAAAGAGAGAATATAAAATCAAGTGGGGGACCGCACCAAACCCACAATAAACCCTAATCCAATAGAAAGGTAAACCAAATCTATCCCTGAAAAACTCTGGGCAAATAAAACTGATACATTATCCCACCATTTATAACCCTGTGTCAAAGTCAGCAAGTTTATCAGCTCATTGATTACCCTCCCTAAAAATTTCAGAAAAATGAATACATATACTACTACTAGTTACAAAACAATTGAGTCATCTAGTACAAAGCACCCAAGGTTTTCTTAAACATACAGTTTTGCCATACATATGAAATCTTCAAACAAGTTTTAACTATGCTATTGGATACTTGATGTGCTGGTCACTTGTTGGGTTTTTACATGTAAACCTTTTTGTCAAATTATCTACACTTGTTAAGTTATTCACATTAGTTTAGATATTGGTCTTTGATAGAACAACCGTGTGTGTCGGATGACTGACAGGACACACCCAAATCTTTTATTTCAAAAAGGACTAACAATTAGTAGATGGGATCATGGGCACAGCACATTGTATTCTTCTTATGCATGCTTAAGGAACCATTTCTCAACCCGACTCTTAATACCCTAAAGCCCATAATATTTCCTCTTGGCCTTAGATGTTCAAATTTATTGACTAGCTACTGCCAGGATGTACCAGTAACACACACTTCTATCCACTCTTTCCTATCTCAACCTTGAAACTTATCAACCAACAGCCAGAACAAAACCATGGTAAGAACTAGTAAGGTTTTTATGCCCCATATACACCAAGTCTGATCAGAAACCTCTCCCCCTAAAAAAACAGACAAACTTTGAAACTTTCAAATTTCTATCTAAAAATAGAAAACCCTTCAACAGGTTACGAATTGTTATGGCCCACCTCCCTATCAAGAAAGGCTTAAAGGAAGTGAAATTTAAGACAAAGAGTTAAACTTACGCAGGGCTTGCCAAATTCATGACAGGTTGCAATATCAAACAAGTTAAAAGTTCCCGAGCTATACATCGAATGACAGGACATTGGGCTTCTCGTTTTCTCAATACTGTAGTTAATAATCCACTCATTAGCCTCTGGAGAACCTAAAGAAAGAGAAATCTCATCAGATGATACATGACATATATTTTGCCAAAGTAAAATATAGACAACATCTAGACACTCCACTCACACCTTGTACTCACTCTCTGGAGATATTAGTGCTGGATGAAGCTCCTTAGAATTCAAAAGATGGTACTTCAATCTTTCATCCCTCTCCTCAGAAGATAAGGTTAACATGACATCAACACCTATAGCAGCTTGATTTCTTCTGAAAAGGTCTATATGATCCCCTATTAAATCAACTATGTCCCTACAATTATAAATGATACATAACACAACCAGTGATTTTGTTTATTTCAAGAACTTGCCAAATTCCTTTCTTCAGGGAACAAATAATAAAAGAGGCAGAAATCATGTACCTTGTGAGCAAGTCAACAAGGTTTATCTCTTTAACCCTCACTGAAACTTCAGTAATAGCATCCATGATTAAGTCTCGTATCAGCTCAGGAAACTCCATATCTGGAGTAATGTCTGAATACCACATATTTATCACGAAATCCTTCAATATCAGATCAATGAAATCATTCAAGGCTGCCTCTACAACAGGAGAATCGATCTTCTTCTTCCATTTGGGAGGGGGAGGTGAAGAAGAGAGTCGTTCATCATTCAGAGACAACTGATTTTTCTCCAAATGAGATAGGTAAGTCTGTAATCTGTGTGGCTGAACCTTCCAACGGAATTCCACCTTATTCAAAAGAATGCGCAGAGCAGCAACAAACAGAATGGACATGGGAAGATTCATCCACATAGATTTACTTGTATCTGGTGAACAACAGCAATAAATTAAAACTGGCAGTCTTAAGAACATAACCCCGATACTGAAATAACTAACTTAAATATCAAACTATGCAGCCTTAAAACAAAACCGAGTCCCGGATACCAAAATGACATTTATCAATCAAAGACTCTAAATTCCCAGTCGTAAGGGAAAACCTCACTGGAAAAAAGGACAAAACTTAGATGCAATTTCTTAAGTACTTTTAGTGTTGTTCTCTTACCAAAATAGAAGTTTTGCTTAAACAATCTGCGCAATAAAAATGTCGCATTGAAGATCAGCATAACTTAGCAAGTTGAAACTCAAATTCTGATTGAACTATACCACCAAAAACACTTAAGGGCATGCATGCATCTAAGTTTTGTCCCTAGAAAAATGACAAGTCTGAATCACCGTCTCTACATTTGCAATCTAAAAGCAAAACCCAGATGGGAAAACGGCAAGTTTCAACCAAAGACTCAAAATTTGGAGTCTTGAAGCAAAACCCAGATAGAAAAACATCACAAGTAACAACAAGGAATCATTGTTAATATAAGAAAAAAAAACATAATGAAAGTAGGAAGAACTTACGAGTGAAGAAATAGGAAATGGCGAATATACAAAGAGCCCACCAGAGAAGACGGAGCTTGGCATCTTCAATGAGATCATAGATGATGTCCATGGTGGGTGTGGGCGTTAGAGGACCCATCTTGTTCCCTCTGTAACTAAAAGCGACCACCTTGCCACTTTCAAATATGGCATGACAATGTCACAGCGACAACCTCGCTATCTTTGTTCGGTTTCAGTTCGTTTCCTATTTCTAAGTCATCTTTAATTAATAAGCTTGCTCTAAGAAATTGAGTTTTTTTTTTTTTTAATTTCAATTAAAATTTTAGAATTTAAGTAGAGTTTAATGAAACCCAATGGGTTGCTCATTGATGTTTTCTACGTTCTATAAAATTCTATAAAAATCTTTCATCACTCCTTTTCATTCCGAGAGTAGCATGAGTAGCATGAGACGTAAGAAATGTCCTTTACCAATAAGGTGATCATAACTTTGGTTTGACTGCAGGAATATGTATATTACAAGAAAAATAAAAACAATAGTTAGCACGTATGAAAAGGTTGTTTATATTTATAATCAATGTTTTCAAATAATAAATTTATATATATATATATATATATATATATATATATATATTACAATTATTATTATTATTATAAATTGTTTTGTCTAGAAATAAGTAATATCATGATTTTATATACGTTATAATATTATTATTATTATGTCTCATATATTTTAATTTTAAAAATTTAGTCTATTATGGTTTTGTTTTTAAAAAAATATCAAAAAATAATATATATGAATTATTTTTTATTTTAATTCTTAAATAATGTGAAAATTGTGATGATACTAAAATATAATTTTTCATTAAAAATTAAGAAATATAAATAAAATAAGATTTTATACAAGGATAAGATTTTATACGAGTATCTTGTATAAATAAAATTACGATGGATTAAAATTTTAAAATCAATAATATATCGAATAAGAGATCATAACATTATATATTTTAAAATATTAAAAATAAATTCCCATAAAAGTAATAAAGAGGTATTGTTCATGTTTCATAGAGTAAAAAAAAAAAACAATTAAATAAAGGAAAAATTCAAGATAAAAGTGTGCAGAAATAACCCTAATTCTCGATATATTCTAAGTGAACACTAAATTTTGTTTTGTATTGAAGAATGTTTCTTATATAGCTTGGTGTAGCATAGAGAAGAAGGGAAACAATTCATTCAATATGAGACTAAGCTACTATCAATCAGACTATTTTCTTTGATTTTTTTTTTTTTTTTCTTCAATGTTAGTCATTAATGAAGCTGGCATTAGATTTCAACGTTCCTAGTATTTATGAAAGGAGATCATTTGTCCAAATTAAATTATTTTTCGGTAAAAATGTTTATTAAAGTTGTAAGGGTTCATTATCTTTATAAATTTTGTTTATTATGATGTATTTTATTTTGTATGGTTCTTGATGAAAAAATTGTGTTAGATTTGATTAATTGATACGTAAATTTGTTTTAAATTAACACATTAAATTGATAATTTTAATTGGTGAAACCGTTTTAACATGTCTTTTCTTACTGTTATGTAACGGATTAAGAGTGAGACAGATTCTTTGATTTGTTTTAAAAAATATATTTATATATTAAAATTAAAATAATTATAATTTAAATATTGTATTTTTTTATATTATATTATTAAAATTTATAAGTATATTATATATTATAATTAAAATTTTATTAAGGTTCGTGTTTATTCATTGTTGTTTTCTCTTATAATTTTAATAATTATGTTATTTGTAATTGGTTTCTTTTTTTTCACTTTTTAATTAGTTATTCTCTTTATAATTATGTTATTTGTAATTGATTTTTTTTTCACTTTTTTAATTAGTTATTAAAGTAATTCCTTTTTTCTTAACAAAATTTCAAACTAGAAAATGTTTTTAAATGAAATATTAACTTTACTTCTTAATTTTTAAAATTAATTACGTCAATTACAAAATATTTATAATTATTTATAAATTAGTCTATCTATTTATAAAAATAGACCATTTTAGTAAAATTATTTAAAAGATAAAATATCTATAATTATTATGAAACATTTAATTTCAAATACAGACTAAAATAATGTTATCTTATTCAATACTTATGAATTATTATTATTATTATTAAATTATTAATTAGTTTGTCAGACAAGGATTAAGTAAAAAAATAAAATAAAATAGGTTATTTTGTATTGTACATGTTTTCTAAATATACATATAATATGCCAAATTTGGGGAGAAAACGTGAATTGATTCAGAATGACGATTTCATTTGTAATTTATAAGAGTCAAATATACAATATCATGAAAATAGAGGGATGAATTTGTAAAGAGTAAGATATGTGTTTAGGGTTCCTTTCCTCTTGCTCGACCTCCGTTTCGCTCGACCTCTGTCTTGCTCGACTTCCATCCACAGTCCACGGTTTTCCAACTTTGTGAGCGTTCATGCTACTGTTTAGTTCCCAGTTCTATCCATGGTTGACGACTACGTGAGTGTTCATGAACATCACTGTCTCTTGTTTGAGCGACTCCTGCGATGAGCCTTCGACTGATTTGCAAAAAGTAATCCATTCTTGCTTTTTTTTTCTGTTTATCTTTGATTGAGTTTGTAATTAAAGTGTTCTTCAGGGTTTAGGGTTACTTGAGTTATTATACTATATTAATGTCCAACAAGTGGTTGATGAAATGTTAGAATGAAGAAGTTTCAATTTATCCTACACAATATACACACTTTCTTGTTTGAAATTTAGGTTTAGGTTTGAAATTAGTAATTTTTTTGCAAATGAAAAGAACTAAGACACTTCGTTTCTTGGATCTTTAATGAATGATAGAAAGACTTACGTAAGGTATATTGACTCACCTAGTTTTTGTTAGAGAATGCAAAATGTGTCGTAGGTGATAGCTAATTAATTCATGTAAAAAAATGTAGTTCAAGCAAAAATATATTTTGAAAGGCTTGTGATTGAAGTATGTTGGAATATTGAATGACTATATTCCTTATCTCATATGCTTCACTGTTTTTAGTATAATAAATTTTTGCAGTTAACTTGTGTTTGCTTGAGCAAGACATTCATTGTTCTTGCTAAGTCCTCGAGCTTAATTGCTGAGTCAATAGAGAAAAAGAAAAAGAAAAAGAAAATTAACATTACATAAAATGCACATGCTACTCTAATAATTACATGACACAAAAATGGTTGTATTGCATGCATACATGTGCTGCATAACGATTTAGGGTTTAGGGCAGTTAACAGTAGCAACCATAGCATGAATAAGTATGCTTTGTGGTTGCGGCCTGATCGTTGACATGAGAAACATTTTGAAAAGTATATTGGTTGGAAATTGAATAGTTAAGCTTTTTCCGATTGGGTTTCTTTATGAGTAAAAACAAGTTCAGATCACCATAGTCAGGTTCAAATCCTGATAATTTAGTGTGATAAAACAATGTCTCGTACTTTTTTTGTGTAACTATATATTCTGTTGAAATCATATTTTCTTAATAGACTCTTGGTATCTTTACATGAGAAACATTTTGAAAAGTATATTGGCTGGAAACTGAATAGTTAAGTTTTTCCCAATTGGGTTTCTTTATAAATAAAAGCAAGTTCAGATCACCATAGTCAGGTTCAAATCCTGATAATTTAGTGTGATAAAACAATGTCTCATACTTTATTTGTGTAACTATATATTCTGTTGAAATTATATTTTCTTATTGGACTCCTAGTATCTTGACATGAGAAACATTTTGAAAAGTATATTGGCTGAAAACTAAATAATTAAGTTTTTCCCGATTGGGTTTCTTTGAGTAAAAACAAGTTCAGAACACCATAGTCAAGTTCAAATTCTGATAACTTAGTGTGATAAAATAATGTCTCATACTTTGTTTGTGTAACTATATATTCTCGTTGAAATCATATTTTCTTAGCCGTTATACACAAAAGAAATTATAGTTATGCTTGGTTATTTTTACAAATGTTGTTAATTTTTTCAAGTAATTCAGGTAGCAAATCATAACTTGCAAGTATCTTCATCGAAGATTGTTCATATCAAATGGGCTCCTGCATGTGTATAACCAATTTCTTATATTTGTCAATAAGCTTTTGAATGAAATCATTTCCTCTTATTTTGTACTCAAATGGCCAAAATCTAATGAAATCAAGAATGCACCAATGCTCAAGTGGTTTACCTTCTACCATTGATCTTCCAGCAAGATTCTCATATTTAATATTCTTTTATTGCATCGAATGGATGTTTAAAATGGATGTCAAAATATCAGGACCCATATTTCTTGGATAAGATTAAATATCCACATCTTAATATCACAAAATTATGTACATATAAGACTCACAATTCATTTGTTTGACTTTAAATTCAAATAATAAATTACTTGTTTACCATTAAAAATGAAAAGTAATACTTAAATTTCAAATAAATAAATAAAAATTCAAAATTTAACTATACAAAGATTTTTGAACATCAAATCTTAAATAATATATATATATATATTAAAAGTTTTAATTTACTTTTACTAAAAATTCTAATTTTAACTATTTTTTTCATTCATATAAATAACTATTTTTTAAATAATTTCAATTTTTTATTTATATAAATAAATTATTTTGATACAGGTCTCATATCACTTATAAAATAATTTATATACATATTTTTTTTATATTTTTTAAGAATAAAATAATAATAAATAAAATTTTAAAATAAATAATACTTTAAATATAAAAATTAACTTTAATTATTATAATGTTCAATACTATCATAGTGTTCGAAAATAAAAAATAAATTCTAATCATATTTTTTATCATATACAAATTATTTATGTTAGACACAAAGAAGATATAGAGAAAAAAATTGAAGATTGAATTGTAGTAAATAGTTTATTTTTTCAAAAGTTATTTTTTTTTTAATTTTCGTTTGAACCTATAACAATAACATGTGTTTTTTTTTCTACTCTATTTTCTTACTTCTCCTTTTTAATATTATTTTATTTGGATAATTCCATTTAATATCTCTGAAAGCCATCTCAGAGCCGGGAGTTTCGGTGCCTTGAGGGACCATTATCCTTGGTGTAGCGGCACCACAGCCAAAAAAAACACTGTCATCCTTATCTTCAACCAAAAAGGGTGTTTATTATTATTCTTATAATTATTAAATTTAAAGATTAAAATTAATTAAAAAATATTTTATTCACTTAAATATACTATTTGAAGAAAAATCATACATTTTGAAAGATTTAGAGTTTTTTCAATTTAATAATTATAATATTTTAAATTTAAGGAAACAAATAATAATTATTATAATAATATATTAAAGTGAGAAACAGCGAAGACAAGTTGAAAGCCTTATCCGCCATTATTTAAAATTGCGAAATTGCCGCCCTGTCCCTGTTCGGTTCCTCTTGTCTTTTTCTTTTCAAAATTTTCCAATTTCAGAAAATAATCAACACGTGGCATCGCAGGAATCCACAACGTGTTCTGTATCTCTTCTTTCTTTCTTTCATCACAAATTCTATCTTCACTAACTATTTTATTATATTTTAAATGAGTTACTTTATATCAAGATTCGTTCATTTAAATTGAGAATGTAATTCTATATTTTATAAATTTCCTTTGGAAATAAAATATGCATTTTTTAAAATGGAATGAACATTGAGTTTGTGGAGAAGAACCTTTGAAATTCTTTCTAGTTTATTTTTTAACTCTTTTATTAATAACATTAGTTATAATAATTAAAGATTAAGAAAGTAGTAATATCGCATAAGTTGTCATAATTATACTGTACGGAATTAAGCTGTAGAATATCAATTAAAAAATAAACTATTTTTCTAATGAAAATATAATCTTTAATTGAGTTTGGTCAAAAATTGCTTGTGGCGACTTGATGAAATCAATTATGAATATTGTGTAAAAGCATATTAAATATTTAAGGAACATTGTTGATAATTAAAGATTAAAAATAAATAATAGAGTGATTTACGAGATTTTTGTTTACTTTTTAATTACTCCACGGCTTTTATTTATGAATAAAAATATAAATTTTTTTATATAATATTTGTTTACAAAATTATTCATAAGAGCATTTTAAAATAATATTAATACAATTAGCTTATGTTATGTATGAGTTTAATTAATTTTGCGTATAAAAGGGTGAAAGTGAATGACATGTTTATTTTTTATTTAAAATATAAATATGTGTTTATTTTAAATCAAATTAAAAATTAAAATATTAACTAACTTAAATAAGTGAAACTTCATGATAATAATTTCCCCAAATAAAAATATTAAACAATTTTCTAAATTTTTTTTAATTCAGTTTCAAAATTTATTTAACCCTTTTTAACTTTAATTATTACTATAACATGGTCTCACAAAGTCAAGAAGGAAATAGGATTTGATTTTAATGATGTATATATTTTATATATTTTTTAAAGTAATGGTTTCTTGGATAGAGCACTGAATCTGGGTCCCACCAGTGACGTGGCACGTAGTTCAATGTGACATCCAGCTGTCCGCGGCATTGGGTCGGGGCTCCGAATTCGAAGCTCCATTTTCCAACTTCAAGGTTATCCTCTCATACCATACTTAACCAATCACTCTGTCCCACGTCACCCATGTCGATGACCTTCTCTGACGTGGCGACTTTTTATTGGATCCTTCAAAGGCTCACGCAGTTTACGGTGCACCAGAGTGCCACACCCATTGTCGGGGACATAAGATTAGGATGACATATAGTAGTATCAAACACAGTGACGAATCTCAATGCGAAGATGAACGGTTAGGAAAATTCCACGTGTTTCTGAGGATATAGAACCCAATGAACGCGCGAAACGTGGCGTGACCTACGAGCTTTGCAGCTAATTTCAGACAACCATCGCAGGTGGGTCCCACGAGAAACATAATCCTCGGTGACGGACTTGCCGAAGGACAAAGGATAAGGACGAACTCATGAGACATCCCACGCTGCTTTCCGCACATATGGCTAACAGAGTACAACGCATTGATGACCGTGGAGTTTGATTACTTGAAGGTCCTGTGGAATGATCCAACGGTGGGGAAGTTTCTGATTTTGATTGATGAAATTAAAAGAAAAAGAAGTTGTTTTTAGTGGTTGACCCACGAAAACAAGTGAGCTTCCAAAAGTATCACACTGTTGCATGCTGTCTAGGCTCAGTGGAAAGAGATATCATGGGGTTGGGTGGCCATTGTGGATCAGTGAGAAAGCTCTTGCAAAAGATAATTCACGAATTTTTCCCATTATTTTCTTAGTCATTTATAATATTATTACAACTGTTATTTTTATTTTTATTTTCCTTTTTGGTACAAGGCGAAGTTTTTTTTTTCTTTTTCTTTTTCTTGAATGGAATGGATTATGGATGTGAATTTTTTTTTTTTTTTTACATTCACTGAGTGAAAGTGAAATTGGAATTCAAGACTCAGCCAAGCTGGTAATTTTCTTGAACTGTTAGTTAATTCCATTTGGGTTCCTTGTTTTTATCTTTCCTTTGCTCCTTTGGTCTTTTAGGCCATCTGGTTCTGACTTCCAAGTTCAGGCCATTTATGACATCAATCTCTGGGGGATTGTTTGGTTGCTGTTTCTTGTTGTAGCTGTTTATGTGATCTGAATCTATTCCATTCCTTTTGTTCTCTCTCTCTCTCTCTCTCTCTCTCTCTCTCTCTCAAACACACACATACTCTCTCCTGGATTGCTAGTTAGCTACATGTTTCATCTGTCTTTTGCTTTGATCCCTTCCTCCAAGCTCATCCCCAGACAAGTTCTGCCCTCTCCTTTGATACCCTTCATTGTTACTCATAATAGATTCACCACCTGCACCTCTTGCCATTTCATGCTTTGTAATTTCTCTTTCACTCAATTCAGGACTAGTATTAGTTGACCCATAACTCAAAACATAGTCTTTTTGAGTTCAGTGGGTCACCCCCCACACTCTTTAGTTCTTCATCCATTTGGTTGATTTGGGTTTACAAACCCTTTTTAGTTAAAGGTGGTTTGGGCCTTGTTTTTGACATGAATATTGGTGATTATTGAGGATTACCTTGGATGGAACTCGTTTGTTATGTGGGTATATAGTATATTTCGAGACCTTGTAAATTAATATTCGATTGGTTACAAGGATGGTCTCAAAGTCCTATTCAAACCTACTGGAGTTGGCCTCTGGAGAGGCTCCTTCATTTGGTTACATGAACAGGAGAATTCCAAGAATTATGACTGTGGCTGGGTTGATATCAGATGTTGATGATGACCCAGTGGATAGTGTGTGCTCTGATCCGTCATCGTCGTCAGCGCACCGTGACCGAATAATCATGGTGGCTAATCAGCTTCCTATAAGGGCTCAGAGGAGGCCAGATGGAAATAGGAGTTGTTGGTCTTTCGAGTGGGATGAAAATGCCCTTCTTCAGCTGAAAGACGGGTTAGGGGATGATGATATTGAGGTTATTTATGTTGGATGTCTTAAGGAGGAGGTGCATCCAAGTGAACAAGATGAGGTTTCACAGACACTTCTTGAGACCTTCAAGTGTGTCCCAACTTTTCTCCCAGCTGACCAGTTTACTAAGTACTATCACGGTTTTTGCAAGCAGCAGTTGTGGCCACTGTTTCATTATATGTTGCCCTTGTCACCAGAACTTGGTGGGAGGTTTAATAGGTCACTGTGGCAAGCTTATGTGTCAGTCAATAAAATTTTTGCAGATAGAATTATGGAAGTTATTAACCCTGAAGATGATTATGTGTGGATACATGATTATCATCTGATGGTGTTGCCAACTTTCTTGAGGAAGAGGTTCAACAGGGTGAAGTTGGGGTTCTTCCTTCACAGCCCATTCCCTTCATCAGAGATATATAAAACATTGCCTGTTAGGGAGGAGATCTTGAGAGCCCTCCTTAATTCAGATTTGATCGGCTTCCACACTTTTGATTATGCGCGCCATTTCCTCTCCTGTTGTAGCAGGATGCTCGGCCTTACCTACGAATCAAAGCGTGGTTATATTGGGATTGAGTACTATGGTAGGACTGTTAGTATCAAAATTCTCCCTGTTGGTATTCACATGGGTCAGCTTCAATCTGTTTTGAGGATGCCTCAGACTGAAGAAAAAGTTTGTGAGCTCATTAAACAGTTTTCTGATAAAGGAAGGACATTGTTGCTTGGGGTGGATGACATGGATATTTTCAAGGGAATAAGTCTGAAGCTATTGGCCATGGAGCAACTTCTCATTCAGCACCCTGAGTATCGGGAAAAGGTAGTGCTAGTTCAGATAGCTAATCCTGCCAGGGGTCGGGGGAAGGATGTGAAAGAAGTGCAAGCTGAGACAAAGGCCACGGTGAAACGGATTAATGAAACATTTGGGAAATCCGGGTATGATCCTGTCATTCTGATCGAGGAGCCTCTCAAGTTTTATGAGAGAGTTGCTTACTATGTTGTTGCAGAGTGTTGTTTAGTCACCGCAGTTAGGGATGGAATGAATCTCATACCGTATGAATATATCATCAGTCGACAAGGAAATGAAATGTTGGATAAAGTTTTGGGTCTAGCTTCTTCTCCTAAGAAAAAAAGCATGTTAGTTGTGTCTGAATTCATTGGCTGTTCCCCATCTTTAAGTGGAGCAATCAGAGTGAACCCGTGGAATATTGATGCCGTAGCCGATGCAATGGACTCTGCACTGGAAATGGCTGATTCAGAGAAAGAGCTTAGGCATGAAAAACATTATAGATATGTTAGTACTCATGATGTTGGGTACTGGGCTCGAAGCTTCTTGCAAGATTTGGAAAGGACTTGTAGTGATCACGTGCGGCGAAGGTGGTGGGGGATTGGATTTGGATTAAGCTTCAGAGTTGTTGCACTTGATCCTAACTTCAAGAAGCTCTCAATGGAGCACATAGTTTCAGCATACAAGCGGACAACAACTAGGGCAATCCTTCTTGACTATGATGGTACACTAATGCCTCAATCATCCACAATTGATAAGAGTCCAAGCAGTAAATCCATTGAAATTCTTAGTAGTTTGTGTAGAGATAAGAACAACATAGTTTTCCTTGTTAGTGCTAGAAGCCGGAAGATGCTTTCTGAATGGTTTTCTCCTTGTGAGAACCTGGGAGTTGCAGCTGAGCATGGTTACTTTCAAAGGTAAATTACTTACTCTTCTTACCTCTTGAACAGTGGCGTTTTCTTTAGGTGTAGTGAATAGTTGACATTGCTTTCTATACATTATTATGGTTTTAGAATGAAGCGAGATGAAGAGTGGGAAACGCATGTTGCCGCAACAGACTGTAGTTGGAAGCAAATTGCAGAACCTGTAATGAAACTTTATACTGAAACGACCGATGGATCCACCATTGAAGACAAGGAGACTGCACTTGTTTGGTGCTATGAGGATGCAGATCCAGACTTTGGATCATGCCAAGCTAAGGAACTTCTTGATCACCTTGAGAGTGTGCTTGCAAATGAACCAGTAACAGTCAAGAGTGGCCAGAACAATGTAGAGGTTAAACCACAGGTGTGTACAACAATCTACTTCTAGGAGTGGGTTGTATTTATATATTCATATTATTTCTCGGATATTGGTATTAGTGGCAGCATCATCAGTTGCATCCATTATTTCCATATGTAAACCTGGTCTGCAGTTAGCTAAACTTATCTTTCATCAAGGCTTTTTGAAAACCATTATTGTTGAAGTGGCCGATAAAGGCACAGAAGTATTGGGAGCTAAAGTCAAGTTTAAATGGCATTTGTTAAGTGAATTTTGGGTTTAACTAATAATATATGTGTGAATAAAAAACGTTGAGTATCAAAGATTGCAGAAAGGACAAAGAATTGAAAGAAGAAAGCTTGTGAATTAGGGTATTTTCGCCACAATTTAGATTTATTCATGTGAAGATACTAATACGTACTAAATGTCTTTAACCTTTGTTTGAAAAATAACATAAAGGAAGCATAGTGAATTTAGGTCCACTCTTGGAAAATTTCCTTTTCTCTTGAAGCTTTGTGGTTATGCTTTAGAGAAATGGCAAAGTGTTTATGGTATCCATTTTATCGTTTTACTTGTGGTCTCTGATAAATATATCTGCTCATTCAGGGTGTGAACAAGGGACTAGTGGCCAAACGCCTACTTTCTGCCATGCAAGAAAAGGGAATGTACCCTGATTTTGTTTTGTGCATAGGAGATGACAGTTCTGATGAAGACATGTTTGAGGTGATCACCAGCTCAATGGGCGGGCCAATCGCCCCACGGGCCGAAGTATTCGCCTGCACCGTTTGTCGAAAACCCAGTAAGGCTAAGTACTATCTGGATGATACAACTGAAATAGTGAGATTGCTCCAGGGCTTAGCCTGTGTTTCAGAGCAAATAGTTTGTTAAGGTTGGGAAAAGTGGTGGTGGTGGTGGTGATGGTGATGGTGAGAGGTATCATTATTACTACTAGTATTGTTATTGTGCTTGCTTTACTTTTGTCATTGAGGATGTAGGCTCAGTTGTGCTGCTCTTAAATCTTAATATATACACAATCAACGTTATTGTTTTCCTTGTTATTCCATGTAAATTATCCTAGTTGTTACTGAGAGAAGTTCTGTATCGGATTCTGCTCCTTAAAATGCTTGATTTCTATCAGGAAAACTTGTACATATAGATGGTTTCTTTCAAGCCATGAACTCTTGTAGTCCATTTCTTTCAACCATCGATTCTAGGAGGATGTGAACATGAAGCTGTGAAATGGTGTAGTAATTTAGACTTGCACTCTGTGTTTTATTTTTTGAAAAACACTATTCTTTTTCTTCTGGTTTGTCCTTTTTAAACCTTTTAATATATATATATATATATATATATATATATATATATATATATTTTTTTTTTTTTCATTTATACCTTTATTGCTTTCAATATAAATTTTAATTAATTAACACATTTATCATAACACTGAAAAACAACTATTTATCATTTGTTAGACTATAAATTAGGTGTTGAGAAAATCTTAAAAAGGACACTTAAAAATGAATGATATTATATTATAACAAACGACGAAGTTGAGAAAGTTTTTTTCCTTTTCTGTTTAATTAAAAGTTATAATAGTAATATTTTAATAGAAACTGAACATTTCATTTCACAAAGTCCAATAGGGGGTGGATAATTGTCCATTATTTTGAGAAATAATTATGATTAAAAGCTACTATATCTACCTAATTATTTAATAATTTATGCATTTTATATTTTTCACTATTTAAATATAATAATTAATGTATTCACGAGTGGTGAGATGAGTTACTTGTAGTTTATTTTTTGTGGTTAATTTTCCAATTTTTGTTGAAGTATTCATAGTGGTTAGATCGAGAGGAGTTACTGGAAATTTGAAACGATTGTTTTTCTGATTTTTTTTTTGGTACAAGTGTTTGTCTCATCTCATTTATATCATACTTTACTATGTTGGACCACTTATTAAACAAGGTAAGATATTTCATATTTTTTACACAATTTAAATAAAATCAACTTTATCAAGTTGGTTTAGATAAGATCAGAGCATCATATTATAGTAAAATTCGATTTTGATTAAAATGCTTCATTTTATACAAAATTATACATACTTTTGTCATATTTTATTGTAATTGGCTTACATAAACTAAATAATAACATTTTTTTTTGTAAATATGAGATTATACTTTTAAATGCTGTACTTAATAAATTAATAACAAAAAGATGTACATAATTAACTTTGTTATGAATCATAAATCCATTATTTGAATTCAAATTGGTTTAATAGATTGAATTCAAATTTCCTAATAGACTGAGTTGTTCCAAATATATGAAGACCAAGTATTCTTAGTACACAATGGTTAGAAGGAAAATTATACATAAATGAACTTGTCTTAATGGAAATTTAATGTGGCTTTGGTATTATTAACTAAAGTTAGGATAGTGTCGTTCGTTGGCAAAGCTCAAAAGCCTTGTGCATGAATGAAACCGTACATTTGGTCCTCAAAAGATATATATAATATAAACTTTCTTTTGCCCATTTAAAAATTTTGTTATTAAAACCAGCCCAAATGCCATATTTTTTTTTCCGTCTTCAATCAATGTCACTTTTTTGCCTTAATTTCGTTAAATTATCTTTAAAATCCGCTTCTGATAACGAACATTTTGTCATATATGGTAGCATGAAAAAGATGAAAAGATCAACATAGTTGATATAACATTAATTTATGTTCAATCAAACAAACATGACACAATCATTTTTACAATAAAATTCTTCGTTAGTCTATCTCTTTCAATTACATAATGTTATTATATATCAAATTCTTCTCTTTTAGTGGGATCTTCTCTCCTAATGTTTTTTGAAACCCACATGATTCCAACTTGAGATTTCCCTTAAAAGATTGATTTCAATATCATTGTGACCAATAATAAGTTGATATATATTGTTGTTGTACAATAAATTGTACAAGTAACAAACATTTCTCTTCCATATATGAAAGCAATGGCAGAGTCCTTCATGGACCATCAATCAAACCAAAGTTGCAGAGAAGAAAAAGAGAAAATGGTGATCAACACGTTAGCACCAAATGGGGGCAATGGTGAATTCAGCTACTCCAAAAATTCTTACTTTCAGGTACACACCAATATCCCTTCCATCAACTAAACTAAGAAAAAGAAAAGTTACAAACTTTTAGGCTTAGAGGTTGTTGAGATTTGGAAATTGGAAGGCCAATAAAAAGTAACAAGATTTAGAGTATTATGTTAAAAAGTAATATCCTTCTTGTGTTTGCCAAAAGTTCTCCTCAGAAATTGAAAAAATTCATAAACTTTTACCATGAAAATAAGTTAAAAATTAAGTATTTCTCCAACCTGATTAATAGAATAGAAAAATTGTAGTCAATATTTCTCTCTTGCAGAAACAAAGTTTAGGAGTTGAAGAGAGTAAGATCGAAGAAGAAATCCACAAGAAGCTGGACGTGAAAAAACTAGCTTCTGCATCCAACATGATTATTCGTGTTGTGGATTTGGGATGTGCCACTGGTCCAAACACCTTCATGAATGCACACAATGTGGTTGAAGCCATCAATCTCAAGTACCAAAGCCAATGTCCAAACACTGAAATAAAACCAGAATTTCAAGTCTTCTTCAATACCATCCAACGATTCAACACCCTTTTCACCTCCTTGCCTCAAGAAAGAAACTACTTTGCATCTGGGGTTCCTGGTTCCTTCTACAATCGTTTGTTTCCTCAATCATCTATTCATATTGCATACACTACTTAAGCCCTCCATTTTCTTTCGAAGTCACCAGAACTGAAAATGAACAGTCCTTCATGGAACAAAGGTAGAATTCACCACTCAGGTGCTTCCAAGGAAGTGGTTGACGCATATGCAACTCAATTTGCTGAGGATGCAGGAAAGCTCTTGGATGCTAGGGCCATGGAGCTAGTGCCTGGTGGCATGTTGGTCATAGTCATGCCAAGTTTTCCTTATGGCATGCCCTATTCTGAGGTCATAAATGGTATGCTATTTGATTATATGGGATCTATCCTCTTGGATCTTTCAAAGGAGGTAATTATACCGCTTTTCACTTCTTGTGTTCAGTTAGAGATATATATGACTAAAATGGATCTTATTAAGTTTGGGCAAATATAGTTTTGGAAACCAAGTTAAAATTTCAAGATGATAATTCTTGATCCATTATTAATGTAATCTACATGGCAAAGAAAATCATATGTTAATATTAATTCTAATACTTATTTGTTCATAGGGGTTGTTTGATGAATCTAAGATTGATTCCTTCAATTTTCCATACTATGCCTCAAATCCAGCGGAGATGACAAAGGTGGTAGAAAAGAATGGGAGATTCAGTATTGAAAGAATGGAGTTGACAAATCCAGTGCCATGGTTAAAGAGCATGGAAAAAGTAATACCTGATTGGATCATTCATGTGAGGGTTGTAATGGAGGCAATTTTCACCTCACACATTGGAGAAGAAGTCACTCATGAAATGTTCCAACGTCTCACCAAACATGTGTTGGACAAACGTGAAGTACTGGAAACAAAATACAACTTTTTGCTGTGTTAAAGCGAAAGGAATAAGTGTAACCATCTTGGTTCACAAACTGGCTTTCAAAATTTCAAATAATGTCCCACCACCAGACTTTCTGATTTTGAATTATAATTTGATTAATGTCTCAACGTTTATGTATTGTTTGTGTTGAAAATTAAAAGGAATTAGAATTTGAAAAAGTCGAACGAGTCTAATTATTCTTAACATCGTTTCACATCAATTACTCAAAAGGAGTAGGCACTGATCTGAAGTTAAAGAGTGTTGCAAATTGATATGTTTATATTATTTAGGTCATGATGGCACAAACAATGGTCCCAAAGGGTTGAAGCTAAAGCCGCATAAATGCCATTTTTTTATTCCTTTTATATACTTTAATTTATCTTTAAAGGCGAATCTGAACTTCCTCAGACAAACATCAAAGGATAAAAGGGTAATAAACTTCGCAATACATTAATGCATGCTTCTATGATGGTGCTTCCACCACGTCAACTTATAATTCTATATAAACTCTTCCATGGATGAATGAAATGGCAAAGTCCTTCATGGATCCTCAATCACACCACATTTGTGGAGATTACAAAGTGAAAATGGTGATCAATGCATTGCCACCAAACGGAGGAAGCGGCACATTCAGCTACTCCAAAAATTCCTACTTTCAGGTACACACATCAATGTCCCTTTCATCAACTAAACTCAGAAAAAGAAGAAGAAAAAAGAACATGAAGTTTCAAAGTTTTTGGGAGGTTGAAAATTTTGGAAATTGGAAGGGTCATAAACAAGACTCTTAAAATACAAAGATCTCATTTTTTTCAAGGTTTGTTTGTGATTATTTATATATGCAAAATGCATTTGAACTTTTTAAGTTAAAGTCAATTTTTTAGGCAAAATGGCACACAAGAGATAATTTTGAACAGATTTTTGGAGTATATTTTCCTTTTCTTTTACACTTAATTTATGTGAGGAGGATTTGGAAAATTGCTGTGTAAGATATTTGTGTTCTTGATCTGCAAAATATAGTTTTCCATTAAACTAAAAGGTTGATGAGAAAGTATTTGTCTACTATGTCGTTTCCCTTTTGGGTTTCAGATTCAATGTAGGTGGAGGAATGCAAGGTTGATTCTTTGTATCAAGACTAATTATTACTATTGTGTACTTTTTATTTCACTGTTGAGATTTTCAGTGCTAAGTTGAGCTTAATTTGTTGTTTTTTTTTTAATCTTTGAATTTCATTTGAGTTTATATTTTCATCCTCACTTATTATTTATTGTTTTGCCTCATTATCTTACGTAATTTTACACTACAGTTTCATTGACAGATGAACTGAAAAATAATACTAATGTTTGGATTGTTGCAAGGAAAAAATAAATAAAATAAGTTTTAAATTCCTATTTTTAATTTACACTTGCCAAAATCATTTCATCTTTTGTTGTGTCTATTTTCTCTCCATTCACTTAAGGACAGATCTCATATTTTCAAACACATAAAATCTGCATAATTTGTCAAATGGTTGTTTCTAAATTGATAAAAGTGCTATTGCTTGATAATTATCGGAACTTGAAACAAATAAATTATTATCTGGACCAACGTGATTGCATAACCTATTATAAAAGTTTTGGATCAAAGTGAGGCACCACAACTTGATAATAGCATATTCTCACATTTATAAAAAAAAAGATAATTTTTTTATTGCTCTTTTTAAAGAAAAATTGTCCAACTAGTTATACACAACGGGTATTAGGATAGAAAACACTTAACTGCTAAAAAGGATGAAAATAAATATAAGTTAGAAAAAAAAAGATTTTTTTAATTCATGTATCGATATTTTACTGATAAAACACCATATGAGACAAATAAATAAATAAATAAAAAATTGGATGTGGCTTCCATTAGTAGTGGTGAATATATTCTCAACAACAACATGACAAACCTTTATCAATTTTCAGATTGAGTAAGATTTATTTTTAAAAAGGGTGTAGGCAAATTGTTATTTTTTAGAAAAAAAAAAAAGAGTGTTTGTAATTTGTTTTAACAAGGTTCTAATTACAAAGAAAGCAAATGCTGATATGTGCTAAACAAAATTTCCTTGCAGAAACGAAGTTCGAGTGTTGAAGAGAGTAAGATTGAAGAAGAAATCCAGAAGAAACTTGATGTGGAAAAGCTAGCTTCCGCTTCAAACATGATTATTCGTGTTGTGGATTTGGGATGTGCCACTGGTCCAAACACATTCACGAGTGCACACAATGTGCTTGAAGCCATCAAACACAAGTACCAAAGCCAATGTCCAAACTCTGAAATAACACCTGAATTTCATGTCTTCTTCAATGACCTACCATCCAATGATTTCAACACCCTTTTCACCTCTTTGCCTCAAGATAGAAACTACTTTGCATCTGGGGTGCCTGGTTCTTTCTACAGTCGCTTGTTTCCTCAATCATCCATTCATTTTGCATATTCTACTTATGCCCTACATTTTCTTTCAAAGTCACCTGAAGTGGTGCAAGAGATGAACAACCCTGCATGGAACAAAGGTAGAATTCACTACACAAGTGCTTCCAAGGAAGTGGTTGATGCTTATGCAACTCAATTTGCCAAGGATGCAGGGAGCTTCTTGGATGCTAGGGCTATGGAACTTGTTCCTGGTGGCATGTTGGTCATGGTCATGCAAGGTGTTCCCAATGGCATGCCCTATTCTGACATCATCAATGGTACGCTGTTTGATTGTATGGGATCTATCCTGATGGAGCTTTCCAAGGAGGTAATAACAGTTAATCACAATTGCTTTTAGCAGCAGAATAGAAGTTTTACTTTAATCAATATTTACATTGGTCATGTCATAGGGGCTATTTGATGAGTCTCAAGTTGATTCCTTCAATTTTCCTTACTATGCACCAAGTCCAGAGGAGATGACAAAGGTGTTAGAAAAGAATGGGAGATTTAGCATTGAAAGAATGGAGCTAACAGATCCAGCACCATGGTTAAAGAGCATGGACCAAGTAATACCTGAATGGATAGTTCATGTGAGGGCTGCAATGGAAGCAATTTTCACCACACAATTTGGAAATGAAGTCACTCATGAAATGTTCCAACGCCTAACCAAACAAATGTTAGACAAATGTGATCTGCTGGAAACAAAATACAGGGACAAAATTCAATTTTTTGTTGTTTTAAAGAAAAAGGAGTGATGATCAGTGTACTTTTTTTGCACTAAAAATCAAACCATCTTTTAGATTATGCTTCTTGCTTCTGTTATCTTAGATTATGATGGTTCTCACTTTTTTAATTTGCTATTTCGCTGTGGGCGTGACCCAAGCATGTTCATCTTCTGTACTTTTATTTTTGTCTAAATGCATTGGCGTTTAATTTATTCTTCATTAGTAAAATCATTGCCACATAATAATATTGCCTTTTATATTTGTGACTAGCTTATGAAGATGTTAATCAAAGTTCAAGTTGTTGACATTAAAGTGCATTATAAGGTCCCTCCCATTGGTGAAGTAAGAAGTACCAACATGCATGCAATTACGCATATAAAAAGACTTGAATAAGAGAATAAGCACGTGGAATTCAGAAGGGACTCTTAAGAAATGTTTTATGCTTTTCCAGTGACAAATAAAAAAGCTTTCTTGGTTGGTTTTGATTTATAGTTTGTTAATGTTGGACAATAATTGTCTGTCTCCTTTTAGGCACACCACACCAAAGAAAGCATTTGAACAATGTTAAGAACCACAATGTAACAGGGTTTTCATAAGATGTGAAATTATAAACCTTTTAGGGTTTAAAAAATAAACCGACTTGAACTACTTTTAAGGTTTAAAAACTGTTCTTGATGAACTAAGTTAATAATTCAAAAGATGCATACATCTGTAAGTAAGTAAAGTTTTAAATTTTAAGGAATGATTATGAATTATAAATGATATTCTTAATATGCATTGAGATGATACTAAATATTGAAAATTATGAACAAATGGGTACGGAAGATTCTTATCTTAATACAAGTTTATATGTTGCAATAGAACTAAGAAGAGTTGTTTGTGTTTCCTACTTTGCTTCAATGTGGAGATAGGGAATGGACCACTAAAAAGTTATGTTAAAGAAGGATTATGGGAGTTTGAACATAATATAAGCATCAAGAAAAGATTTTGTTGTTTCTGGGGAATTCACATTGAAGCACATGCAAATCCCTCTTTTCATTCCATTTATATAATTTTATTCCGTACATAATATAACATGCTATACCCTATTTTTCTGACCAAGGATTTTAGGGTGGGGCTTGCTATTGCTTTGAAACAAGATAATAACTAAATTAGATTTCATTTAGTATTATAATTTAATTATTGAAATTTTTTAATTATCTACATGTTCAGTTTATTTATTCTCAAGCAAAAACTTAAAAAAATAAATTCACCGAATTTGTATGATATAAATACAAATGCGTAATAAATTAATAAATCACAAATAAACGTAAAAATGTTGCTCTGGAAAAAAGTAAGGACTTTATCGAACATGAAAGAAACATTATACGAAGATGCTTTGTTTAAGGAAGCAGCTCCAAAAAAAAAAACATAGTTGATGAGTTTAAGGAAGCATTTTAATATGTTTATGAAACACCAGTAATAAAAAAAACCCTAACCTCTGATTCAATCACACATTTCTTTTCCTTATAATTTGTTAAAAAAACATGTTTTTTCATTGGTGATGGGTAATATATATTTAAAAAGGAACTCATGCCTTTAATTAATAGAATAAATAAACTAGGAAGCACAAAGGTATGATATTATTGAAATTGTAGAATTAGTGGGGGTTTGCACTGTTCACGTTAAAAAGCATATACAATGCAGAGCTTTTTAGGTCATAATATTGGACATCCTGTCCTATCCTAGACCTAGGTAAGGAATAATAGTGTGGGGCTTACGTAACCCTTTTCTCTTAAAAAGATAAAAAATATTAGATTAATATTTTAAAAATTTTAAAAATAAAATAATATTTTATTAGAATGAATAAATTTTAATTAAAGAAAAAAAGTAAAATTTATATAATTATAAATAAATTTTAAAATAAAATTGGTTGTAAAAACTACTTAGAGTTTATTTTAATACAAAAATTAGGTTATTTTGATGTAGAATTACTTTTTGAATTGGGTTGAGACAAGCTGAGATGATAGGGGAGTACCCTACTTATAGACATAGGATAGTACTACAAATTTCTTTTTGGGTTTGAGACTTTGTTTTATCCCCTGTCTCAAATGTGCAATTCTAATTTCCACAGATTTTATAATTAGGTATATATTACAATTTTGGAAGAGTTGGAGAGTGGATGATATTATAATTACCATTGATAATGGAGCAACAATAAAATATATGAGAAAAGTAGGTGAATATAAGGTTTTGGGAGAAGATACCAATTTGTGTTGTGCCTTCAGATATTTTTCAGACAAATACACATTTTCCTCTTAAATATCATGTTAAATATTACACCTTTCTCTCTCCCTCTTTTTTTTTTTTCTATACATAAAAATATAGTAAACATTTTTCACAAGAAAAAAAATATAAAGCAAACATTGAAAACAATAATTAAGCATTTTAACGCTATTAAATGAGGCTATCCAACTTAACTCAATAAATTATTTAAAAAATTATTTTAAATTGACCTGATCCATATTTAAAAGTATCTTTTCTTTTTTATTTGACTAGGTATCATTAGATTAAGTGACCATTTTAATATAATTTTAAAAATTTTAAAATTTAATTTAAAAGAATAAAAATTTAATATATATTTTTAAAATTTAAATTACTTTAGAAGATTGGAACATGATAAATATAATAGTTTAATTTATAAAATATGATACAGAAATATCTATTTATTCAAGTTAAAAAATTTATTCTTCATTTTTGCTATATATATATATTTGTAATTTAATATTATAAAATAATATTATTTTATTTTTTTAAAATATAATTATTCTATAAATTGATCAATTCATCACCCTAATCCAATATAAGTCTAAGTTTATTTAAGAAATCCACGAAATAAATTGCAAAAGATATATATTCAATTTAATTTTGACATGATCCAATTACTTTTTCAGATTTAATCATACCGAACATTAAAAAATAAAAATAAAACATCTTCTGAATGATTTATCAAGAATCTAAAAGACCAATTAATTTGAAGACAATGTTCAGCTGACACACATCAGCAATCATCTAAGAGTACATTACCACACATGACAACCTCCTATCCTTTATCAAAACTTGGTCCTTTGTCTTGATCAAAATTTCATTACCAATTATCCAATTAACTTGCTAAATCATTTGAGTAGACAATAACAGAAAAGCTATATCATTAAAAGCCACATTACATTACTCATTAGGGAAGTCGTTTATACTTGCACAATATTTATATCCACTACAGAGACATTTCCGTAGAATATACATGCATAGTTGTAATCAGTGCCCTAGAAATCCTACTGGAAAAATAGGGAGTGAAAAGTTCAAAGTTGTCAATTCAAACGCAACCCACTTAAACTGAATTCCCTAGAGTACATTCTGTTCGAGACTTTCTCCTTCTTGATTTGAACAAGCTGAGGGTATACACACCATGGGAAACTTAGAAAATGATCCCTGATCATGCCTTCATTGTAGCAACCCCAGTAACTTGGATGATAAGTAACATGGTACCAAGCAGAAGCTTTTGCATATTTATCATCACTATTCTCAAAATCTACACCACTGCTTCCCTCATTGAACCAGGACCGGGCCTCTTTCCTTAGGGACCTCACAGCCATATTGATTGCTTCTGAATCCCTCCTTTTGTTGAAAGATTTTGACATTTTCATGATATTACCACTGAGGATTTCAGCTTCAGTTTTGATCCCATAGTAGTCCATCAGATTTCCCAACTTGTAGTCATAGTTGGATTTATGATAGCAAGCATCATCAACATAATCCTCAAAGCCATCAAATTCCATGTCAGGGTCGTAAGAGTTTACCGCAACATCACGAGTGAAGGATGTAATAGAGCCCCCAGCACTTGATGAAATTTCTTGCACTTCCCTAAAGAGCTTTCCTATTACATTACGTGATACATAGGTAAGCTTGTCAGGCTTCTCCATGAAGTCAGGATATTCTTTGACATAAAGATGCGGAGGAATAACAGCTGGAACACCAGTTTTTGGAAAGTCAACTGCCGTTGAGAACAGCTTTGCAAGCTCAATACATGGACCAGACATTGCTTTCGCTGCTTCTTTATCAGCAAATACAGTGTGTGCATTGGCAATTATTCCCAGACTGTCATTGACAATGTAATTGGTAAAATACTCCTCAACTTCCTGCACAAAGAAAGCATCTCACAACCTTCGATATAAAATTTCATACTGTAGGACAAAGTAAATACAAGAAAATTAGTGCTGAATATTGGGGCTGGAACTTAAATTTCGATAGTTTGAATTTCAATAGATGAAAATAGAAACGGAGATGGAAAAGATGAGGGAGGATCATGATATTTCAAAGAAATAACATCATAATTGTTAACGTCATTGGGAATTTAATAGTAAACAAAAATATATGAGTGTTCTTGATAAAATAATGGCATAAAAGCTAACCAAATCCTTTGCACCTGAGAAAAAAAAAGGACATGTAGACAAAATTCACGACTAAAATGACTTAATAACGATGGAGGTAGTCTTAGGAAAATGGGTGAAATTTTGAAGATCAAAATCTTCATGGTCACTAATAAAAAATGCTAGTATAAAAAGACAATCAATGCAGGTTAAAAGTAATGAAATGTTATGAAGCTAGCACATAATCTATTCTATCAAGGAAGCATCCATTACAGTATTTACATGGATAGAGGGCTAACCACTGAATATGAAAATCCATTCGACAATATCGATCTTAACAAACAAAACCAAAGATACAAAAATGCAAAAACAACGCAAAGAATATATGAAAGATAGCATATATGGATGTCAAGCTTTGAAATGATACCTCAATTCTCACATCATGATCCAGTTCTGTAGTTGGGGCAGGAGTGTAGTCCATCGGTTCGATTTGGTGAGAGGGAATCAATTCAGGGTCCCAACAAACAAAGTAGATATCTCCATCTAGATCACTTCCCGAACATTCATTTGGGTGAGGTCTAATATTGAGAATCAGTTACCGGGTCAATACTCAATATATTACAACTACAACAACAAAATTTATATCCCACGAGATGAAAATAGACAAACAACATCAATACTAGACTATTGTATATTGACTGTTATCAATAGACAGTTAAAATGAAAGAAAAAAAATTGACACCTTGCCCAGAAAAATAGAATTAAATGATGCAAAAAATTTAAATATGTCAGAGCAGACAACATATAATATTATTTATAATGATTTTCAATACATGTGAAGTTGGCAATACAAATGGACCTTCTAGTAACCATGCTAAAGCAACTCCCCAATCATCCTGTGTGAAATTAGAAATTTGTTACTCCTCACCTCTCTTAACCTCTTATTCTAGAGTCTATCAGAGGAATATATATCAGAAAGGTTATGCGAGAGCATTTTCTATATAAATTGTAGCGGTTGAGAGAGAAATGTTAGTGGATTGTTCGAGGAAAGTGTTAATGTAAGAGGTTTATCTTTTATTTCTACTCATTCTATAGGTCCCTTTAACTCCGGTAAAATTTGAGTTCCAATTCCAATTTCCAAAATCTATAAAAGAGGTACTTGTCACACATATATTTTAACAACCATAAACATATAAAAGCAATGTAGATTGCAACTAATGAACAATTATTTCACCACTTCCATTTATTTGAATTTTAGAGACTATAAAATCTTCGGACCAAAATCTTTAAATGTTATAGATCATTCCATAAAATAGTGTTGAACACTCTTAGAAATAGAAATATTTAAGTATATTACCTTGGTCCTTTTTGAGGGAAAACAACACAGTCCACCATGTGGTACAAATCTGGCACATCCACAGCCTGTAAAATACGCACATCACCTGGGTGCAAGCAAGGGTTTTTAGCTACTACTACCTTACCTGTAACCATATAATTCTTTGGCAAATTATAAGAAAAAGAATCATCAGAATCCCGCAGCCTACTGTTAGAAAACTGCACAAATACTTGACCATATTCCAGGTTTTTAGTTTCATCTAGACAACCCATCATTGCTCTTCCTTTTGGAATAATGATCCTGGATTTCAGACGCAATTCCAACAGTTTTGATGCCCTAAATGTTTTCAGCATCATTGAAAGGAATGGTTCATTATTAGGCTTGTAGCCACAAATGAGCATCTCCTTCAGAACATTAGTGATCTCCCCAGCAGACATTAAGTCCAGAACTTCCTGTGCTTTCAATGAATCTGTTAGCATAGTGTCCAGTTGATCCACAGCTTCTTTTTGTTTTTTCTGAAAAACACCATCCTTGATACCAAGAGTGGATAAGAGGGTAATTAACTGCCGATTCAGATAACATGGCTGAAATTTACTACAAGCTAAAACGTCTAACTTCATGTTATCTGACTCATACTTCCGCATGCTCCTCCTCAGTGATAACTTATAACGTGATGCTGGATCAACAGCTACAACTCCTTTGTAACCACCATATCGAATCTGAAAAGCAGATGGAGTGCAATCATAGCCACATTTTTTAGCCACACGCTTGGCAAATCCAAGAGATATTTTCCCAATACCATCAGAGAAAACATATTCCTTTCCATCATAAGTAAACTTCTTCACATCACTTATAATTTCAATTTCATCCCTATGGACGCTTAGAGTTTCAGTAGATGAACCAAAAGATTGTCCCAGCCTAGCAGCATATTTAGCAACATTCCTAATCTGGCTAAAATTTCCCATCCATCCCCTTATGGAAGCAGCGGTGCATCCAGTTCCTGTAGGAGCAAACATCCAGAGAGAGTTTTCCCGCAACTGACTTGATGAGAATGCAAGAAATTCAAACTTCTTACCACCAATAACAATGCCATTTTGAAGGATGGAAAGAATTCTGGTGTATATCTCAGTTTTCTTGTTCTGTGCTCGTGATGATAAATCCGTTGAAAACAGTCTATCCAACTCCTCATCAACAAATGAAACCCGTAAGAAGTTATCTATATGTTTGTGGAAATGACGGAGAACACGATTTGAGACATTAATCTCTGGACCACAAAAGTAAACTTTGCATGGGGTGATCTGAACCCTGCGAACATATACCAACCCTGTATCCAAAGATATTGCAGGAGGCCGAGGATGATTCTTCGATTGAAGGTACCTTTTGTACTGATCAAACAGCCACTTTTTGGGTTCATAACAGAATTCCTTTGAATAGTACAGTTTTTCTAAAGCATTTTCAATAAAATTAAGGGGCATTCTGGATGGATCAACAAAGCGATAGAACTCATCATCAAGTACAGGTCCTGCAAGACACACGTGCTGAACCAATGAATTGACTTTAAACAAGATGTCAAAGGGTATTTCAACACCTCCAGGAGCAACAATGGGGACAAGACCCCAATTTTGAGAAAACGGAACTCCTGACTGTAATGTGTATTGCCTCTTACTTTGCTCATAATAAGCAAAGTTATCCTTGAAATTTGGTAAATTTTGGCCACTTGGAAACTCCAGACATATGGCGGAGGACTGCCCAATGCAATTATGCGGAGTGAAATCTATTGTTCTGATCCAATGGTCATCAGGAACAACTTGGTAGAAGTTGAACGCAGGATTATCATATATATCTGCTGATGTAGGTACATCATTCTCAAATATCCGGGGAGCACCAAGTAACTAACAATTGAAGCAAAATGAATAAGATTCAGAGTTTGTCAATTGCAGCAAACTTAATACAAAGAATCATAGAATTTGATAAGAATTCATAATGAAAGATGATGTAGTTGGCTTTCAGTAAAATCTAATGCAATAAATATTAATTTGCATAAAACTTTATATCTGATAAGTAATAGCCTGTACCTTACTTGACACAAATAAAAAGGTTCACACCAATTGAAGAAGAAATGATATAATTTCAACTGGAACAACTTGCTTAATATGAAAGGTAAAAAAAAAAAATAGTTAAAATATAAGAGACATATAAGTAACTACTTCGATTTGGAAGACAGTTATGCGTTTAGTTACTAAAAGAAACATATCAGATGATAAAGTGGAGGAAAAGATTCACAAATAGAAGCACCATGAAATCCAAAGATTAGGAGAACTAATTTCGTAGAAATTACAGAAAAAGTTGTTTTTCAATATAAGAATTACCAACCAACTTCAAATAAAGTGGCAATAAATATATTCCCTCCTTTCTAACTTAACTTTGTAGCCAATAGCCATTAACGTCCCAAGTTCAATAAACTTTGATTTTAATTGCAGAACCATTTTTTAACATTAAAAACAGATCTCCTTATCATCTCTTGAACAACAAAACTAAAGATAATATCCTAGTTTTTGTACAAATACTCTATAATCAATCAACACTATTAAATCTGTTTCCTAGAGATAAACTAACCTAGGTCATGGAAATAGAGAAAAACTCTTCTAAACTTAACACAAAATGTAAATAGTTATAAGATATTAGAGATAAGATACTGCTGGAATCTATAACTCCATCACATGTTTTGTGCTCAGTTGTTTTATTCCTTAATTTTTGGTAAATGATTCTGTTAACAAGGATGCTTTGGCATACAAGGGATTTAACTGGTGCTCTCTGCCCCAGACCAAGGGTAGGGCAGGCCTCAAGCATAGCAAGCAAGACTAAGTTAATAATACCATACTCCAATTGCAGACCCCTGGATTCAAACCCAGGCAATGTCTTTGTCATGGTTCTACTCCAATTCACAGTAGCATTTTTTTTTAAATACCCATCATTAACTTTATAAAGAAATCAAGTTATGTATTAAGCTAATAAAAAAATAAATTTAACAACCTGAATAAGGAGATAACGTGCAGTTTTATCCCGTGGTTGAAGCAGCTCAACCTTCCAAATGTTCTCATATGAAAGCTCAAGTTTATATCGCACGTTGTTATGGGAAAATGTCAACTGCACCTTTCTCTTTCCAGTCCCAAAAGTTAGAGTAACATCCAGCTTTTTCCACAAAACAGAAAATTCTCCTTTCGAAATCTGGCAGCCAAAATACAGGTTCACACTTTCCAAATCATGCAAAACCAGCTTTGGATCAATATCTCTTTCCATTTCCCGAGCTTTTAAATAGGCACTTCTATAGCGCAGTGGTCCCAAAATGCTTTTAGCCTTGGAGATCATATATTTAGCACGATCTTCTGTGGTGAATTGAATAATAGCGTATGCCCTTGGAACCCGACCTTTGCCATGTCTTAGCTTGATTATTGAGACAGTTCCTTCACCAGTATAAGTCTCTACAAAATTCCTTACATCAGACACTGTCACAGAAATAGGAAATCCATACAACTCAATTGTTTTACCCATCCTCAATGCCAACTCAATTGCCTTACCTGGACAGAAGAAGGAAAAAAATTAAAAAAGTAAACCGCAATACCTCAACAAGTAATTAAAAGATATCAATTTATATTAACAAGGAGATTCACAGATTTGTGATGAACAAAACAGTGAAAGTTATTGCATGTTATTCAAGAAAATATACATGACATATATATACAGTAAGCATATCCACACAATTTGTTAAATTTATGACTTCTACATCAGCAACCACTTAATGACTTCTTAATGATAGAAATATCTCTGAATGACCAAACATAAGTTCAGTGTAGGTTTACTTTCACACATATTGAGTTTTGAACTAATAAATAACATTGAAATCCAGCATACTCACAGCAGGAAAGTGAAAGTTCAAAATTTATCCCTTTACACTGAATGTTAAACATGTAACTTAAAAATGAAGTGTGTATAGATATTGCATTGCATCCTTTAAGTTACCAAGTTTACTAAAAGGAAATGAAATGACAATATTCCACGAAAAACTGATGCCAAGAACAATTTCAAGTATTAGCCTGAATTTTCAAGAACTCTTTTGAATGAAAGAAGAGAGATCATGCTTGCAGGCAAATATTCAACTTCACAACACAGATGTTTTAATCATGAAAAAAACTGTGAAGACAACTTCCAGTTCTGTACTTAACCTACAACCTTCCTAATCATGAAAACACCGTCAACAACTTTCATCAATCTCCAGTTGCTATCAACAAGTACACATAGGAGTACACTTCAAACAATTTATAGTTCCAGAAATAACCCAAAAAGGAACATTATACAATTGAAGGTTGACAACAAATATAAATATTTGGATAACAGAATTGCAATTAAATCAATGGTCTAGACAGAACCGTAAAACCAGTATTACTTCTCTTCTGGATATATAGTAAATTATGCTACCTCATATATCAAAATAAACAGCAACAGAGCCCTAGTTGTAGTTCATAGCACGGATTCAAGAATAAAAAAGGTTTTGTAGAGTAAAATGAAAGATAAAAAAGTTGCTTAAGAAGTAACAGTTGTTTTAACAGGCTGTATAGGGTCAATGACACCGAAAATGTTTCAGCCATTCATACGAAAATATTGATAGAAATCAGTTAAAAACTTTTTTGAAAACAATATAAAGGTAAAACTGATAAATTTATCTTAACAACCAGACTTGTAAATGAACTTTTACTTTTACTTTTGTGAATTACAGAACAACTTAGGAAGGAAATTTTCACATTCCCTCTGCCCCCTTACTCGATTTTACTCTCTTTCCCAAACTGATCCTCAGAAATGTAAAATAAAAAAGAAGCACAAGACCAAGAAACTGACAGATTTTAATAAAGATACACTCACTGTCCTTTCTACCAGAAAATGAGTGTTTGTTTAAGTTCTTTCTGGTAAACACACATGCATGTAAAACCCATAACCTTTTTTTTCAAAAAAAAAAAAAAAAAAAATAACATGTCCACCTTTTGGGTCACCATTGGAACTTCTACAATCCGAAAGCAAAAAAATAAAAAATAAAAAACATGTATGATGGATCATGCCTTAGAAGAAAAAAAAACAGAAAGAAACAACAAAAATGCTAAATTGACAGAAAGGTTATCTTGTAAAAAAAAAAAAAGCCGTCTTCAAATTGAACCATTTAGACATTTTCTGTTTACAATCACATCCTGGTAATTCAGTCATGAAATAGAAACAAGAAACCAAACATGAAAACCGCAAGATATATCAAGACATGATTACCACCACCATGAGAAGAGCGAGCAAGAGTAAGAGACTGACCCAGTATTGAAGAGAGAAGGTATCATCAATTGAGAACAAACGGAGAGAAAGAAAGATGACGATGTCAAGTCAACAACACTAGGACTGCTGGGGACACTGCTTGAAGAGTGAGGAGAGTGAAGGATTTACAAATTCTTATATAAAAGTTTTCTGTCAAAATTAATTTTTTAATTGATTGTAATTGATTATTCCTATATATAATACAAGGAAGTTATGTAGATTTAAACAAAAAAAAAAAAAAACTTTTGAAAGCGTCAGTCTTGGTGAGGTGGATTTCATGTAGTCCAAAAGACTATAACGAATCTTGATAGTTTGTATGTAAGCAAGATGCAAAGTAAACAAAAGGAAAGAAATAGACACACAAATAAGGAATATTCATTTAATTGTCTTATAAGAATTTTATATAAAATATATATTCAATAAAATTGCATGAAATTGAACACGTCCAATTTATTAGTCAATTTTATTTATTTATTTTTAAGGTTTTTTTTTCTGTGTTTTTATTTAAACTTAAAAAGATAAAAAAAGAGAGAGACAGTTTACAGTTTGTTTTTATAAATATTTTGTTTTTCTAATTTAAAACATTTCCATATTCTTTTATCCAAACAATTGGTTACTTTATTCTTCTACTTTACTTAACAAAAGTATAAAAATAAAAATAAAATTTGAAGAAAAAATCTTTTCCTTTTAAAGATAAATTATAACTAAAAAATTTCACAATTCACTTTTATATAACAAATTCAAATATTTTATTAGTAGGATAATATTTAATATATAGTGACACTCTTCTTCCTTATTTGTTTACATTTGTAAAATTTGATATAAAATTAATTAATATTTCTCTTTCAGTTAATGATCTGGTGAAATAAGTGTTTTTTTTTCAATTTTAATTTGATTTTATTATAATTTTATTTTAAAATATATAAGGAAAAATACTGTAACACAAATTAAAGAATTAAAACAATAATAGAATAGAGATGGAAGTACTAATATCCGTACAAATACATGCAGAGAGTGGAGCAATCATTAAGGCGAACTGGCGAAAAAGACAAGGAGATTTTCACGAATCATGGACGATTCCTTCTTCAACAAGCATTCCTTAACTTTTTCTGCACCATTTATTCCTTCACTTATAACATCTGGGAAGCTTCAAACTGAAAAACTCAATTCCTATAATTCAGAGTTTTCTTGAGAAATGTGAGTCCACTAAATTTTAATTTAAAATAAGCATTAATGAAAGAAAAGTGTTTAAAAGAGTGTATTAAGAAATGTTTAGAGTATTTATATAAAAAATATTATAGCCATAACATAATTTAATCAACACTTAGTTTTTTTGTTTCATTTAATTTTTTTAATTTATTCTCTGTACAAAAAATGGTATTGTTTCTGTTGATTAGTTTATTTTTCCTTTTTCTACACAAATTAGCAACGACTCCTTGGTGCATAAGTTTGAGTGTTGACTTGGAAAAGGATAAAGGTAAAGTCGCCAAAATTGGTCTTTAGGGAAGGTATCTCAGAATATATAATATTTTTTTATGATGGAATGAGTAATTAATTGATTTATTTTAGAAAATATAAATTTACAATTAAAATTTTTAGTCAGATAAAATGGTCTCTTATTTATAGGACTTGTATATAAAGTTAGATAACTCAGACTAAAATAAATATTATTTTTAATAAATTTATTAATATTTTTATTATTATTTTATTATTATTTCTTTAATCTTAAATAATTTATTATCTCTTCTCCTTTTTAATAAATATACTTAAAAAATATATAATTAATAAAAAAATAATTAACATAATATTAAAATTTTTACATATTTTGATTCAAAGGAAGTAAAATCTACTTTCCAGATTTTAGTTTCCGAGAAGGGAGCTAGGAAAACAAGGAAGAAAAATACCGAAGGGGGTACATTTAGCAAAGAGTTAAGGTGAAAAAAGAAAATCTTGAATCTAACAGAGGCTTTATGGTGCTCCCGGTGACCAAACACAAAGGGCTAAGATCCAAGTCCCATAAGATCATAAAAAAATTACTGACAAAGTCAGAGGTAGAACAATTCACAAAGTTTTGTGAGTACTCAAATCTACTGAATTTCACAGAGTATCCCGATCATATATATCAAATGCGATTCTATATTTACATAGTGAGAGGTTCTTAAGCACTCAAATTGCTCAAAAGATAGGTTATTGTGAGTAGTTGGAAACCTACATGTAAGGGTTACGATGCTGTAGTAGTTAAGCAACGAATATACGTCTATACTAAGCACCATATTTCACCTTCGACTTAAGAACTGTTCCATTGGACGTTTGTTTTAGAAGATGATAGAATGTATTGCCAAGTTGTACTCAGACCAAGGAACAGGTATCAATTGGAAACTATACTATTATATATGCATGACCTGTATGATGTGATCAAATGGTACAAGAATCCATATACAATATCAGTTATCAGTTTTTGGAATGTCACCCCACACTGTTGGAGCTATCTTGAAGTCCTTGAGACGAAGAATACTGGCTTGAAGCACTCCCACCTATGATGGTTCTATTCTTTATCACTGAATGCTTGCCCTTCCTTTCTCCAGAAGTGCAATCCTACAGAATTGAAAATAATGTTGTTAGTTTGAGCATTGAGACAACTTTTATTTTTTAGGACCCAGTTAAATATGTTTCTTGGTCTCTGCAAATAGGACAGTGTTTACTTCTAATCATTAGTCCCTAAAAAAATAATCTCCTTTTAGTCTCTCATACATGAGATGAAAATGTGTCATATTGATTCCTATTTCCAGACATATGAAACCAAAAGGAGTTTATTTTTTTTATGAAGGATAACAACTACACTACCTAACACATTTAAAAAAAAAAAAAAAACAGGACCATATAGCGATGAACCTTTTCTAGGGACTACAGGTGATACTAACTATATATGTTAAATATAAATTTTAGTCCTTATGTGTTCCAGATTCTCAATTTGGGCTTACATGTGCAGATGTAATCCATTTAGTCTCTGCCAATATGTTGATTGTTAAGTTACACATTTTTCATTTGGTCCTTACACGTGCAATACATTTTTAATTTGATCTCTATATGTTTAGCATATTCTTAATTCAATCCCTTACATTGTAAGGACCGAATTAAGAATGAACTAGATGTTTGCCTCTTTCTGCCATCCCTTGATCATCCACCCTGTCACTGCAAGTTCAGCCAATCGCTCCAACTTCTCGCTCTTTCTCATAACTCATCTTGCTTTTGAGAATAGATTATGATCGTTCTGCCCCGCATGGGAACTGAACACCCACGTGTAAGGATCAAATTAAGCATGAATAAAAGGAATAACAGAGATACGAACCAAATCACCTACTTTTACACCTATAGGGACGAACTTTTTACATTTGGGGACCAAATTCAGAATTCTCCAAACATATAAGGACTAAATTATGTGTTTAACACAAAACATTAACCCAGAATTTTTGTAACTACCTGTTGTGTTGATGATGATCCAGGCATCTTGAGTTCAAGTTCTGTGGCCACATCGTGAGACTCGCTACATCTGTCGGCATCACTACTAGGCCTTCTATCACCTGATGACTTGCAACAAGATTCCTTTTGGTTCGATGCGTGGGACGTGGAAGCATACAGAGCAGATGGTGGCTCAAGTGGGGCATTAGGTGGAGTAGAATAAGGGACATACATTGAACAAGGATTAGGAATGTGACCAGGGTTTTGATTTCCAAAGAAAGGAAAAGGTTGAAGAGATGGGTGGATGGAAATTGGAGCAGGAGGGATAGGTATAGGAAGTGGATATGAGTAAGGTGGACTAATGACAACAGAGTGGTCAATTGCAGTCCATGATGGGAACATGATTCTCACTCTCTGCTGATACTGAGCATTGAGATTTTCTATATCGGATTTTAGAGATGACTTCTCTTCTCTAAGTTCATTTTTTTCCTGCATTAGCTGCAAAAGTATAAAATTGACAGAAGAAATGAGCAGAAGATAGGTGCTATAAGCTTGTGATGAAAATTTAAACAAATTGAGAACCTTACTTCGTTTGACTCTTCAGAAAGCGCTTTATGTTCAGTTTTAAGCCTATTAACTTCAGCAGTTAAGTCCTTTAGCATTTGGACAGTCTCAGTAAGTATAGTTGCCTTGTCATTCTTAGGTCTATCAGGATCTGTATTGAGTTTAACAAGCATAAATATCTCAGCCATGTTATGATATAAAATGTCACATCAAACTGGTAATATAGGTTGAAAAAATGACACTTCTTAGTATTGTCACTGTTACCACCACCATCACCAACACCGTCACAACAACCACTATCTCTACTACCATCGTCTTCACTGCCATTACTACAACTACTGTTACAACAACCGACATCATTGACACTGTTTCTACCTTCACCTGCACTGTCGCATTTTTGTCACTTCTCCTATCACTGTCATTGCTACTATATTCATTTACCTCAAGTACCACCACTAACAGCTCAGTCACTACCACTACCATCATTATCACCACACCCTTGTCCCCGTTACCATTACAACAAGAAGCACTATCTCTGTAGTCAACATCATCACTATGAGAAATTCCTTTAAACTAATTTTAATATAATAGGAAATTTCAAACTAATTTATTTTTAATTAAAATTTAAAAAAAATATTTTTAGAACCAGAAGTCCCCTTAAAAACTAAAATCTAATTATAATTTTTAAATTGTTTGAAACTTAGAACCAAGAATATTTTCAAACGGGTCCTAAACCAATCGATGAAAGGTTCTTCGGGAGCAAAATTAGTCCTAAACTTGGCATCCGATACGTCAACACTCGTACAACAACGACAGAAACAATTAAAAAAAGAAGAAGCACAACTCAAAAATGAATTTGTAAAAAAAAAAAAAAAGTGTTGAATGAACCAACGAACCTAACGCGTTTCCCAGCTCTTGGAAGTGTTCGTTGAGTCGATCCCTTCTAAGTTTCTCGCGGTCAGCTTTCAGAACCTTTCGTGTGGAACTCGGATCCTCCTTTTCCCCTTCACCCTTTCCTTCTCTCTCCCTACACAAAACACAACACTTAGGTTCATAAATGTCTTTCTAAAAACTCTTATTCTAAAATTTGATTTTCAACCACAACTTAAACCTGTAAGAACCCAGTCAATTTTTTTTCCACAGAAGTGTTAGTACAAAAATGCATCGAAAGCATGTTTTAGTGAGTAAGTAGCATCCAAACCTCAGAAGTTGAGAGCTGAGGAAACGGTTAGAGGTGGGAGTGGCGCGGTGGTGCGGCGAATCTGAAGTGTGTATAGACTTGGAGGAGTGTGGGGGATTTGGGTGATCCATTTTGGCGAGCGTTGGGGTCGGAGCGGTTTGTTCTCTGCCACGGCCACAATCTGAATCTCATCAAAAAATCGGATTTGAGAGAGAGAGAAAGAAAAAAAACGCATGAAGCGTGTGCACTCCACGAGCCAGCGCGGAACCCATAAATGTCGAATTTCGTAGGTCTGTTTTCAATCATGTCGTTTTCTGGACACCAGCTCCTGCATTAGGACCTAGTGCCTCACACGTGTGATCACGCATAAGTTGACATTACACGCATATTTTTTATTAAATACGTTTTGATTGTTATACTTTTCTTGCGATTTAGTTTTGGTTATTGTAATTTATAATTAGATTAACTAGTATTTAAATTTAAATTATTAATTTTGTGATAGTAAAAAATCATTATTTTATATTAAATTTAGTATAAGAATTATTAAAATTTCATATTTTATGAATTTAATTATTTTATAAATTTTGTGACAGTAAAAACTCATAATTAAACATTAAATTTAAATATAATTTAATTCTTTAGATACATATGAATTAATATACACAAAGTAAATGAGCCATGTTTTAGCTACACATTCAACTATTTACATATTGTACTATTATCCACGATAGGAAGAAAAACAGTAACAGGGGAATCAGTTTCAGTATGGTCCAAAGCTTCATTGTAAAAGTTCTATGTCTGACTTTGTCTTTCTTTATCTGGATGAGAGTGTCATGCACACACCATGGGAAGCTGAGGAAATGATCCCTGTTAAGCCCTTGATTGTAGGTTCCCCAATACCTTGGATGATATGTAACATGGTACCAAGCTGATGCTATTGCATAAGCATCATCATCAGCTTCAGAATTTGACTTGTTTTTTATCATCGCATTGAACCAGCTTCTAGCTTCCTTTCTTAGAGACATCACAGCATTGTTAATTCCTTCCAAGTCCTTTCTTTCATTGAAGGATTTTGACATTTTCAAGACATTGCCACTGATTATTTCTGCTTCTGTCTCAATACCATAGTAATCCATTAGGTTCCCCAACTTGAAGTCATACATGTTCTTGTATTCACTAGCACTATCTGTATAATTCTCAAAGCCATCAATCTCCATGTCACGGTCATATGATTGCCTTGCCACTCTTCTAGTGAAGGGTTTGGTGAGACTCTTGTGTTGTGCAACATTCTTCACCTCACGATAAAGCTTTCCTATTATGGTATTTGATTGGTAACTTGGTTTGTCTGGCTTTTCCATGAAATCTGGATACTCTTCCACGCGTAGATGTTGTGGAATTTCTGCTGCCACACCAGACTTCGCAAAATCAACAGCAACTGAATGTAGCTTTGCAAGCTCAATACATGCAGGGCTCATAGCCTTTTGAGGATCTTTATCAGCAAACACCATGTGTGCACTTGCAACAATTCCCAACCTGTCTTTAACCATGTACTGAGCAAAATACTCCTGAACTTCCTGCAGCCAGATAGTGCTATGTCATTTGCCAACAAATTGCAACATAATTCAAAGCTCTAAGATTGTCTTTAATTTGTATACAAGCAGAAGTCAAGAGTAGAATATTCAGGGTATATTGAGGAGGTTTGTTTCACTCATTGTCTAAAGTAGTTTTTGCCATATGTTCTCATAGATACATCACTTGCCACACATTTTTACTTTTCAGGTCCATCTCTACAGCCTGTTTTAATGTAGCATCTTAATGAATTTATCTATACTGAAATATAAAAATGGAAACCAAAGAACTATGTCCTTGTCAACAATAACTGGTGAGTAGTGACTATTGGATGATTTGCATTAAGCATAAAACAAGATATATGACAACAATTCTCAAAATGAAGCAATGCCTATACTTATGTCTGATACGGCTATCAACCTTTTATTATTATTGTGGCCATGCAACTACTTTGATAACATAGCTTTATGCTATGCATCATTCATTAATCTAAAGTCAGTCACCTTGCAGATATGTAAAATTTTATAACAACATTCACAATAAAGACATTTTATATTAATTTTTCTCTATTTCTATATATCTTTCCTCTATCTCTTACTTATAGTGTTGTTAGAATGATCCCAAATGCTAAAGTACAGTATGGATTTGTGGATGGAGTTATCTGATAGACAATCTTTGTATTTATCATACGAGGTAAAAATTCATCTTTGCTGTCTTGATCACTTCCCTTCTATCAACTTGTTATTATTATACCTCTGTTAAATCAGTACCTGTAATGTAACATCATGATCCAGATTCACAACTGGAGATGGTGCATGATCCATGGGATTTTCCTGACGAGGAGGAATAAGATCAGGGTCCCAACTGACAAAGTAGATATCTCCATCCAAGTCACTTCCAGAACATTCATTGGGATGTGGTCTACATGAAAAAATAAATGAAATCAGAAAACAGCGTACACATTGAAAATGAATCTCTTCCATCAATTTGCCACGGTAGTGGCTGAAAGGAAGACTTGGTAGCTAATCAATAGGCCAACTATTCTAGGAATTCTGGAACAAGAATGAAAAGAAAATCCAAAAGAATGTTATTGATGCTTTTTCATCAAATAAATTACTTTCCACGTAATCGAGAAAATGCATTCATTTGCTTTAATCTTGTAAATATGATTTGCTTTAATTTCTAAAGCTATACTATTTTTTCTCAACTAAAATGTAGGTACATTATGCTATGTTACATTGAAAATAAATGATTGAATGGACAAGCTGTGTGAAATGTAATCTGAAAAGGGTATGCACTTGAATAAATGTCAGTGTATGCTTTACGGGAATAGGAAATAGTAAAATGGAGGTGATACCTTCTCCCTTTCTGTGGAAAAACAACACAGTCCACCATATGATGCAGAGAAGGTACATCCACTGCTCTTAAAACTCGCACATCTCCCGGGTGCAGACAGGGATTTTTGGCTACAACTACCTTTCCCTTAACAATATGTTTGCTTTTGTTTAATCCATATCTGTTCGAAGAAACAGAGGACATAGCAAGAAATTGCTTATTTCTTTGGTGAGCTATCTGCACAAATACCTCTCCATATTTTAGTGTCCTAGTTTCATCTAAGCATCCCAACAATGCTCTTCCTTTCCTAACAAGTATCCTAGTTTTGAGCTGCAATTCCTGTAACTTTGATGCATATAATGTTTGCAACATCATGGAAAGAAATGGTTCCTTAGTTGGATGAAAGCCACAAATAAGCATTTCCTTTAAAATGTTTGCAATCTCTCCTGTGGACATATAATCTAATATCATCAACGGCTTTCTTGATATCATTTTTAGTTGATTAAGGACCTCTCGTTGTTTCTTTCTGAAGACTCCATCCTTAACACCAAGCGTGGACAAGAGGGTGATTATCTGACGATTAAGGTAACATGGTTTGTATTTGCTCCATGCCAAAACATCTAATTTTGCGTATTCTGACTTGTACTTGCACATGCTCTTTCTTAAGGACAGCTTAGTTGATGAGGTAGGATCAACAGCAACAACACCTTTGTACCCCCCATATCTGATTTGAAATGCAGATGGAGTATGATCCCTACAACCACATTTCTTAGCCACTTCTTGAGCCAATTCATAAGATATCTTCCCAATTCCATCAGAGAAACAGTATTTGGTTTCACCTCTTCTTAATTCTATATCAGGAATAATTTTAATTTCATGTCTGCCAACACTCACTGTTTCCCTGGAAGATCCGAATGATTGACCCAGCCTTGCTGCATATTTGGCCACATTTTTAATATCATGAAACTCTCCCATCCATTTTCTTATATCAGATGCAGCAAGTCCAGTTCTTGGTGCAACCATCCACACAGAGTTATCCCGCAATTGACTTGGTGAGAAGGCAAGAAACTCAAACTTCTTATCACCAATTTCTATACCATTTTTAAGTGTTGACAGTACCCTCTCATGGAGCTTTGTTTCTGTGTCCATGTCTACAGAAGATGAACGTGGCACTAAAGCTGCTGAATGAAGTTTGTCCATGTCTTCATCAACGAAAGAAACACGTAGAAAGTTATCAGTGTCATCAGGATACTTGCGCAAGACACGATTAGAAAGGTTCACTTCAGGACCACAGAAGTATATTTTGGATGGAGTTACTTTTACTCTATGCACATAGACCAAACCATCATCCAATGAAATAGCACTAGATACTGGAAGTAGATTATTTTCTGAGTATTTCTTATATTGTTTCTCCAACCATTGTGCAGGTTCATAGCAGCATACTTTTATTTGATCTAATTTATGCAGGGCACTTTCTATATATTCAAGCTTCACTCTTCCAGGGTCAACTAGTTGAAAAAGATCGACGTCAACTGCTAGCACAGGAAGACATCCATGCTGAATTAATGAGTTGATTTTGAACAAAACTTTGTATGGCAAGTTGATGCCTTCTGGAGGGTTCACTATGGGGACAAAATTGAATTTAGAAGAGAAACCAAGGTGTCTCTCAAGAGTAAAGACACTGTCATCAACTTCATTATAATTACGATAGTGCTGATTGAACTTTGGAACTTCCAAACTATTTGGAAGCTCAAAAGATAAAACAGAAGATTGTCCAATGCTACATGATGGGGTGAAATCTACTCCTCGAAACCAATGGTTGTCACAAGCCTCCTTTAAATATTTGCTTTTGGAAACATCCTTCTCATAGATCAGGGGAGCATTGCGTAACTAACAATTGGAAGAGAAAGTGGAAGAATAAGCTTTCTTCTTTGTCGTTATCAAGTAGATCAAAATATTCAGTTTTATTATATACTACGATAGTCGAGCTTCAGCTACCAGAACAAGGTTCATGTTAAAGTAAAATAGCAAATCCTTTTTACATGATGCTGTGCAAAAGAATTATAGCAGAAAATATTTTCTATACTTTTATAGGTATACTTCTGTAACCCTATTTTTATGCAGAAGTTTCACTTCTTCAAATAAAATCAGTGTCACCCGAGAAGAGTTATAAACTTTAGTATTATATCATATTTCATCTTAATACAAATTACACTAAATAAAGTGATCTAAAATAGATATAAGTCACCTCTCAAGTCAGACTTAAATTTGTTCATAATGATTTGGAGACACCTTAAAATAAAAGTAAGGGATCTGACATATGTACAAAGCTAACCTGGAAAAGGAGAAGCTTTTTGGTCAAATCATCTGAATGATGCAGCTCAATACGTGATATACTCTCAGAAGAAATCTGCAGCTTATAATCCACAGACAAATAATGGAAAAATATATACATCTTTCTCAGTCTGGACCCGAATTTGACTGAAGCACTTGGATGCTCCCAGAGTACACTAAGTTTGTCCTTGGATGTTTGACATCCAAAGTACACTGCTATGTCATCCATGCTGTGAGGAAAGTTCCTTGGCTTTGGCAAAATGTCCTGTTTTATTTCTGTAGCATTGAGAACACTGTCACCGTATGATAGGTGCTGAGTAAGTAAGTGCAAAATTGTTTCAACGCTTTTTTTGTCTGTGAATTGAACATTAACATGTGTGGTAGAATCTTTTTCTTTGTGCTGCTTAACCTCTACAACATGAACAGTTTGAGGGCCTGTATATTGTTCCAAAAATTTCCTCACCTCTTCAGCTGACACTGTATCTGGGAATCCATGCATTTGAATTGTCTTGCACATAGTGTTCAATCGATTAGTTTACCTGAAATTTATATGTGAATGAAAAATAAGTGCACAATTCCTTAGATTTTAAGAAAAGCACTATTAACATTTTGTTGTTCAATGTGTGAGATTTACCTTGTAGAACAAGTATATATATATATATATATATATATATATATATATATATATATATATATGTATAATACAGAGTTAATTAGGTTCACCATGAACCCTTGTACTTAACAGTAAACAAACGTATCAGATAGACTGTTAAAATTTGTAATTCAGGACCTTTCAACATGCAATTAAATACGTCATTATACAGAGCATGTAAAAGGACCATCCTCCATATATAAATATAATATATAGTCATCATGGCTAAGAATGATTTTCAGAGACTATTTTTTTAATAAGGGTGATTTTGGATATTTTTTAATATCATATCTCGTTCTACTTATCATTCTCATCTTTAATAATAGATTGATTTTCAATATTTTTAAAAAATATTATCAATAGCAAAAAATAACCTTGTATGACAATACAACTTTTTTATCATAAATATAAAATATGATTTATATGTTTAAAAATATTTTTTTGTTATAAATTTTAATTATAATATAATTTGTATATTAATTAAATATTATTTGTATTGTAAATTTTAATTATATAAAATGAACATGCTATACATTGCTCTAGTAGAAATACTACTTGTTATAACATGTTAGTTTCATGAACATGTTATTTAATATTAGTTGAGTTAATATGAAATCTAATACTACATGTTAGGTTTAAATATGAAACATTTTTATTTAAATATTCACCAAATAACTAAAGCTTTCAGTGATTCTTAGGCATTGCAAAATGCATTGGTGAACGAATTTATATTCACATTACTACTTGAAATTGAATCTTAGCACATAAAGGAAGATGTTCCAGCATCAAACAGTTATACATAATCTTGAATAAGACATTATAACAATCAAATTACATTTCAAACTTCAAATTCTTAACACTTGTATTCTTAGAGTCATCGAAACTAAGAGAAAACAACCAAGGAAACTCTCTGAGAACTATAAAAGATTCAGTGCATGTTAGAGCACTTTACTAGGAAGTTTGTAGAATGTCTTGCAGAAAAGTGAACCAAACCACAAAAGTTCAGCAAGAGGGAGTTGCAGCACTTACAACTGAAAACTGAAAACATGCATCATCATAACTTCAAGATAATCAAAACAACAACAAAAATGAAGCAAGAAAGGATAATTTTCCTACGTGCATGCAGAAAGAAAAGTGAAAGTATACCTCTCTTGTTAAATGCTGTTTGAGAAAGCCAGGACCTGCATAAGGGAACAAGAGGAAAGAGTGCCTGAAACACACACCCTATAATTTTGTGCTTTGGCTTTTCCTTGATGGGAGGGCAAGTATAGAAACCATGATGCTCATTCTTTCCTTACTTACCCCTACTTTCCAAACTTATGATTTGTTTTTTCAAAGATATTAAATCTGAAAAGTTAGTTATGCAAAGGAATTTGTGTTGAGTATGAATCTAAGTCATCATTTTAGTTTGTAAAAGAAAAAAACTTGTTGGTGGACTTATGCTCAAATATCATGAGATGCAGAAATGTTTTGAATATTACTGATAATAAAACTTGTAATGTTTGATTTTCTTTTGGAGTGGAGGGGATCACCACCTCTAACTTACATGCATTCATGATTTTTATCTCTCTGATCATTAAATATACATATGTATATTTCAAATTTTAATCTCTTATATATTTTTTTATATTTTTTTATTATTTATTAATCATATATTATTTGATCGTAAAATTAATAATCAAGACTTATCAATGAAAAAAATTAAAAATTTGATAAATTTTTAGAATAAATAATTCTAGAATATTGATGATTTGATACCTATAATATTATATATATAATATGACAACTTGAAAAGACGAAGAAATAATGAATAATGAATTTAAATTAAAAAAAAAGTTATTTTTTCTTAATCTTAGTATTTAAATAAATTTTCCGATATTAGAATGAAATTTAATATTTATATTTTATAATTAAAACATAAATCATATTATATTATATTATATATATATATATATATATATATATATATATACCAAATTACATTTTAATAATAAGATGTAGAGATCGAAATAATAAATATAAAGGATGAAAGTTATCTTTAGAGACTCTTTATTGGTATATTAACTTTTAAGTACCAATTAAAAAAAATACACTTTTGAGAAAAAAAAATTATTCAACCTAAGTACTATTAAATCATAATAGACCATTATATGTATATATGAAGAAAATTTGAATAGTTTAATTTTATTCAATTAAAATTATTCTTAATACAAAATTATGTGCATAAGTATAATATTTGTTGTAAAAAATAAAAAAATCTCAATAATTTATGTCATAAAAACTTATCTATATATATATATATATATATATATATATATATATACTATTTAAAGTTTTTATCATAAATAATATAAAATCATAATAAACCATAGCAGAACGGTTAGAGTTTTAAAATATAATAGTTAAGTATATAAATTACCTTAAAACAGCGTTAAAAATTTTAAATTAATATTTTTGAAATATGTTGTCACGTAAATAAAATTATATTGGGAAGGAAATGTGATATTATAGAATGTGAAATGTGGGTCCAATTTTTATAATTATAGATTATATATAATTTAATTAGCTTAATTATATTTATCAAATAATTAAAAACTTCGTATTAATGAAAAATATTAATTAGATATTAATTTAAAACTTAAAAATATTAATTTATATATAAGTATACAGAGAAATATTTTTATTAAATAATATTAATTACTTTATTTATTGAAAATAATATAGTTTAAATGTAATCATTACAGTATAAATGCATGCGTTCCTTTTCATGTTAACAAGGAATGTATTACAAATGGCATATTTTAAAATTTAATAATTAAATATATCAATTAAATTATAACTTTATTATTATTATTATTAGAAACGTTAAAATTGTTCATATTTTCTATAATTAATTTTTAAAAATAATCTAAAGCTATTTTTTTATTTTTTAAATATACCTACATCACTCTTCGTACTTATCAAGTTTTGTTCTTATTATTATTTTTTAAATATATAAATTATAATAATTATTTTTCTATATCATTTATATATATATATATATATATATTGATAAAAAAATAATATTATATTATCAATAATGATACTAAAAGTATTAAAAATAATATTATTTTCCGCTCTTTTGACATATTTCTTTCTTCTCTTTTTAAATATATAATATCATAAATAATAGTTTTTTTTTAAATATATAATATCATAAATAATAGTTTTTTATTTATAATCTATAAAAATAATAATAAGAAGAATAATAAGAGTACTTACTTGATAACTTGATAAATCAGTTCGAAATACTTAGAAAAGAGTGATAGAATAGATTTATTTGATACGTGAGTTCGAAATACTTAGAAATTAGGGTAGATAAAATAATTTGTAACATTGTACAGACTTATTATATCATCTATATAAAATTAAATCAGGTTAACCGTTTAAGAATCAATATAAAAATAATTTTTTTTAAATTAATTATTTTAAGATCTAATAATTAAAAATTAATTATTATTTTAATGACAGTGAAATAAAGTTTTAATTTTTATTTTGATATTGAATTGATTTATTAATTTATATATTAAACTATTATATTTCAAATAAAATTTATTTATTTAATATAATGTAAAATTTAAAAATATTTTTATTATTTATTTTAGTATAAATATGTTAATATTTTTTTGTTTCTAATAAAATCAAATTTATTTCGTTAACTCCTTAACCTAAATATACTAGACTAAAAAATTATTATTTATTTTAAAATATAAATTAAATAATTTTTTTCGTGGACCAGACCATTTGAATTTAAGTTCATAACGGAACTTTGTAATGAAAGTTAGATGTAATCAAATTTATGGTTTTCATTATTTAATAATGTATGAAAAGTTTGTTATTACACAAGGTAGCAATTAACGTTATTACAGTATTTATGAATGATATTAATTATTTCAATAGTCTTTAATAAAAATTTTAATTCTAACAACAACAAAAAAAAAAAAATATATATATATATATATATATATATATACATTAAATATTTAATTAGTATTTAATAAATATTTTCATTCCAATTATGCCAGCTTATATTACCAAACAATATCAGAATTTCATAATCACAACTTATTTTGAAATTTTATTTTTATATAAAATACTGACTAAGTTTGCATTTGTTTTGATTACGAACAAGTGATTGAACACAAGTTGATGGGTTTCATGTTTAATGTATTTTTTATTATATAACTTTTATATTTGGTGTGAAAAATATAATATTCAATGAAAAATATAAAAGAACAATTAAGTATTTAAAAATATTTAAAATTAAAGATATAAAAAAATCCATTAATGTAATTTAAGTTATTTTTAATTAAATTAAGTATTATATATAAACTAATTATAACCGAAGTCAAAATATAATTTTTTTATTCATATAAATTATGTATATAAAAGAGAAGTTATAACTGTTGCTTTTAAAACTATATCGGATGGATATATTTAATCAGTTTAACATGAATTTAAAAAATAAAAAATAAAGTTCAGTTAAATCAGTGAAAAAAAATTTGTGAGATTTTAATTAATCGGTTTTGATATTTTCTTTATCAAATTATTTATAAAGGATTAACTTTTTGAAAAAATATAATATATTTTTTTATCTCACATAAATAATATCAACTTTTTTATTTTTTTTCTTACGAAAAATATCTTCTATGCTAGTTTTTATAATTATTTAAAATAAGTTAAATTTATTTATATCAGAAATTTTAATTTATTTTAAGTAGTATAAGGAAATTTTTTATTAAAATAGATTTTTTTTCAAGTAATTTTTGTGGAAAATATTTTTAATAAATTTATTATATTATATATTGTTACCTCTTCTATTTAGTCTTTTGGTAGGTTAAGGAGGAGTTAGATTAACCATTTAAATAAAAATTTATAATTAAAAATATTATATATTTTTTAAGTTATATTATTAAAATATGTAAATATATATTTAAATTATAAATATTAATAAATTAAAATTAAATTATTGATTATAATTAGATATTTTAATATACATTATTATGGTTATCAAAATCGGATTCACCAAGTTATTTTGTTTAGTTTAATATAGATACACAGATGTGAAGAGAAAGTTATTTTTTATAGTGATATAGTATTCTTCTCGTAGTATAGTCTTTGTTTTTATAATTATTACCACCACCCACTACCTGTGATGGTCTCATTTTGGCGTTATTTTTGTTGTCATCGTTATTTATTATTATCATCATTACAATTATTCACTGAAAATATAATAATATATAAGAATCACAACCTCTTAATTTAAAAAATTAATTTAATGAGCAAGTAGTGAGTTATATTTGGGTTTCATAATCATATCTTAAAATAAAATAAAATATATAAAATTTGAAGTTAGAAATCATATAAGATTTGGTGTAATTTTTTCTACTTATTTTTAAGTTAGTTCTAGGTTTTTCTGTTCTAATTATTTTCAAATTAGGTGAAACAATGATTTTTTTCTTTCTCTAATTGATTTGTATTCCAAATATTTCATAATATGTTTATTCATATTACTTTTCTTTATATATTGTACAAATCATTCTTGTTATTATATAATACTTTTTCAAATAATATCTTATATTGGATTGAAATTATTATTATACTGTGATAAACTTATTTTAAGTTTAATATATTATTATATTATTAAAATATATTATTTTATTAAACTCAGTTTAACGATCTAATTTCTATTAACTCCAATTGAACCTTTAAATCTTAAACTCATACATTTACTGATTTGATGATTGGTCCAATTTTATAAATAATATATAATATAATAAATTTTTATTTTTTTAATAAAAATATTAATTAATAAATAAAAACTAAAAAATAATTTATATAACTAAATATATATTTTAAAAAATTTATATAAAAAAATATTCATTTATAAGATGAAACATGTTTTATCATTGCTATCGCACCATACTAACTTTCATGATAATTTGTATAATCATTTTTTTATAATACTTCTAATTTTAATAACCATTAGATATATATAATTTATTGGTGAGATTGGAAAGAATTCAAATTTTTTTTAATCATATTTAATTATATTGAAATTATTTTTAATTCTAAGAAGGTACATTAAGTATAAGATGGCAAAACGGGTTAGTCAGTCTCGTCTTTGGCCCGCCAAAAGCGAGGTGGGCGCGAGATGTCCCGTTATAATCATGACGAGTTGTAGACCTTGACTCGACCGATCAAAGGGCGGGTTGATGGGTCGACTTGCCTTAATTTATAAAAAAATAATTTATTTTTTAAAATAATTTTTTTAATAAATTTAATAATAAGATTATTATTTTTTTGTCAATAATTCAATATATATATATATATATTATTTCAATTTAATAATATAAATCAATACATTGTTTTAAGAAATTATAATTTAGAATAATAATAAAATTTACATAATAATAAATAATAAATATATATATATATATATATATATATAAATAACGTTAAAACTTATAAAATTTATATTTTTATTTGATACCTATATCTTTTTTATTTGATAAAACTTCACATTATTCTTGGTTGAGTTCTTACACCTTTAATTCAAGTCATAAGGATAAAAATAACTCGTGTTTAGGATGAACAAGGAGAACAAAAGAGAGAATGTTGTGTTTCGAGTAATGAGAATATTTTCTCGTGAGAGTGAAACTTTTTTAATTATCTTTTTAAAATTTTTAACTTTATATATTGTCTTTATAATTAATTTTATTACAATAAAAAAATATTTTTTTATTAATTAGGCGGGTCGAGCTAATCCGTCCGTCTCTACGGTTGGCTCAGCGGGACGGGCCAAAGCGGGTTGGTGGACTGAAAACACCAACCCGTCCCGCCATATTATGGCGGGCTAGCGAGGCCTGCCCGTTTTGTCATCCCTAATTAAGCATTATAATTAAATTGATTCCAAGAAAAAAAAACTAAAATTGAATTCATTCCCACAAATCATAAATGCATAAATTTCATTATGGTAATAAAGTTTTTTTTTTTAATTTCATTACAAGTTACAATTAAGTATTATACTTAAATTGAGTGAAAGGAAAAATATTTTCCTTACTTAGTATGTATTTTATACTAGAAAAAAATGAAAAATAAAATAAAAACTATTATTTTACAAAATTAATTTATATTAAAAAAATATTCATTCTTATATTTATATATATATATATATATGTAAATAAATTTATACATATATTAACTCGTAATTTTATATTTTTTATAAATAAGTAACATTATTTTATTAATTTAAATTTAAATATTTAACAAAAATATAATTTTATAATAAAAAGTAATTCATAATTTATAAAAAAAATATCTTAATTTAAAGATATTAAATATAAATACTGTTTTATTTATACTTAATTTTATTTTTTATTTTTCTATAAATAAACACTTTTTTATATTACTTTCCTTTTGAATAAATTAATACTTTTTTCCCGTTATTTTCTTTCTTGGAATTTGTTTTCTTGACAGTTACTTTCCTTATTTTAGGCAAAACAAAGGCATGCAGAGTAAGAATTTAAAATTATCATTATTACTTATCTTGTTTTCTCTTCTTGAGTAAATATCATTTAATCTAGTTGTTATTTTTTTAACGTCAATTGCAAATAGAATTTAAACAATTTGAATAACTCAGATGTGACACCCGAAATAAAATATTAAACGTTTCTGATCAGCAAAACGCGTCTTTAAGGCAATGCAATACACTGAAAATTGGTATAAATAGAGACCAAATGGTCTGCAATTCTCACACTGTCAGATGCAGAATAATCAAATTCTGCAACTCGAAGGAACCAAATAACCTTCATTTTCTTTTATAAGTCATTGTTTTGTTTTTTCATCCTTTACCTTTTAATTTCTCTTCTATTTTCAGTTTGTTCATTTCCAGATTCTTATCAATGAGTCTTCTTCCTTGGTTAACAGATCAGCATCTAAAAGCACCTGACGAACCAGTTCATATTCTTTTTTCTTTTTTTTTTTACTTAATTCTCCTTTTTACCTTTTCCCCTTTTTAATTAATCGATTTTGGGTGATTATTTGCATGCTGTACGTGAAAAAAAGTTGATTTTTTAATTGTTTCATAGCTAACGTTTGATTTTGTGTGTGTTGCTTTATGTGTAGTTTGCAAGGTTCTATTCAAATCCGCAGATCTGATGTATAAGATTTTTTTATTTTATTTTTTACAAAAATTATATAATTATATTTGTTGTTGCTTAATTATGATAGATTTTGGCTTATAGAATAATGGAATTGTGAATACTAATTTTGATTTTGATGGTACCTTGATAGAAAAAAATAACATTCACACAGTATTACATTTGTTTTCGTTTACTTCCTTTGTTGAAACTCTTCATGAAAAGATCCTCCTCACTAAGCGGGGTAAGGCTTTTGTTTCTTTGTGTTTTCATAAGATGTTGGGTTTTCATCTGATGATTTTTTTCATTTAATCTAATCTATAAATTTAATGTTTCCTTGATATATACATGTTAGTTTCAGGGTTTTCCAAACATCATATTTTTTTACGAAGATAAGGGGGAATTTATCTGGAGTATATGAAAATAAATTGATAGATATACATCCTTTTTTGGGTGGGTTGTTACTTGTTACAAGATCATTCATGGATTTATGTGGACAACTTTAATTAACTTTGTAACTTCATATGTAGTTGTGTTTATATTTTTTTCGGTTTTTCTTGTAAAACACAAGATCTCTATATGATTTCTATCTACACAGTGAAGGCACACACAGTAAAAGTCCACAACAACTGTAGAAGGTTGAATCAATGGATGGAGCAGAAGAGTCTGTGATAATTGGACCAACAGTACATCGCTATTTTCTTGAGGGATTTTGCTCAAGGTTCCTTCAAAGATGGTTTTAGATGAAGAACACCATACAAGGAATCGAAAGTTCAAACATCTGATAAAGTTGTTACTTATTGATTGTTTTCAGTTCAGTTTTTACTCTTTGTATTGATGCTTGACGTGCAACACTATGGAGTTTTCTTATCTTGACAGCTACATATGAGATAACCCTGGGAGGTTAGGAATGATGCCTTCATACAGTGTCTGGCATGACTGATAACTCTGAAAGGCTATTTCTCTTGCCTGATGATGTGGATTTCAATGCAATGAGCTAAGGCTTTAAAATCACTCTGTTGGATGGACAAGGGCAAACCCAATGCTGGAGTGTCTAGTAGTAGCCATAACATGTTTTGGATACCTACCAACAAAGATATTCCACTGTTTGGGTGCTGGTTTTGGTAACTGACAGTGTTAATGCATTTGTTGGTATAGCAAACATGTTATAGCCTCTGCAAGTATTCCAACAACATCTCTCCCCTTATCCTTCCAACATGTCAACGCATTTGAAAACCACGTTATAAGGCAATAGAAATAGCCTTTTCCATGGTTATAGCTCATGCCACTGACAAGGTCAATGGTACCATTTCCTAGCATTAACCTTCTACAGTAGTCTCATATGTCTACTGTCAAGATCAGAAAACTTCATGTCTTGCATGCCAAGCAGCAAGACAAAGAATAGAGACTAAAGAAAACTAATTCAATTCCTGTAACTTGTATAGAATTTGAACTATTCCATGCCAAGGGTATCTTATAAAATTTGTTTTTTTTTTTTTAAATTGGTTTTAACTTTTTTTATAATGGTTTTGATTGTATATATATGTAATTTACAAATTGATAAATAGACAATAAATATGAAAAACTATTTGGACAAATTATTGCCAACAGCATTTAGCAAGTTTAAAGTTAATTTAAAAATATCAGATATTATAAGCAACTTCTCTATTTATCATTAAATGTTTATTTTTATATAAAGCTAAACATCTTTATGCAACTTTTAAATAAAGTGAAATTTTAAATATATTGAAATATGGATAATAGTGAAAAATGGGCTTTAACACCAATAAAAAAAAGAACAAATTTATGACATTATGATGTTCAAATAAATATATAAATAAGAGAATTATAAATGAGTGTTTAAAAAATAAGTTAAAATGACATTTATTGATAATAAATGTTGTAAAAATATGAGTATGTGAGATGTCATAATATTGATTTGTTAATTATATTCATTTACCATCTAAGTAAAATTAATCATATTTATATGCATATAAGTAACCCTGTGTGCGAGTAACGCTGATGGATAAACTCAATAAGAATATATTTTAATTGTTTACATTAAATTTAAAATTATTAAAGTCAAATAAATAATAATAAATACTTAAAAAGGTTTATGAATTTTGCAAGATTTAAAATATTATCATTACTGATAGAAAAATTAACCAAGTATTTGAGAAAACATTTTAAGACCATGTTCGAAAATTAATATTGAATTTTGAATAAAATAAAACGATAATTAAGCCAATATAAAGAAAACAAGTCTGGAATATTAAATGGAGTAACTTTTATTAAAAATACAGAAAGTTCTGATAGATAATAGGGTATGATTCTGTTTAGATAAATTTCTCTTTTGAATTCTCAATAAAAAAAAAAGGAAATAATAAAATAAATAAACTTCTTTATAAATTAAAACTAACTTGTTCACAAGTTATAAACATAATATAAAAAAATTATTTCATTATTATTTGATTCTTAAAAATTGTAAGTTTGTCCAAAGTTACAGTTTTAAGCATGATATGCCACTAGAAGATTAGTAAATGATTGCATGCTTGTGGGCAATCAATCACCTTAATCAGTTTGTTGATCCATTTTGCAGAGGTGCCAATTCAACATCTTGGATGGCTACAAGTTTGGCTTTTCCACCATACACTTCTGGGAGAACCTCTTCACCAACCTCTCTTCTAAACTCTCTTGCCTCATCTTCATTGGTCACAATTACAATCTGCATCCACCATCCAAAGCTCATGGAAGTTAAACATGCTTCATTTAAAGTGGGAAAGTCAAACAAAAAGATAGAAAGCATTCTATCATAAACAGATACTTTCTCAAAGACCCAAAGACCATACCTTTAGGATACCAAAAAATTAAGGTTGAATTTGCAACCTTTTGTTATACAAATGTTTCAGTTTTGTCTTCAGTCACACCACTTTCAACTTAAGAAGATAAAGTGAGTACCTTTTCTAGGGTAGCCTTCTCTAGGAAACGAGAAACTACTTTCCAAACACTCACAAAAAACCACGGCATGTGTAAAATATAGCACTTTGCCAAACGTTCAGGGTAGTAACTCTGCAGTTCAACCAAAAACATAGACGAATTAAAATATATCCTCCATTCACCTATCCAAGTAAAATACATTGATGCCAAAATAAATTCAAGTCTGATTTTACATCTTGGCATTCATGATCTGCATGCAAATTTCAAGGAAAAACAAAATGATGAAAGTTACCTGTAAAAATTGAAATCCTGTGATTAACCCACGTGCATCAACATTTTTATAAGAAATATTTTGCAGATCAATAATCCCAATTATCTTCTCATTTCCTACCTCCCTTCCTTTGAAAGCACTGAAGTTGAAAAACATTGAACATTAATTTCTAGACTCTATTAAGAGAATAAAGAGATAACTATTTGATGATACGACCTTTATTGTAGTTAGGAGGTGAAAACCTGAACTGCCTTTATTTTAAAAATTATGCAAAGATAATGCAAGAGAACAAGTATACATGTCCTTTCCCAACTTGAAAAAAGTCTACCAAGTAAGAACTTGTATGTGGTGAGAAATGGAGAAAGAAGGAATCCAAGTTTTGGTTTTCTACCTTCAGTTTTCTGTTACTCATGTTCTTTCACTTTTTACCATCTTCTACCTCCTCCTCTACTGTAAATTTTAGTTTTAAAAACAAAAACTGAATCAAAATATCATCTACACCTTAGTCCCTCTGATTCAGTCTTTTTACGGTCTTCAAGAGCACAATGTATAACTCTAATTATATCAAGAAATAAAATCATGTTTCAGGATTTGAAACAATTTCCCTATTTTCTGATTTTTATGGGGGAATTTTAACTCATAAGGTACATTATTGCAGCTTCATATGCAGTTTCTCGCTTCAATAATATTCCTTTCTTACTACATCAATTATAAGCCTCATTACATGACTTTAGATGTTTCAAATCAATGCCTAAAACAGATTAAATGAACAGAAAATAGGTAAATAATTTGATTTAGATAATGGATATAAAAGCACCACAGTGGTAGTAAAATCACAGTACCTTGCAATTGTCTTGTCCAGAATATATACAACAAATTCTGAATCAATGAACAAAATAGAGCAGTCAGCCAAACTGGCAATATTTAAAGGCAGTGAAATAATTTTATCAACGCAGCAATATAATAAAAAAAATACTTACTTTTTTTTCATTTTTGTTTTAGTTTTTAAAAATAATTTTTTTAAAACTGTTTAAATTAAATAATTATCAAACAATTTTTTTAAATTAAAAACATAAAACAAATAAACCTCTAATAATAATATTCTTTATAACCCACTCTCTTTTATTAATTACAAATTATTGAAAACTACATATTTATGAGAGGTTATTAAAAATGGTGAGAGATCTATTAAATTTGTGATTTTTAATAAATTTTAATCAATAAAAAAAATGTTTCTAGCATTTATGATATTAGAGATCTAAGATTGATCAGTGAAGTGATAGTCAAAATAAAATATATACAAATGAGAGAGACTTCTACCTAACAAGTTGAGTTTTCTAGATTTGAATTTAATTAAATTCTAATAACATTACTTATTTACAAATATAAGATAAACTTCTCGACAAACATTTTCAATAGAGAAAAATAAGAAAAAAAAAACCTTTTTTTCATAAATTAAAATTAATTTATGCCTAAATTAATTTCTAGAAATTATTTTCGATAACCTTCTCCAAAATTTTATTTTTAACTCATAAATAAACTAATGTTAATCTATTAAAAAAAATAATGTTTTTAGAATCAATATTATTATTATTGAACATGTATTAAAGGTTTAAATATTCAACCAAATTTAATAAAACCATATAAAATACATTAAAAAATATAAAATATATAATAATTAAAATAAAATAAAAAATATGATAAAATAAAATAATTATTATTTAAAAATTTTATAATTAATTATAAGATAAATAATAAAAGACTATTTAATTAAAATTAATTTTCTAATTTTATCGTTTAATTATTAAAAAATAATTATTTAAAAATAATAAAGTGATTTGTAATCAAGGCTTAGATTCGATTTTAAAAACATTAATAAAACGTTAATTTTATTTTCTTTTTTATATTTGTTTCCTAAAAATATTTATGATTTTTTTTTTGAAAGATCCTAAATCATCTATGTATTCCCGACTTGCAATCTGTTTGGTCTGAGACAAAAAAAAGACACACCTTTCTTATTTGCTATCATAAAAGTAGTGAAAAGCACGATTTTCAATTATATTATTTTTTAATATTTATATTACATAATTATTATGTCAAAATACAATAGATTATATAATAAATATTATTTTATCTTATTTTTCAACCTATAATTAATTTTCAACCACAAAACCCTAATGCACATGGTACTTCATTTCCCTAACATTACATATCACAAATTACAAAACAAAACACTACTCTTTCTTGAGAAATCCAAATATTGAATCACCTATTTAAATAACCATTGTTTGTTATTAAAAAAAATAAAATTCAGTCAATTAAATTAAAGATTATTCTATTAGCGTAGTTTTCACTGACAAATTTTCCCACATCACCTTTGGTCATTGCTTTGATTATAATAACTGTAAATACAATTTTTTAGGGCTTGTAAGTAGAACACCACTAATGTAGAAGAAGACAAATAAATTTGGATTTTGAGGGACCAATAATGTAGTTTGAATAATTAATTAATGCCAAACTTGAACAGAAAAAAAGGTAAAAGAACGATAACCAAGTGAACCAATTTGTGGTCACATTAATTAATTCAGGAACTTGTCTTGTGGAATATTCGCAAGTGCCACTGAGACAAATTACATAAAAATCGCATCTTTGAACTCAGTGTAATGGCATCAAATTTTCCACATTCAAATAACTAAATACATTAAATTTATTTAGATTTATTTTAATAAACATAGTCTAGGAATGTCTCAAGATTTCGTCCAAGATTAATTTGATAAATAAAATTCGTCTAAAATTATTATTAAGGATTGTTTGGCCTTTAACAATTAAAAACTACTATATTTTAGAATAATTATTATAAAAAATAATTTTAGAAAATCTAACAACTTATGATTGAATGAAAATTTACTCTGTTGGAATATTTTATTTTAATAAAAATAGTACTAACATCAGTATCATATATGATTGGAAGAAAAAGCTCTAAAAAGAATAATCAGCCAAGTTTTCAGACAGAAAATAGCTATCAGACAAAATTGATATGCTTAAAATACATTAAACAGTGAAAGTTGTGTTAAGATCATTTAATATCTTGCATATTTTCAGAAGGACACAAATTTCTTTTTGGTACAAAAATGTTTAGGAAGACAGGCTTGAGGACTCAACTAGACAAGCATACTCAATAAGCTTTTACAAAATTATTTACTAATAAGATTTTTACCAACTTAATCAATCTTTGATGACAAAGAACATTGTTTTTGTGTTTAGACTAACGAGCATATATATGCATATTTATAAGACTAGAAACATGATTAATCCTAAAATCTCTTTTCATAGATAGATATAAATTTAGAGTTGGAATTGAATAGAGATTGAAGAGGGGAAGGGAAGGGAATTACTCTTGAATTGAATCTGATCCTTGGCAGGAAAATGTCTGTTGGTTTGAACAATCATGAGAGGGAATCTGTCCTGAGACAAGCCCTGCAAGAAGATCTTCCTTGCTTCAAGTTCATCTGGAATCTCAGACTCTGAAATGAATCCATTAGGCACCATGCCACCCCTCCACTTCTGCCACTGCACAAACATCTTTGCTGCCTTTTCCACTTCCATTGATCGAGCAATCAGAAACCTCGTCAGTGTATGGTCCCCATACCCCTGCAAAATGTTAATTATAATAAACAAGAGAGAAAAGTTTGAAATCTGAATGAAAAGCAAAGTGAAAATAAATAAATAAATTTAACTTTTGCTTTTAGAAATATTTTCTTTCTACTTTCTCTTTAATCATATACAGAAAAAGTTCATTATCCTCTCTTTTTTTTCTTTCTTTCTATCAAAGACCTCAATTTTTTATTAAAATTAGTCATGATCTCTATATTTTAAAAATGACTGTTTTATCATGCAAGAACATTTATTCAAAATAGATTTCAGTATATAGAAGAATTATTCTTGACTTGACTCTAAAAAGTGCCCAACTGATAAAGAAAAACAATGATTGATTCTTTCTTTCCATAATTATGAATTTTGTCTCTTATTTTAATATTCCTAGTTCCATAAAGAAGAAGGAAATTCATATATTACAATAAATGCAAAGATTTAAAGTAAGAGCTAACACCAATTTTAACCAAAAAATTAATCAAATTAAAGCATAACTCTAACAAAAAGAGCAACAACAACAGTAGAACTAGGAACACGGAATGAGTAGATTCCATAAGAAAATAACAGATTGGGTTTACCTCTGCAGAAGAACCAAGCTTCTCAACGGATCTTCTCATCTGGGTAAGTGCAAAATCTCTTTGTTGATCCATTTGGCGAAGAAAAATTGATGGGTGTTGGACCAACTAAGAGCAGGACCCAGGGAGGAGAAGATAGAAAAGATCTTGGTTGTGACCAACCAGATTTTCAGAGTGGCATGAACATGTGATGAAGAGAGAGGGGAAAGAGAGAGTGTTATAGAAGAAGAAAGAAGACCTTAATAAATTCCGTTGAACAAAAGAGAAGAAACAAAGGAGAGAGAACGAAATGTGGAAGGACACGTCTCTTTGATTTTGGTTGGTTGGTTGTTTTGCCACACTTGATTATTTGTTTTTTTTTTTTTCAAGAAATTGGTTGAAGACTCAGAATTATCTACATCACAATTTAATTTCAATGGACTATCAAAGGTTTTTAATTTTACCTTTTTTGTATGATGTGAAACAAAAATAAATAAATTCATATCAACTATTTATCTTTAGTATATTTGTGTTAGTTGATAATCTTATAGATATTTATATTGATTAATCAAAAATATATTATTATATAATTGTAAAGTGTTTATTATCTTTGTCCAGTGTTAGTTTTCGTTCAGCTATTAATAATTACTTATAGATTTAAGAGTTTTTATCCTTTTTCTCTTAAATAATCTGTAAATTAGTTGTCACTTCTTATAATATTCTATTCACTTTCATTTATAAGTTTCAATTACGTATGTTAAGAAAAATAATTATTTTGGTTTATCATAATAAATTTGTCTTAATTTACCCTTGAACCATAGTCGTGACCAATTTTGTCGCACACTTGTACAAAAATATGACATTTAAACTAAAAAATTGGGTCTTTTGTACTAGAGTAAGGTAATTTAGAAAATATATTTATTGAAAAAAAATACCAGTTTTTGAGTTTTTTTTGCTTGGGACACGTTGAACTAACAATATATTTATTTATAAAGCATTGCTAAATATTAGTATGAATTATTAAAATATTAGTCGTGTTGGTCATTTAAAAGGTGTTTGCACACATAAAATAAAAAATTAAAGAGATATTAAGTAAGTGGATTAAAAAGGACAAATTTCATGTGTACAGAGGACATCTTCACGTGAAACACAACAAAATGTAAAAAGTTAGGAGTTACTAAGAGGAGCTAAAATTGACTTAGAATCTTAGTTTTAGGATAAATTGTGTTTGAGAAGTATTGATATGTAATTCTATAAATTTAAATATTTTGTTGTTGTGAATAAATAAAAAATTAAATTTTATTGATTGTGTTTTACCTAGAGCAAGTTATCATAGTTTGTTAAACCTAAAAGGAACTAATATTCTTAATTTGTTTCAATTTATAACAAACAAAAGAATAAGTCTTCACACAATATAAAAGCAATATAGAAATTTTACTAGTTATTTTTTATTTATAGTCTATGTACATGTTAAATTCTAATTGACATACTTATATTTTTTAGAGATATGTTGGGAAGAGTTTCAAAGGTGAAAAGGTAAACTTCCTAACTAAAATATTTTTTCTCTTCCTTTCTCTTTGGGTGATGCGTCCGGAAAGAGATGGTGAGATGTGAATGAATTGAAACGTGAATTGTGACAAAAAATATTACCTTTGGACTCTATTATTTAGTAAGGTAACAAGTTAGTTATCCATTGGATAAACCACTTACAAGATTTTATCATTATATTATTACAATATTTATTCTATACAACAACTTTACAGGTCAAACATGCAATAATTATTTGTGTTATAACTTATATTTTTTCATAACTCCAGTTATTTATGAGTGGTAACAGATTCACACAAATAGGTTTAATAAACCACATCCCTATCCTAGTCTCCATCTAAAATAATTTCACACGTCTCCTTTTATTAATGAATAACGCTCCCTGCATCTTCTTTGGCACATTCATGTTTACCAGATAACAGGTCAACATGCATGTTTACCAGATAATAGGTCCATGCATATCTTCTTTTGCACATTATGTTTACCAGATAATAGGTCCATGACATCTAATGTATTTAGAGGTTAACCAGAGTATTTCCACTCAAACTTTTGTATTATTTCAATAATTAGTTGTTATTACTAAACTATAATTAGAATCAATTCATTATTTTTTAAAAATGCTAAAGGTGATTTTATGATAATTATCATTTGGATTAAAAACAAGTAACTTTTACATTGAAGAGTGTACATGAAACTAAACGAAAAAAACTAATAGAAAATAACAAGTAACTTTTACATTTTAGAGTGTACATGAAACTAAACGAAAAAACTGAAAAAACTAATAGAAAATAATAATTTATTATAAATTTTTACCATCACGTTTAAAAATTTGAAGAAAAAAATTAAAAGAGACCCAAAGTGGATTGCTATCATTTTTTATAAAGTATCAAATAATTTTATCCCCAACCTGCAATCCTACTACCAATCTAAACACTCTAAGTCAATTAATTGGAAAGAACAATACTTTGACCACACATTTAAAGAATGAAAATTACAATGTAACTTACTAATAGAAAAAAAAAATATGGGTAAACATTGTAATTGTTATTTGATATTAAAATTCTCAATTAACCACTTGTAAACAATTGAATTAATATAAATGTATCGAGGTGGGACTCCCACTATCCCTCCTCCTTCCACATATTCTTGCCAAATCAGACAAATTTATGACATATGATATCATGTCAAATTTTATCTTATAACAAATTATCATTACACAAAATAACCTAACAGTTATATAAATCACACTAAAAATTATGAGCCTTCCCAACACCTCTCTCTACCACTGTCTACTAAACCAAGCAAGCCTATTACAATAGGGAATTAGATATAGATTTTGATATATGTGATTAGAATTCAACTTAATATCTACAAAAACCAGATCAAACAACTTAACTACTTTCACAATAGATAATTACCAAGCATTTAACATTATAAACAAAAAAATCCCTAGATAATTTTTTGCAGGCAAGAAGCCATCAATTCAATCAGTTTAAGTTAGTAAAAGGTTTTATTTCCCTACAAACTAGTTGATAGATTATAGAACATTCCTAGATACATGTGCAGCTACAAACGAGCAAACCAAAACCTATAAATACTAAACATCTATACAGAGTCGTCCTTGGGCTCTACAATGTACCAAATAATCGATGAGAATGCCTGGTCGTAAACTTACACATTGTTTCCTCCTGAGTATTTCAGAAGCAATTGTAGTTCACCTTTCCTTTTTGAGCTCTAAAATGTATTTTTGAACTCAATAAAGACAAACTAACTACAACACTCATCTAAAAAACTGAAGAGGAAACAACCTTTATGGAAAGGCCTTTCCAACGATTATTTGTAGAAAGCCCAATGAAGCTGACTCTGTTGAAGGATAACTATTACTGACTTTGTACCTGTATGGAAAGGACCTTCTCTCACTAAATATATTTCAACCTGTTGCAAACAAGATTCAGGCATTCACAACCAACATAAATATAATGACAAATATAAATTGAAATATATGAACTTGTAGCAGGGAATGTGTAATCCAGGAATATCAAAGACCAATGCAAGAACTGAGGAAGGAGTTAAAAAGGAGCAAGTCCATTCAACTTTCTGTTATTCCTCAATTAAATTTTGTGCAAAATGCCGATGTAGAAGATAAACAAGGAACATCAAAAGAAGAAAGAGTGAGAAATTATAATAATAAACTCGTGTGATCCCAAAGCTTGCTAGTTGCTACAATATCTTCAACCATCTCATGGAACACATCTTTGGGAAGAAAAATGTGTATGGTAATCTCCTTCTCATGGTTTTAATAAACTTCCCAACACATTTCTGCAGTAGTTATTTATTATATCTATATTTGGTAAATATCAAAGACAATAAAATGCACATATCCAGGCACTAAAAAATACGGATAAAATACTATTTGATAGGAACTCTATTTTAGAAGTTTAAATTAGCAAGCAACTTTTGTAGAAAAATAACATTATACTTACAATAAGCTCCAATAACAAACAATGTTCAAATCATTAAGCATTAGCATGTACTTAAACTAATATTCACAATCTTATAAAACATAACACCCAAGTAAATAGTCCTCACCTTACCTATTCAGTGAACACGCTTGAATGATCACAAGATTGATATCTTTCTATGATTGGGCGACTCCCTTTTTGCATATTTATAAAATTTGGCTCCTCCTGCAGTGTGTTGCCACTGCTATCTACATTGACTTTCATTTGACTAAAATCACTTACAGATGATTCAATTTCCTTTTGCGCAAACCTATTTGGAATGCAGGTATCTTTGCCAACAAACCCAAGATTCCTAAGACATACTTGATCAAATGAATCACCCGATTTGAAACCATAGGGATCTTGTCTATCAGACATGGGCAAAGGGCTAGGCAACGCTCTTGCAGAACCAAATGTCAAAGTTGAGTTTTGAAGCTGCTGAATACTGCCATTGATGGAGCTCATAGAACAAGTAGAGGGTATAGTATACCCATAGAGAACACCTTGAGCTTTTGTGTCCCCACCAGGAAATTGAGATGCAGTAATTGAATTATTTGATTTCTGTGACAATAAACTGTAATCAATAATGGCATTCCTGCCAAAACTGCAATCCTGATTGATAGAAGCACAACTATTTACTGCATGTAAAGTGTCAGAGGATTGAGACGGAACCACCAAGCAAGATGGTTGAACATTGATTGAACAACTTTGATCATGTATCAGAGGCTGTTGCTGGGGCTGCTGCCTTTGTCGGTGCTCTAACATATCCATCAGCATGTTGTTATTCTGGGTACCCACTCTTTCAACACTATTATTGGGCCTCACTGTAATATTAGATGACATCCATGCACCATATGCTGATGACACATCATTTGCAGTTATGATAGATGGAGGAAAATTCTTGCCAATGTTGGAAAGACACTTTACAAGAGGCTGACCATACGCCACAGCATGTTCAGCATGGGAAATTTTTTGCCCCTGTATGGATGCTTGCAGCAAGGTAGCCTGGTCCACTGTAGACATTATATTAGCTGCAGGACGACCTAAGAGCTCAGCATGAAGGGCTGCGAGTGTTTCCGGGGGAACATGGCCAGCAGCAGCCAAAGCTTGTATGTCAAATCTTCCAGTAGCACCCAGCTTGGATTCTATAATTCCAGGAACTGCATTTAGCATCCCATTATGTTGCTGTGCCACTCCACTTAATCGCTTCAAATAAAGTCTAAATTTCTGTAAATGAATATAGCAGTTCAAATGACAATGTTAATTACAATTAAGAGCAACTAAACATAAATGCATTTATCTACATCTATTGCTTTACTCAGTAAAAGAGATAAAATATTTACATATTAACAGATAATATTCCTCAGCCAGTTATTGCAATATTTTTTGGTTAGTGAATAATGACTGTGGTCATAAACTCTTAACTCTGATATCAGTAAACTTACATTAAATGACATTTATCAGTTAAAAATGGTTACTATTCATTTCTACATACATTTGGCCTTTTTATCCTATCAACTAATTACATGTCATTATAAAAAGGAGAAATGATAAAAACTGCATAACTGCAAAATTCTTGCTATCACTTCTACCCCTGTCATTCTTGGTCCCCCTCACCTTTTTCATTCATCAATAGACATTCTTTCATTCCATTGATTCAAGTCAAAACAACTAATTATCAAGTTGTCTGTTGTGCTGTATAAATCACACCAAGATTCTCGTCTCAGTTAAAATTATTTTTCAATATGACATTTCTTAGTAATTTCACATTTCTCATTCACAACAGTAAAACAAAGACAGACAACACTGTTGAACATCCTCAGCATCAGCTTTAAGTTGTCTCAAGAAACAAGAAAACTAAGAACTCATTTATTACATTTACAGGCAACTTCGTCAACTTCCCTTCCCAAAATAGCAAAAAGGTTGAACTAAAACCTTGGTTTGATTAGTGCTTGGTCCGATTGATTCTCTGATAACAAAATTTGAGCTTGCGGATGTGTAATGCCTAGTACATATTAGTTGAGGCTACCCCTACTCTTGCTAATTCATCAATGCTAAGAAAGACTAATCACACACATAAGAATAACAAGCAGTGGTACTTCAAATTTATAGGAGATAACAGAAAGGTAATTTCTGCTCAGAAGGTATAATTGGAACAGAATAAATACAACATGAATTGACATCAAGACAGAAAAAAAATAATACGCTGGCATTTGAACCAAATAAAAAGTAACCTAAAGGCCGGGGCATGTGTAAGCAAAGGAGATATAACACAATAAAAATTAAAAAAAAAAAAAAAAAAAACTGATGAGATTAGCTGCAAATCCAACAACTGTAAATTAAAATAAGTAAACAATTCTAAGGGAAAATGGTATAGTATTGCTTCACATTTTGAACTAAAACAAACCTGCAAATGACTTGCAACATTTTCTCTTGTCAAACCAGGGACATTCATCAATTCAAGTATTCTCTTTGGCACAGCCTCTAAAACAAGGATAAGAAACAACCTGTAAGCTATATTGCAATAAATGTTTAAATACACAAAAGCAAAAAGATTTTTGTAAGCTTTATGCTTATTGTAATCCTATTAAGTCTAGTCACTGAGGGAAAAAATAAAAGCAATAGAAAGTAATGTATAGCAGGGGATTCGTACTGTCAAGCCCAAGTTGATTCACAGCACTGACAAATTGTTGATGCAATTCTACTGACCACACAACTCGAGGCTTCTTAGATGTAGCTGGATCATCACTCTCCAATTCAATATCTTCTTCTTTTAAACTGCTCCTCTTTTTTGGTGCTTTAACTAATTCTGCTGCATCAGCAACAGAAGTATATTCAGTATCATCATTCCCCCGTTTATTCCAGTCACTGTCTTCCATACTGCCAGAGTTATCATGTTCTTTATTCTCGTTCCAGATTTTCCTAACAACATGTTGCCATATATTTCTCAGTTCTTCCTCTCGTACAGGCTTAATCAAATAATCACAAGCCCCATGTCTAATTCCCTTCATGACAGCACTTGTTGTACTATCACCAGACATCACTGAACCATGCAGAATATATTTCAAATGTTAAGCAATACTAACACACTTGTAATACTAAGGACAAGGGGAACAACAACACTTACTAATTACAGGAAGGTCCATTTCCAGCCCAACATGTTCAAGGAGTTTATAGCCATCCATGTCTGGCATATGAACATCACTCAGCACCACATCAAAACAACCTTTCCTTTCCCGCAGAAGATTCAAAGCCACTGTAGCCTCAGTGCATGTGGTAACTGGAAGATAAAAACACAATAAGAAGGAAGAAGAAAAACACTGTTCAAATTAAGACAAGTTGCAAAACAAAAGAAACCCATGTCATGCAGTTACTAGTTCTACAATATCCATCGAAATCTACAATATCTATTAAAATCATTTCCAAATTTCCACACAAATGTGTTAATCTTGAAATTTCAGGTCATATTGGATAGATTGCATCATAAACATTCTGCATTAGATTTAAACATAACTTTGTTCAGCTCCTTGACCCATGATAAAATCCAATCCCTTTTCACTTTTATTACACATAGCTGAACACACTAAATAAGAACACCCCAAGAAACCACAAAACCTAACTGCCTGCTTGTTTAGAATTATCTTCATCAGAGACTCAAACAATGTAGGGATTTGTAGAGAGGAAAAATTGTAGTCAGCCCATTAACCAAACTATTGGAGATGTTACTTCAACTAGAGCTATAACTAAATCATAATACATAAGCGGGTGCAAACCTCACGTTACAAGCCATACATTATAAAAACCACCAACCCTTTTGCCACAATAACTGAGAAATCAAGAATATCATGCAAATCTTCCTACGGCTCCCTTCTTTCCATAGGTACAATCAATTAAATGATTCAGAAATGGGATACATAATACCCTATAATAGAATATTTGAAAGGCCAACTTAACACACGCATACAATCTTGCATTGTATGAATCAAATCCAAGCTAGGCAAATTCCAAAAAACTGATAAATGGTCATCCATTACCCTAACATAACAAAAATTGTCATCATATAAGTGGCAGTAAGTTCAGTCCGCTAAAACAAAGTCAAAGCGACAGTTTCACTGTTGGAAACAGAAAAGTTACGAGTAAGTTCAAAGCTTTTGGGAACAGACTATCCAGAAAAGGTAGATTATTTTTCAAAATGAGGGGATTTAATATTTCAAAGTGACTTTCGCATCCTATTGGAAAAATAAATAAGCGTTAATTTTTAAATATACCACCAGTTTCGTTCTTGAATTATTTATCTCTAATGTAATGAGTTTCTTCGTAAGTTAAAATTAGAAGCACCTTAGCATAACTTTTATAATCCATAATACTCCTAAGTAGGTGTGAGGACTTGAGCACAAAAGGAGAGTAACTGAAAATATTACTTTATCATTTGGACTCTTAACATTCTCACTTCCTTTAAGCGCTGACGTCTATACACTGAACCAACCAATGGTACTCATTCTCTCTTTGATAGTAATAAAACAAGGAATATAAACGAGAACCGGAAGTTCTATCAAAACTAACTGACCGCGGTAACGGCATCGAATTGACATTTGCTCGATAATCCTCAGCGTGGTGGCGTCGTCATCAACGACGAGAACCCGGAGCCCGGCCGGGAACTCGACCGCGCCTCCCTTGCATGCGTCACCGCCCGAACGCGACGGAGCCATGGGAGCGCCGAGAGCAACGACGTCGTTTGGCGAGAGTTCAGAGTGGGAGAAGCGCAGCACAATGTTGGGGAGTGAGCATAGCAGAAGAATCGAAACCCTAACGGAAAAGGAAAGTGAGAGGAGAAGTTTTGGAAAACGATGGATCGAGGAGAAGAAGGAGAGGGTTTAAGGTGTGAGTGACGGAGAAAGGAAATCTGCGGGAATTGGAGAAATGTGAGGAGGGAAATGGAAAAGTGCGGACAGAAAATTTGAGGGGAAGAAATGATAACGGTGGGAAAGATATTAAATATATAATTGTAATCAAAGATTTAATTCAAATCAATAAGTAAGATTTAATTAAATTAATAAGTAATATTTAATTAAGAAAGTTTCGAATTCACTTTATTTATGTCGTACATGTTTTTTTTTATTACACGACACCTCAAATAAGTGTTGTCTTGTCCTCGTCAAATTTAAGGTGTCTTGTCCTCTGAGGTTAGTGTTAAGGTAAAAAATTAATTAATACTTTCAATATTTAAATAAATATTAACTTAATTATTTTTATTAAATTTATTTGTATTCTTTATTATTTCTTTTATCATCTTAATATTTTTTATTTAAAATTAATTATTTATTTTTCTTTATAATAAAGATAATTAAAATAGAAAATATAATTAATAATAGTGTTCTCAAGCTAGGTTGCTTCTGGACCCAAAAGGGTAATTTCCTAACCCCTACTTTGAAAAAAGTCCTTCTTTCTATATTTGCCAACACACCAAACACAACCTTATCTTCTTGAAGCCGTCATCTCCACGAGAGTATACCACACTTCAAATGAAAAGTGTGGCCATTTCTTCATGGACAATGGTGGCATCACCAATGCTGTCTACACCATTACCATCTTCTCTTGGTAACACCTCCTCTCACAATTCAAGCTTGTGTTGTGCCTCTAAAGATTTGGTTTTGAGCAAAAGAGGTACAAGGCTTCTGTGTTCAGCAAGGAGGCAAATTAGATACCAAGAAGGGGATGAAGATAGGGATGAAGAGTATGGCTACAATGAGGAGATTACTAAGTTGGAGAGTTATACTCAATCAGCAAAAGGAGAAGCACTTCTTGTGCATGTACTTGTGGATGAAGAGGAAGTAGAATTGCTTATCTTCAAGGTAAAGTTTGATTCATGCAATAGACCAATTTGTTTTAACTTATTTTAAAATTAATATTTATTTTAAAAAAAAAAACACTCTTCTAGGAGTTTGATGATTGAGATTTTCTTATAAAATAAATTGAAATTTATTTAGTTTTTAAATAAGTAAGTTAGATAAACACATAAAAGAATAAAACTCTGTTTATTTGAATTAAAAAAGATATTTTTAAATAAGCACACACAAATCCATTATGCTAATAATTTGTTTCCTAAGAGATTTTGGTTGCAAAATTTCAGGGTTTCTCTTCATGCTTGAGCTACAGTACTTCCCCAGACCCAACAAGAAGCATTATTCCAGCCAGGGCAGTGATAGTGTCCATAGATAGAATCAAGGGACCTTTTGACCCTGCCAATATAGAGTATCTTCAAAAGGGTGTACCATGGGAAGAATTCAAAACAAAGCTTCTCTCTAAATAAGGAGCATGTTATTTTGTTCTCATTTTTTTTTTCAAACAAGCTGGAAAATTAGTCTTTTTTTTTATTTTTAATTATAAAAATGTCATTCTTTTAATTAGTTATATGCAAATCCTTTTTTATTTTTAATTATAAAAATGTCATTCTTTTAATTAGTTTTTTGCAGCTTGTGTGAGTGGACTTTTTGGGCTGTTTAATTTTATCAAAATGATGTGAACATGACCCCTTATAGCAACAGAAATAAAGGAAGTTTTTCAATAAGTATTGTTAGTTGAACAAATTGTATTTTGGATTAATCAATTAATGGACTTTAATTTGGTTTTATTGCAAATTGTAATAAGGGTCCAATTAGAAATTTAGTTATCAGTATTTGGGAGACTAAGAGGGTGTATAGTTGATTGACTTTTGGATGACATAATTTTAGTTACAATCAATCATTAAGTAGTTTTCAATTCCTAGGTTAATAAATCATTACTAACATTTATTTTTCTTTAATGAATATTTGTAAATGGAAAAGTTTATTTATAAGTTGAACCATTTTTTATCGAAATAACAAGTTGAGTTTTATTTTTAGAAATAATAGAGTTTATCTTTTTTATCTTAGTAAGAGTGATTCTTCTAAGTTTTTGAGTGATTCAAAAATATTTGATCAGTATCAAAGATCTTTCACATCTTTTGTGAGTTAGTTTCCTTGAAAAAAATTATTTTTTTCCTTTCACCTTATCACTAAATTTCTAAATTTACTACCTGTTCTAACCTTAAAAATTCTAAATCACCCTTCTGATTCATATAACGTAAACTCAAGAAAGAGAAGCAATGGTGAAAGCATTAATAATACTAAACGCTCAAGAAAACAATTCATTAGACTGTGTTAACAAAAATAGAGTAGAATCGAGGAAAAACAAATGTTGGAGATGATAAAGTATGAATTTCAAAGTCAGTGTTTTGTTTTCATGAATTTATTTTTTTATTTTTTAACATTTTACAGTTGAAATTTTAATTTGACTAATTTTATTCATAATGTTTAAAACTAACTATATTTTATCCCCTTAAAAACTCAGTGAACATAAGTGTACACAGACAAATATTTCACATTTGACTATGAGATTTCACCCTTTTACATGTTTTATCATCCCAAATTTAATTTGGCAAATTTTATCATCAACATTTTAAAATTAAGCATACTTTACTTTTGTGTCCGATGCCATCAAATATTTAACATCTTGATAAAATGACACAAGTACTATCAAATGGTTCACATTAAAATTAAAAATATATTTCTTTCAAATTTAAAGTAACAAACATTTAAAGCTTTTTTTTTCGCATATACGAGAAAAATCATGCATTGTAGAAAACATGAAAAATTCAAGTTTGACAGTGAAAATTGTTGATATTACACATATAACCTATTTTACTTTTACACTTGAGAATTAAAAGTTTTAAAAAGGGATTATTCAACCTAATCTAATTCTAAATTAAAATAAGTTAAAATGTTTAGTTTAACCTGATGTTATATTAGGGTAATAAGTTAATGACTCAATTTTGGTATAATTGATTTATTTTTTAAATATTAACATATTAAATTACTTAATTAAAAAAATTAAATAAAAATAAAAATATATTTTTAAAATTTAAATTTTATCAATAAAATTAGTCTTATTTAAGACATACTGATTTAATATATTATTATTAAAAAAGTGAGTTGTAAAAAAATTGTTTTAAAAAATTTAGGTGCCTACTATTATTATATTCAGTGATTTTATGTTAACACCCGGGTCGGACAAAAAAAAAAAGAGTTGTTTTTTTTTCAAACCCGGTTCTCAAACTATCATTAGTAGTGTATTATATATTATGGTGATTGACGGGTATGGTGTATAGAATTCAATGAGTCAAAATATAGTGTGCAATTACAGCAGCTATGCTTTTAGCTTTCCAGATTGATAAGAAAAAATAAAAGTAACAAATAGTAAAATAATTAAATCTTAGACAACACTTCTCTGTAGCGTAGAAGGGCAAAATTGAACCTATAGCATTCGTTGTAATGGATGGGATGAATATTCATTCTTTCCAAGCCACAGAGTTAATATCATCCATAGCTTGCTTGTACAATTCAAGCCTTTTAGCTAGTTGTGTTCTCTTTTCCATAAGTGCAGGGTCTTCATCCAACAACGCCCCCAATTGATCCTTCTGCATACACAGCACAAACTTGCTTTAATCTTACCAAGTTTGGAAAAGGGGTATTTCCACAACTTTATTATATTTTGCACATGGTTATATTTCATCTTCACATTACAATATAATTTTTCTTATTTTTTGCTCGTGTACATATTTCATTTATTTGTGAGTATCTTGCACTTCAATTATCATTTTGTAATAATTTAGTATTGAAAAGAAAACATCGCTTCTGCATTATTTATTTTTCTTTGTAGTTATCGTAGTATTTATTTGCGTAGAGAGTCTATGTTAGTTAGTCCTCTTTCATTTTTCCTTTAGATCATCAAGAGAAGTATTGTGGAAAAGAAAAAGTGTTTGCCTGACTTAATGTGACATATAGAGATCTTGTATGATGGGATAATTACTAATGTGAGAAGAATACTAAGGACTTTCCTATTGGAATAAACATCAAAACTCGATACATAATTTTCATCTAGTTTCGCATGATATGTTACCAGGGATATAGAAAATATTATCACTAACTGCATGTGTTAATAATCAAATTATAATATATTGTAATAAATTTAGTTTATTAGCATGGATATCTCCATTTAGGAAAAACAAAATATCCTCTGATAATGTGTAATGAATGCCATAAGACTATATAATCATGCATCAGCAGGTTTTATGCTCCCCGTGCCTATATTTTCTCTCTTGTAACAGGAAGTAGATAACTTTAAACTCAAGATTTGGAGACAAACTTTATAAGCAAGGAGTTTTTGCTTAAAATAAGATAAGACTAAGCATATGCTTTGCACCTTTATCATGAGGAATAATATGATTAGGAAGTTGTTAATATATTGCTTTGATTTTTTTCAATTACTATATTAAGGGTCAAAGCATGAAACATTTATTTAGTTTCATGGTCTCAGAGAAATGCATAAAGCAGAAGTGTAACAATTAAGGAAAGGTTATTGCTTCAATCCTTCAATAGTTTTGAACTTAGATACTTTAACCGGTTTTGTCATCATATCTGTTGGATTTTCAAAAGTACCAATCATTTTCACAACAATGATACCTGGAGAAATTATCATACCTTATTGATGGATTGGAGAAAGTTTAAGCCAAGGTGGAGACTAGTTAAAATATAGGGCTTGGACATTTTCAATTACTATATTAAGGGTCAAAGCATGAAACCTTTTTTTTGGTTTCATGGTTCAGATAAATGCATACCCCATCTACATGCACTTTCCTATGGCAACATGTTGCAATTGAAGAACTTGTAAGGTTGAATAGCTCAATATTGCAAATCATTTGTAGCGTCCCATCACAAAGCGTTATCTCTCATAGAGTAGTGTTAATTATATATCTTCTCTCTGTCATTTATGATGTCTTGAGTGGTGTGGCAATACTGCAAAGTATTAGTGTGTATTTGGACTTTGAGATTTGAGTGTTATGTGTGACAACTTTTCTTTCTCCATACTATTTTTAATATAAACGCGAGTTGTCTTTACCTATGGGAGTAAGCTATAGGCTAAACTTCATTAGTTATTACACATCCACTATATTTGTGCACTTGATATTACAGAAGTAAAGTTGAGAGAGGGTATTATATCACATGTGAAGATGCATGATACAAATGGGATGGAAAAAATAGAGAGCCAATAGGGGTTATTTCTGATGTAAATATATATGTCTGGTGAATGTTGAGCAATAAGGGATATTTAGGTAAACATTAAATGCATGTAGTTGAGAGGTAGTAGTTATAAAGATAGTGGTTGAGAGGTAGTGGTTGTATTGAATGTATGTAGTTGAGAAGTAATAGTTGTATTAAATACATGAAGATGAGAGGCCATGTCCAAAGGCCTATAAATTGACCATGTACCACTCATTGCAAAAACATCAAGTGATAACATATAGAGTGTTTTGTTTAGATACTTGATTGTCAACAAATTGACATCAGAGCTTGAGAACCTGAGTGTCTGAGTGCGTTAGAGAGAGTGTTTGAGAGTTAGAGAGTTTGTTCGAGATGATCAACTTAACTAACAGCATGCCCCTGCCAAAGTTATCAAAAAACGGAAGTTATTGATAACTGGAGTCTGCAAATGAAGGTTCTCATTGGTTCCCAGGAAGTATGAGATGTGGTCGAAAATGGGCACCAAGAACCAGAGAATATTGAAGAACAGACAATTGTCCAATTTGCTGCGTTGAAAGCAACACGGGTAAAGGACAAAACGACTTTGTACGTATTGTACCGAGATGTTAATGAGTTCGGTTTTGAGAAGATAGTAAATGTTAAATCTTCAAAAGAAGCGTGAGATATTCTGGAGAAGGCATATAAAGGGGATAATCACGTGAAGCAAGTCAGGCTTCAAACTCTGAGAGACGAGCTTGAAAGAATGAGGATGAAAGAGGTCGAAGGGGTTGCCGAGTACGTCTCTTGTGTTGAGACCGTAGTAAATCAACTCGAAAGAAATGGAGAGATACTGCCCACTTTCCGAGTGGTGGAGAAAATCTTAAGGTCGTTAACCGACGACTTTGAGAATATCGTTTGTGCAATAGAGGAGTTCAAGGACTTGTCAGTGCTCTCGGTAGAAGAGCTTTCCGGGTCGCTTGAAGCACATGAGCAGCGGAGAAGGAAGAAGAAAGAGGAGTCCCTTAATCAAGCACTCCAAGCAAAGACAACCTTAAAGGAAAAGAAAGTTCATTATGCTTAGAACACTCAAGGCCAAGGTGGTAGAGGTAGAGGAGAATATGAAAGAGGTAAGGAGCAAGTCAGTCAACAAAACTGGCGTGACCAAAGACAAGGTAGAGGTCGTGACGATAGAGACCGATGTGGTCAGTCAAGTAATTCCGGAGTTGAGTGCTTCAAATGTGGGAAGTACGGTCATTTTGCTAAGGACTGCTATTCAGGTATCAAATGTTATAATTGTGGGAAGGTTGGGCATTTCGCGAAGGACTGCCGATCTGAGAAGAAGAAGGAAACAAACCTCCTCTCTGAGGACGCTGAGGAAGAAGGAGTATTGATGATATCGAGAAGTTCGGATGTCGAGCTAAGTCCGAGCTGTTCTCGGTTTGGTATCTTGATATAGGAGCAAGTAACCACATGTACGAGAACGATAACCTTTTTAAGGAGCTCACTAAAGTTGAGGCCGGACACGTGTCATTTGGAGATGCATCAAAGGTGGCAGTAAAAGGCTGAGGTACAATCTGATACCTGTAGAAGAATAGTCGAGTTGGAGAAATCAGAGACGTGTACTATGTACCCGATCTCAAAAGCAACATATTAAACATGAACCAGCTGATGGAGAAAGGCTATTCGGTTCTGATGAAAGACCGAATACTATACTTGAAGGACACGTCAGATCGTTTGATTGTCCGAGTAGAAATGAAGAAGAACAGAATGTACAAGCTAGACTTGAAGATAGTCTAAGAGAGGTGCTTGAAACTTGATGTGAAGGATGAAACAATGATGTGGCACTTTCGGTTTGGCCACTTGCATTTTGTTGGGCTGATCGAGTTGGTAAAGAAAGAGATGGTGTGAGGACTCCCGTCTATTGAATTTGAAAAGAAATTTTGTGAAGAATGTGTGCTGGGGAAGCATCCGAGGACCTCATTTCCGAGGACGGTCGAGTACCGTGCAAAGGAACAACTCAGATTGATTCACACAGATCTTTGTGGACCGATTACCCCTGAGTCTTTCAGTGGAAAAAGATATTTCATTTCTTATATAGATGATTTTTCAAGAAAAACCTGGGTATATTTTTTGAAGGAGAAATCCGAGGTGTTTGAGGTGTTCAAGAGATTTAAAGCAATGGTTGAGAAAGAGATCGACATGCCTATCAAATTTGTCAGGTCTAATCGAGGAGGCAGGCTCATTTCATCCGAGCTCATGAAGTATTGCGAGGAGCAAGGGATAAGGAGATTTCTGACAGCACCATACTTACCCCAAAAAACGGAGTTGCTGAGAGGAAGAATCAAACCATTCTTGACATGGTTCGAATAATGTTGACAAGCAAGAACGTGCCAAAGGAATTCTGGGCAGAAGCAGTGCAATGTGCCATCTATGTGCAAAATAGATGTTCACATGCTAAGCTAAACGAGAAGACACCGCAGGAAGTCTGGAGTGGAAGAAAGCCGAGTGTGTCTCACGTTAAAGTGTTCGGCAGTATAGCGTATGGTCATGTTCCAGCTCAACAGAGGACCAAGCTCAAAGATAGAAGGAAAAAATACGTGTTTATTGGGTATGATAAAAAAATCAAGGCGTACACATGAGACTTCTAATGAAGAAGATGAACCTATACAACCCAGAGCGCGAAGTTTACAAGATATATACAACTCCACTGACGAAGTGCATGTTGCATGTTTCTTAGCAGATTCATAAGACTTAAGTTTTGAAGAGGCCGTGTAGAAGAAAAGGTGGCAAAAGGCAATGGACGAGGAGATCGAAGCAATAGAACACAACAACACATGGGAGCTGACTGATTTGCCCAAAAGAGCACGACTTATTGGTGTAAAGTGGGTATACAAGAAGAACACAAATGCTGAAAGAGAAGTTGAGCGATATAAAGTTCGACTCGTAGTGAAGGGGTACAAGCAGAAAGAAGGAATAGACTATGACGAAGTATTCGTCCCAGTGACGAGGATGGAAACAATTAGACTGCTAATTTTCTTAGCAGCTCAACACAGATGAACAATCTTGCAGATGAACGTGAAGTCGACATTTCTGAATGGAGTCTTGGAGGAAGAAGTATATGTTGAACAACCACTCGGATACATGCGAAGAGGTGAAGAGAAGAAAGTGCTGAGATTGAAGAAGATACTTTATGGCTTGAAACATGCTCCACGAGCATGGAATGAAAGAATTGACACTTACTTCAAAAGGAATGGATATGAACAATGTCCTTATGAACATGCTCTATACATAAAGAAGAAAGGAGAAGATGTGATGTTTGTTGCCCTATATGTTGATGACCTTATCTTCATGGGGAATAATGTCGAGCTTATTGAAGAGTTTAAAGAAGTGATGAAGAAGGAGTTTGAGATGACTGACTTGGGTCTTATGAAGTATTTTTTTGGCTTAGAAGTTGTTCAGGGAAAGGATGACATCTTTGTATTGCAGGAAATGTATGCTGAGGAGGTCTTGAAGAAGTTTAAGATGACAAGTTGCAACCCGGTTTCCACCCCTATGGAACCTGGTACAAAACTTTCTAAGTATGCAGATGGAGACCGAGTTGATGCGAGAAAATACCGAAGTCTGATTGGAAGTCTTAGGTATCTTACAAATACCAAATCAGATTTAATGCTAAGTATTAGAATAGCAAGTCGGTATATGGAGGAGTCAAGGTATACTCATTGGAAGGTACTAAAGAGAATTCTACAGTATGTGAGAGGAACAGTGTCAGTTGGCCTAATGTATACTAGGACGGATGATTACCGACTAGTAGGCTACTCGGAGACCGAGTTGATGCGAGAAAATACCGAAGTCTGATTGGAAGTCTTAGGTATCTTACAAATACCAAATCAGATTTAATGCTAAGTATTGGAATAGCAAGTCGGTATATGGAGGAGTCAAGGTATACTCATTGGAAGGTACTAAAGAGAATTCTACAGTATGTGAGAGGAACAATGTCAGTTGGCCTAATGTATACTAGGACGGATGATTACCGACTAGTAGGCTACTCGGATAGTGACTAGTGTGGAGATATTGATGATTGGAAAAACACGTTTGGATATGTATTCTTCATGGGAAACACAACGTTCACCTGACTTTCAAAAAAACAATCCATTATAACGTTGTCCACTTGCGAAGCCGAATACGTTGCAACATCTTGGAGTGTCTGCCATGCAATTTGGCTTAGAAACCTTCTAAGCAAGCTAGAGTTGAAGCAAGAAAGAGGGACTGTGATTCGAGTTGATAACAAGTCAGTCATTGAATTGGCAAAGAACCCGGTCAATCATGAGAGAAGCAAGCATATTGATGTTCGATTTCACTTCATCCGAGAACAAGTGAAAGAAGGAAATGTGGAGTTAGAGCACATCAGAATCCGAGTAAAAGCTGCAGATATATTCACGAAGCCACTGCCAACCACTCTATTCGAGAACAACAAGAAGATGCTTGGAATGAAGGACAAGAAAAACATTTAAGTTTATGGGGGGATTTTGTTAGGTAAACATTAAATGCATGTAATTGAGAGGTAGTTGTTATAGAGATAGTGGTTGAGAGGTAGTGATTATATTGAATGTATATAGTTGAGAGGTAGTGGTTGTATTAAATACATGTTGAGAGACCATGTCCAAAGGCCTATAAATTGATCATGTACCACTCATTGCAAAAACATCAAGTAATAACTCTATAGATACTTGATTGTCAACAATATCAAGAGAAAAATATGGGAGTAGTAAAATAAGGAACAAATTGCATTTGCGATGTTGAAGCAGCACAGGTTGAGAGTTAAAAGATAACAGAAAATCAATCATGGATATCTTGGATATTCAGAAATAAGGCCATTGGAACCACTAGTGAGGAGCTTGCTTGGTTTTTAGTCTCGTGAAAAGGGGGAGAAGAAGGTCTGGAAAAGTTCTACGGAAGAACATCATAGTAAATAATATCTTTAAAAGTTTAGTCTATAACTTTCGGTCTTGTTGTATCAACAAGGGGCTAATTTTTAGGCTGAAGTTCTTTCTCGGCATTTTGTTGATATCCATCCATGCATTGTATAGGTGTCATTTTAATTTATTTTGTGACATTGTCATTTTATAGCTACAGGTGATTGATTCTAAAATATTTTGAGATGAACTATAAATATTTTAATTGTAATACTCAAAAGCATGGATTTATTATTTTTGGGATGTTAAAAATATAAGAAAATTTTCAATTTTTTTTGTAAATCTGAGTACAGTAATTTTTTTGTAAGTTGCTCCATATATTTTCTTGATAGATAGGGTTGAAAGGCAAAGTGGTGTTGGGCTTAATCTAAGCCTCAGTCATGGCTTGGGATTGGGCCATCTTACTAACACAGATAACAGCCGAAGACATGTCACTTGATACTCTTAGATGTTAGTCCTTGAAGTACCTCGTCAAGATGCTTTTCATTGCAACTCAAAGGAGGAAGTACTCATAAATGTACGAGAAATTAATCATCATAATTTTCATTATAACAAACAGATTTGTCGGAGAAAAAAAATATGACACTAATAACACAAGAAGAAGGCTTCAGTCAGGATTCACAGAAGTAGGTTAGGTTGACCAACATTACAAAAGATGAAATTCAATGTTGTAAATTACATGAAAGTCAAATGTTATTACCCTAACCATTTCGAGTTGTCTTTATGTAGAGTTCATCAATCATTTGTGACATTAAATCCGCTCAGCGTTTGCAAAAATTCTCCATGACATATACAGAAGCTAAAATCATTTTGAATGTTTGTTAAGATTCTGACACTGTTTAACATTTTTTCACGGATACAACTAACAAGTTTAATTTTCATAAGTCAACTTGCACAGGCCCAACAAATTCAGAATTAATCATTATTTAAACCATGTGAAAAGCAACTTAAGGGAAAGAGGTAGAAATTGTTCTATTTGCAAAAAATTAACAAAAAGATATTGACTCATACCTCCCTTTTCCCAACTTGAACATAAAACTGGTTTAGTAATGATCTCTTTGCCTCTCTAACTTGACAATGAACCACGGCTTTTGGTATAGAATGTTTGAGCGTCTCACAAACCATGTTGATATAACCATTAACATTTGACCCTGAAATAGAGTCACTGAATACTTTAACAACCATAAATCTGTTTCTTATATTCTGAAGGAAAAATCTAAACGTGAAGATAAAAACCCTAGGGATCTCTAGATATTATTGAAATAAACTCCAAAATAAATAATAACAACTAATAAGACCTCTGTTGTTATTATGTTGGAATCTTATTATTTAGTAAATTTATTGGACAATGCATGTACTATTAGATGTATTTAACTGTTGACCTAATTGTTGAAATAAATATTTCTTGAGTAAACCTCATTTTTGTTCCATTAAAATTGCAGGCCTTGGTTAATCCATATATACAAAATCCTAGCTTCAGTCTCTAACTTTGCAAAATGTCATTTACTTTAGTCCTTTTTGTTGCTAAAATGAGGGTCTTTTTGCAAAGCTTGAAGCTAAAATGAGAATTTTATGAAGTTAGGGATTAAAGTGACCAACACTTACAATCTCACGGACTTGAACGAGGATTTACTCAATAGGTGTTATTACTTTCTGTTTGCAACACATTTCTACTCACACCATATCTTCCAATATCAATCCAATATCATCTAAATACAAAAATCAAAGTCAGATCCAACATGATACTTGGAATAAATGATTATCCAAGCACCCTATTCTTAATTTTGTAGAACGAAGAATTTACATAACCGATATACAAGCTAAGGGATGAAATTCAAAAATAAAAAAAAGTGGGCTTCTAAGCTGTGAGATTGCACGTGGAGAATTATATATTTACCAATTTTACTGAGGTGATTATCTGTGTAATCCACATTGGTATTAGAAGTACTCCGATTTGGGTTCTTTGGATCTGAATTTTTTTCTGGTTCAAGATGCATCTTCCGAAAAAATTCTACCGTTAGATAGCCAGACTCCATATCCACCAACCGGGTCACAGTCCTCCTACTTTCTTCTCGGAATCGTTCCAAAGCATCATTTGCAGCAGCAGCTATATCAGCTTGAAGGGTTGGAAACCTCTTCAATTCCTACAAGCAATAAATTTATAACGAGTGGAAGATTTATTTCATTTGTGACTTCCTGAATCCTGAGTATAAGGTTTCATTCCTAGTAATGCTAATTTTGTATATATGTAAAGCAACAATATTCAAGCATGTTATGTAAATCAAGCAAACAGATAATTGTTTCTGTGCTAGTCTTTTGGTGAGAGTTATAGTTTGTTTCCCTAATTTTATACATCTACAATATTAGAGAAATTCAATGGAGTCCTGAATGGAGGACGGAAAATTACTACATAGCTCAAGTTTACATAACTTGTGTTGTCCACTTTAAGAGTTTTAAACACTAAATTAAAAATATATAAATGCTAAGATATTTTATACTTAAAGTACGAGGATTTCTAGGTCAGCTTGAGCTCAGTCAAATCCATCTCCAGAAGGACCTACGTGAATTTTGTTTAAATATTGCACGTGTAAGAGGGGTATAAAACTCGGCTGGAAAACGGTATCAGACTGAGCCAAAATAGTGTTTCAGGTGATACCATTTAAGTCTGAAAACAGACTATGAGAAGACAATACCTTCCAGACGATACGTTACGTCTGTGCATATCAAGACAAAGCTCCATACGCAACTTTCAGACAGTGGGAAAAAAACATACAGACAAAGACTAACACCAGAAACGAACAACCTTACCCAAGAGCAAAAAGTTACTTCACATATTTCAATATTCCAACGATTACAAAGTGATACGTAAGAGCTCATATAGGCAAAATTTATCATGACTAAGCCAATAAACCAATCATTACTCTGCGGCTAAAAGCTTTTACTGAGCAAGCAAACCTTCACCCAAAAACTATAAGCAATCCCAAAGTCTACACATACATTTAATGCTAAAGATAAACAATCTCAATATTCTAAGAGATTTTACTATGAAAAACTATTTCTTTCGCCTTTTTCTCCTCCAACATTCAGTTTCTTAACTCCAATTCCTCATTTCCTTGTTCCAACAGAAAAACAGAACACTTTTAGTATTTGACAGTGAACCTAGAGAAGGAGCATTCATTCACTTTTATAACAATCAAGAAAACACTTAATATCTTCGCTAACCAAAAGATGAATTACCAAGATCAAGTTCATCGCACTAGGTTGCGTTATTTAACAATTGGAGCCTTCTGAAAGATTTATATCAACTTAAAGAAGCATTTCCTACCTCAGTTGCAGCGATTGACTTCCGTACAAGTTCCTTCAGAATTAGGTGGACCTGAAAGTAAATGACAGGAAACAATTTGTAAGCAAAGCTAACAATGGTAAAAGATATTGAAGAATAAGCTACGAGACTATTTTTTTTTTTTTGTCAGAATGAAACAGCAGGACGTAATGCTGGTGGTTAGTGAATGCTAACAAACAGGAATACACAGTACAAAAAGAAAAAAAACATAGGTGTTAAACAATAAAAAAGTTATAGACTCGACGAAGGGTGCACATTTTAAAGTTAATTGTTTTTGGAATTGAAGGTAACAGTTACCAGCTTGGAAATTGGTGGGTCACCTGAATGAGGTTTTAAAACTAAAAACAAAATATCTGCAGGGTGTTTACAGTGTACAATCTAGGGTTTAAAGTAGCTATTACCTGGGTTTGGGTTGATAGGGTGGAACATATGAAAACTAAATAAAGTTAATTAGGAATTCAGATCAGCACGGATACTATCATGTGCTGTTAAATGTTCCAATGATGCCACAGATCAACGTGACATTGCAAGACTTGATCCTCCTTAGATAATTTTTCTCAAAGTATTCCTAAGAAAAAAATTATAAAATAAAATAAGTTTTTCTCTTAAATTTATGGGAAAAGTTGATATTATTTTTCCTTTTTATTTTCTTCTTTAATAAGTATTTGTGAAAAAGTTTATATAAATATGGCATTGGAAAAGACCTACTCGTAAAATTTCAACAAAGCTTCCTGTTCAACGTTGACAAGGTGCCATACTTATAGACCATTCCTTTAAAAGCAGGATGTCCTTCATCGTACATGAACAAGTGTATTAAAGCACACTAATACGGAACAATGATATATCACAATGATTTGAAAAAAAAAAAAAAAAAACTCATAGACAACCACAATATATTAATATAATAATAATATATAATAAGTAAATTCAAAATTTAAAATAAAAAAAATGGATATCATTTAATTATTTGTGTAAAAGTGGGTTGTGAAACAATTTTTATTCATTAATATCTGCCAAGTCCATCACATATTTAAACCTATCAAGGAATAAAGTCAAGAAGGTTACAGCATCCACTGAGGCTTCAGCTGGGCCTTTGAAATAGCCGATAGATCCCTCAATAAGTCTTCTGTAGCCTTGTTCTGGAGCAATTAGATGTGGCTGATAACCATCCGCTTCTGTAACTATTCGTTCGACATTCTTTACGGAAAGATGACGATTAAATGGGAGCTTTTTTAAAGCCGCTGGTAATTGGTGGTCAAAAACACCATATATACGGTCCCCACCAGGACGGCTAAAATACCAGTTGGTTACTTCATCAAATATATAAATTTTCCAAAAAAAAGTAAGACAATAAGGAAAATTACTTGCATAAAATTATTTCATGACCAAAACGTGATACTAATTTATCTCAATTATTTTTCAATCTTTTAATCAATTGGTTCTTCTAAAGTGAGTTATTAGAATTTATGCCGGAAAAGTACTAATGCGATTTTGCCCCCATTGTCTTGAAACAAAAAATAGGCAGCACTTACCCTCCATCCAGGTGTTCTTTAAATACTTTGTCAAATGCCCGACACATCTGTAAAATAGTGTATAACTTGGCCTATATAAAAAATAGCACTACTTAGTACGAGCAAAGTCCAAGAAATTTCAAATACAAGATTGTTTTTAGCATTGATCAAAGTTCTGACCCCTGAATCCACAGCTATTGGCCTGCCAATTCGGTCCAACTCTGCATTAAGCTCGTCAATGGCTTTATTTATCAAGGCAATGATACTGGGTATCTTCTGCCTAATAACATGCTCCAAATGCTGCAGATAAATGCCAGTATAGGAAGGGAAGGGAAATTTTACTCGCAATCACTTAAAAAACAAAGCCACATAAAGACATCATTAAGGAAAATTACGTGAAGAAAATATTATTAAGAATACTTGGGATAGAAGTCTGGCTAGATATTCTGCACCCATTTTATGTGCCAAATGTCCATATTCGGGGCTAGTCTCGAAATATTCACGCTCCTTCTTGCGAGCAACAATCATGTCAACATTTTTATTAATATCAGCTTGTGAACGATTGACAATTCCAACCCAAGGATGCTGCAGCCTGTATTGCCTTCCTTCGAGAACCTTTAAGATTCACATAAACACAACTTTTCTTCAAGTGATAGACTCAATCTTAGTGACAAGTAACATAAAAAATTGAAGATAATCATCATGTAGCTGTTACAGAATTATACCTCAACCGCATTAGTTCCTTTATCCATAAGATCAAGTTTTGTCAACACCCCAAATGTCCTTTCACCTTAAAAAAGAATTAAATAACAAGGACCTTTCTAAATAAATTTTGGTTAAAATAGAAAGAGAAAGAAAGATATGATCATAGGAAACAGTGTCAGCACTTGAAATTCCTTCAAATATAAAAGACAAACCTGAAGGATCAACTTCTCTTGCAATTTTTATTGCATCTGAAGTTGCAATATCTTGGTTTGCGGGAGAGATGGCCAGTATAATACAATTGGGCTGCACCATAAGAAAATTAGATTGCTTGTGATAGATAGAGAAGTTAAATGATAAGATGTAATACATAGAATGAATTTAGAAAAGATTATTCATTGGTTCAGTGTGCTTATTACAGCTTACAAAATTACACAATATTATCATTGTTATTAAAGTATTGATACTTTGACATATAAGTCTTTCGAGGAGGTGGGCACCATAACTTGGAGAAGGATTAATGTCATGTGTCTTTAAGAAATTGAATGGGACAGAGAAAAAGCAAAGGAGCTTGACACTACAAGAATTAAATTTGGCACACAAGAAAAGGCCAGAAGAAAGAACGAAGTGGGCATATTATGGAGAAGGAACAAAAAGAAGTGTTGCGGGTGTGTAAAGGATTGGGTATATCGTTGTTCTCAGATCATTGTTATCGGAACACAGAGTACCCTTAAAATCGATATAATTGCAAATAATAAGGAAATAAGTAATCTTAAGTTAACTTCATCACCCACTTTCTTCGAACACAATTCCCTAGACAGTGTTCAAATTCTGGACGTGTTCTAACCAATAGTTTCACATTCCAGAATTCAAATGAAACATAGTTATGCTAAAAACAGCTTAATAATTAGTTCACGGTTGATTATAATTTGAGTAAATTGGGATGGCCACTTTGAAAGAGATGATTGAAACAAAAGCTCATTGTGTCTCCAGTCAGGAACCACTAAATAAGTTTAATCTACTGGAACATAGTACATTATACGTTCTTTGAAGGGAGTTTATATAAAGTACATGGTCTTAATTTCCCTCCTTTAATAACCCTGGTTTGGCGAAGGCCATATAGTGTGCTTGTTTAGTTGTTTGATACAATTTTCAATCATATATGATTATTCATTTTATGTTGGAAGTACAATTACCTTCTCAATATAAGAACGGACCATGTTCTCAATATCTTGAACAATGGTGTCTGATTGACCCTCTGCGAAAGAAGGACAAATTCTATTATTCTTTAAACATCAAGACGAGTCCTCTCAAAATTACATCCAACTAGTTTAAAAATACTGGGAAATATGTGAAACTTTACCTACAGCAACCTTTGTCAACCCAGGAAGGTCGATGAGGGTTAAGTTTACAACTGCAGAAAAAGCCATGAAAAATTATTACGCAACTATATAATTAAAGTGTTACATATAAATAGAGTGCTCTACTCAGAACTAAGCATTTGAATCTCAATTAGGAGACACTTAAGGAGTGTGGAGGATCTCTCTTCTCTTCTTCAACTCTTCTTGGGTTTGTTTATGCTTTCTTTTAATTTATTGGTTGTTTCCATGATTTTGAATGAGTAGTCTCTTTATTCTAAGATTAGGGCTTAATCCTTGACAACTATTGATACTTAAGTGATTTAACTTTATGTTCTGTTTTACTTCTCCTCTTGATTTCACTTTTATTGATTTTATCTATGCATAATGTTTACCCATTGTTTTTTATGATAATAGACACTCAGAAGAAGTGGTACTCAGTTGTTCCCGCGGCTACCCAATTGCAAAATTCACAGTGTTCTTGCAAAAATCAGAGAAATATTCAGATTCGAGTGACACTAACATGAATACAAAATGAAACAACAAAAATTTAGAGAATCCAATTTCTCTTTGCCGAAATAAAAAGCAATTAAATTTTCAAATAAATGAAAGTGGAAAATAAAAAAGTGCATGTTTCTTGACTCTTGAAGAATCCACTATCAGAATGAAGGCTAGTGGAAAGGTAGGACAATCAATGTCTGCTTAGTCTCCATGATGAAGTCATAATTCATTCCTATATAAAAGGGGTCATTGGAAGAAGATAGATCCTTCCGCCCAAAAAGCAAGAGGAGTGCAAGTGTGAACGAGTATGTGAGGACTTGTGAGCCTCTCTTAGTTTACGTGCTATCATTTGTAGAGTGATAAACAAATTGGGTTGGATTACAATTCTCAACCTCCTATTTGACACAGTGAAATACTTTTGAGACGGTTATGGAGACGAAAGCAAGGGTGCCTAACCATATTAATGTTTATGTATTACATCTAAAGATCTTTTGGGTGGTGGATTATTCCGTTCTGTGATTTTTAGCAACACTTCCACAATATTGGAGTGAATCTGATAAGTGTTCATCACTCTTGACGCTCTGAACACTATTCAATATCCATAACTAAAGCAGTTCAAAACAAAACTTACAACATACATTATAATACTTCCTTGGACAAACTGACAAGAATAAAAATATCAGCACATTGGTTCACAGGGAAAAAGAAGCGTATAGAAAAGAAAAATAGTTCAAATATACAAAATATAGCCTTACTTTTAAAACCATATGCTTCAATCAATTTCCAAATAATATGCTCAATTAGAAGGGGAGATGGTATAAGAAAACACAGGACTATGTTACAAAGTTATAAAATTGCTTCTGCTGTTATCAACAGGTGATGGAAATAAATACCATTCGGAGAATATACGCTTAGTTGAATTGGAACGTTTGAAATTGCCTTTGTCTTCCCAGTTATACGATCTGTTTCATCTGAAATTTCTTGTCTCACAGAAGCTGCATGGAACATTTGAGGAAACAAAACTTCTTTAATTTAAGATGTTCAAAGAGTTAACCTTTTGTCTTTCATAGAAAACAGGTTTCCATTCAGAAGTAAAGGAACGTTAACCTGTACAATTTGAGTATCGCAAATCCCTGCTAAATAGTATATTTTCTCACTTGCATAAGATTTAAGTAAAATGACAAAAATAATATATATGATGATATGTAGTTGGCAGGAATTTCTTCAGTCTAGGGAATTTGGTGTCAAAAATCACTGCTCTTGTGGTTAAATGGCCGTTGTGAACTAGGAGTATGCATGTATTAGATCAAAATCACAACAATCAATGGATTTCTTCTGTGGAATATTCCTTTCTTGGAGGCATTGCCTTATCTCTCTAATCTCTGTTGGCAGTTTACTTTTTTTTTCAGGAACTACAATGATTTACAAAATCAGAACCCCTATGCTATGGATTTACTTTTAGTTTATGACTCATTCTCCCAGTCAGAACTTCAGAAGATGCTCCATCTTGACAAAGCTATTTACAGTCAATTATTTGTTGAAAAAGCACATCGCCTGTTTGATTTCTAGGGATATAGCTTATATATCTTTCTAGACAACTTTATCTACGGTGAATTGATTTTAAGTTGAAATTGATAAAATATTTCATCTTATGATGAAAAGAATTCTTTGGGATAGCAATACCAAAGGAAAGGAAGACATGATTGAAGTTACTGCAATTCACAAAACTCAACTATCCCCCGTCCCCCAACCCAATATGATTACAAGTTATTACATTCTGGACTAGTTAAAAAACAGTTGCTAGTTTAATCTTCCATAGTCAGGAAGCAATTGAGAAGCAATCTATCTGAAATTGTGAGTAAATATTGGGCTTGTTCCACTAATGTTGAACCAAGAGACCAAGAATCACAAGGATTTGTTTGAACCAAATAAATGTTTGTCCTCCCACTTGGTGCAGTTTCTTACATGTCATTTTGGTGTTTGAAGCAAAGCCAAAAGTAAGAAGCTAAATCTTTATTTAGTGACGTATTCTCTATTGTAATGCATCTGTCGGACCACGTTGTAGCATTTTCTAAGGAATTTATTTTACTTATGTTGTGCAATAGGGTTTTGAATTCTGATTCTGGCCTCTCTTTGGTGTTCATGGATTGCAATCTAACAGGATTACAAAGAAAATCTGTGTTTTATTATAAAGACATAAATTCTGTATTATTATTATTATTATTATTATTATAGTTATTTTTGAAGAGAAACTAATTCAATTACAAATTTTAGGTAAATTAGATGGATTTCTGTAGCTCACGGTTAAATCTATCACTCTCTATGTGACGGACTTAGGTCCTGTAAGCTCAAGTAAGTATATATCTTCAGTCCATGATCCCATATATCCAACAAAAAATTGAGATTGGACGATTAGCATTAAATCAATAGAAGACAATACAAGTGGCTTTACCTGATGCGAGCTCATCATTAGTTACTGAATTAGAAAAATAAATGTTCATGATCAGAAAGATCATTACCAAAGTCAGTGAATCTCCTTCTTGGTGCATGAAGAAACTCAGCATATTCCTGTTGCCCATCTTCTGTCTTGTGAAGTTGCAGCACTAGTGGCCTCCGTGTGACAATACCTTATAATGAACATCAATTAATGTAATAATGATCAATCATTGCTTCAAATAAAATCAAAAGGACCATGACCACCAACTAGCTATTTACAATGAAATTTCTAGAAGAAAAAAATTATATATTTCCCGGCTTACAAGACAAAGCATGAAAAACTAAACAAGCATTATTTCCAAAAATTTGAAGCTTTTTTTATCCAATAAACAAGAAATATTTAGTGTCCGCGTCTGCTTTTTAAAGAAAAAACATCTTAATATTAAAAGAATAGGTTGAAATAATAACAGTTCAAAAGAAATAATTTAAGTGTTTTGGATTAGTTCTCTAACTTTATTACGAATAAGAGTAATTTTACTATCCTCCTGTTAATCCTTCCACAAATCCTCCTCGAAAGTATTAAATAAAAAGTAAATCGTTTAATGTCTTAGAAAAGTAAAACACGTACAATACTAGAGATAAAAAAAATGTGGAAAGATGATGTAATTTCAAATCCTCATAAGACAGACAGCTCCAACTAATTGTTTCATGCAAGCAGATAAATAGCAGCAATAAACTAGATAATTAATAGGTTTTCACCTTCATTATTATTTAAAATTTATTAGAAACTCAAATTAGTCTCGTTCACTCCTATTTAATTACCCGTAGTCATAATTTTATATTTTTCCATAATTTTTTTCAATAATAAAATTATATTAAAAATAAGGTTAGCGTTCTTTCTTTTGGAAGAGACGAGTGACTTAGTCGGAACCTTCACTGCACCGAAGATGAGTTACATGCATTATTTTTTATCTAATCATGAATTACTTGATTAAAATATAGTTATCACTTGTGTCAACTTGGATGTTACTCTTAATCACTTGGTTATTGCTTCTGTCAACTTGGCCGATTTATATTTCGTATGTTTTCATGACATTAAATAAATTTATTTTGTTAACACATACTTTCTTCATTAAATTAAGATTTATGGAGAAGAATAGGAAAAATAAATGCAAATTAAGTAACCAAGTGAAGATTACCAGATCCACGTGGCAGAAAATCCCTTCCCACGACACTTTCCAACACTGACGATTTCCCTGAACTCTGATTCGTATCCAAATCGCAATCAATCGATTACACAGAACGAAGAAAAGGTCACAATCGAAGAGAAGCACGCGTAACGTAAACGCACCTGACCTCCAACCACCGCGACGGTGGGAAGCGCCTCCCACAGGGACATTCCCTCGCCGCCGTGGTCGCCGAGCACCGTGCAGGCGCGTTGGATCTTGTTGATGAGACCGATCAAGCTCGTCATGGTCGCCATTTTGTCGAAGAACGACGAATGCCAGAAACCGATCCCAAAACACGGTTATACAGTGAGACTCAGTGGGGAATGAGATTGGTCACTTTTCTCAGGTTTCTTTCTCTCTCGAAAATTGACGCGTTGCGTGTATGTTTGTTTGCATGGGGGAATGCAGCAACTAAGGGTAATGTAACTGAATGCGTTAACGCATGCATTTTTATTTTATTTTTTAAATAAAGAGTATGTGGAATAGAATGAACGTGACACGACATGGTCACATTTACATCTACAACAATCATTCTCAAACCCCAAAAAGTGTTAATTTAATCATCTATTATGCTTAATTAGGGAAAAAAAGACGACGAGAAAAATAATACATAATTCTTAAAAATTACTAAAAATATGTTAAGCTTAAATTTCTTTTTTATTTTAAAATTTATTAAAATATTTTTATATCTTTTTAAGATTAATATTAAAAAAAAAGTCTCACGTTAATTATCCGAATTCTTTTTATTTAATATAAATTATTTTTATATTGAAATCTTTCAATATTAGCAAAACTTTGATACGAAAATAATTCATATATAATTAATTAATAAGAGAAACAATTTGTCAAATCACAATTTTTTATTTTAATATATCTATGATTATCTTTCAAATTCTCCATTAGATAATGACCATTATAAAATTAGCATGCTAAAGATCACCTAATTTTATATCGAACGTCAATGCAGCATTTTCGTTGTAGCTACTTGGGGAATGTCTGAATCGGTGACACAATCCAAAGGAGAAAAAATTGAGAAAAAATGTGCATTAAACATCAACATTCCACTATGTTTGTCAATGAACTGCTACGTTTTCACGCTTTTTTTTTTTTCAAAGATAAAATGAAGACTTTGTTCGCTTATAAATTTAGTGTGTGCTATACGTAAATGATAAGTATCAAAATTGAGTGAAAAATAGGATCTTTAGGCACTTAGCAAATATAATGTTATAATTTTCCTCAAATTCTAATGATTTTTTTCATGTTATGCGGTACCAAAAATAGTAAGGAAAATCTAATCAAAGGCTATAAGAAATGGAGAAAGAGGAGTAAAAGAAATCACTACTGCAGAAAAGACTTTTTACATCGGTTAAAATGGGCTTTCGACGTCGGTTAAAGCGGCGACATAGATACGGGGGTCATAGAAAGTAAGGCTTTCTACGTCGGTTCCTAATAACCGACGTAGAAAGTAAGACTTTCTACGTCGGTTAATAGGAACCGACGTAGAAAGCCCTACTTTCTTTGAGCTATTATGATCGGTCAAACTGGTTATGATCGGTCATAGAGCTATTCTGATCGATCATAACTGGTTCTGATCGGTCACAGAAAGACTTTTTACGTCGGTTAGTCGGGAACTGACGTAGAAAGTCTTATTTTGTATGAGCTATTCTGATCGGTCATAACTGGTTCGATCGGTCATGAAGCTAATCTGATCGATCATAGCTGATTCTGACTGTCGTAATACTTTCTATGTCGGTTAACACTTATAACCGACATAGAAAGTCTTACTTTCTATGTCGGTTAAAATTATAACCGACATAGAAAGTATTTTCTACGTCGGGTAATGACATAACCGACGTAGAAAGTGTTTTTTTTTTTAAAATACCTGCATTTTATTTACAGATGCTACCTTTCTTCGAGTAGACCTGCCTATTCATCACAGTTCCAGACAAATAACCACAGATCCAGATGCAGACAGATATGCACAGTTCATATATAAATTTGCTACGGATATATATCCAGATGCAGACGATTCGATTAGTGCAGATGATATGTACATATGAAACACATTGAAATGAATATATGTACAGACAGATCCGAGTTCCAGACAATTCATTTACTTAAACGAATGTAAATTTCCTAACTTAAATCAATTCTATCTAAATTGTTACAAGTTAAATTTCCTATGAAGATTGAATGCTTAAATTTCCTATCAAGTTGGAGCATTCTCCCAAAATCCTTCCATATGGTCATAACGGATGGCATGCACATCATCTATTTCTACATTAACACTCAAGTTTGGCATATTTGAAGAGAAACATGGTGTCTCGAGTATATCAAGTACTAATTCATCATTCTCATCAGAAGTATACATGGGTTTTCCTTGTAGAACCACTGACCATCCTTTGTTAGCGGGATCAGTGACATAAAACACTTGTTTTGCCTGAGATGCCATGATAAATGGTTCTTCGGTATAACGAGTATTTTCAAGGTTAACCAAGGTAAGAATCCAAGATCATCGGTGAAGATGGCAGTATTAAAATCAACCCACTTGCATTTAAAAATAGGTACTCTGAATATCGTGTAATCTATTACCCAAATCTCTTCAATTACACCAAAGTAGCCCATTGACGCCCTTATCAGATATTTATCCTTTGAACTCGAGAAATGCATTGATTCAGCCACCACCATGACTCCACTATTTTGCATTGTGCTTATTTCATCTTCTCCCTTTGTATAAAATGAATAGTTATTTATATCATACCCACCCCAACATATCACATCAAAGTTTGGCTCACATGCTAGCCACTTTAGTGTATCGAAGCTCGTATTGTCACCTTCAACTTGTTGTTTAAACCACTTCAAAAAGCTCTTGTTGTGTTCAGTGATCACCCACTTTTTAGGCATACGTGGATTATTTTGCTTCACAATCTCTTTATGAGCACCTAAGTAGGGGATGACTTCTTCACTGTTATTCAATATGTACAAATGCGCTTGAAGTACTTCATCTCGACACATTGTCACAACTTTTGCACCTCGAGTTCCTCTACCAAGACCTATTCCATGGTAACGAGTCTTAGGTAACCCTATAGGTTCAACTTCGATAAGTAGTTTGTGCAAAACTCAATAGCTTCATCTCGCAATATATCTTTGAACAATTGATGCTTCAGGACGATATTGGTTCTTCACATACCCTTTTAATATTTTCATGTATCGCTCAAAAGGGTACATCCATCGTAAGAAAAGCTGGACCACAGATTCTAACTTCCCTGGCTAGATGAACAATCAAGTGAACCATAATATCAAAAAATGATGGAGGAAAGTACATCTCAAATTGACATAATATTACTGCAGACCTCATTCTCTAACTGATCCAAAACATCCGGGTCCATAACTTTACTACATATGGCATTAAAAAAAAGCATAATCGAGTTAAGGAATATCTAACATTGTCTCGGTAAGATACCTTGAATAGCCACAGGTAGAAGTTGTTGCATCAATACATGACAATCATGAGATTTTAACCCAAGCAATTTGAGATCTTTCATAGATACAAGTCTCTTCACATTGGAAGAGTAACCAAATGGAACCTTCACACCTCGTAAAAACTCACAAAAACTTTTTTCTCTTTTTTAGACGAGTGTGTGACATGATGGAGGCAAGTATGTTCGGTTACCATGAGGTTGAGGAGCTAATTGTTCTCTTATACCCATTTCAACCATGTCCAAACGAGCATTGACACCATCTTTTGTTTTTCCTTGAATGTTAAGGAGCGTTCCGATGATACTTGTCACACACATTTTCTCTACATGCATGACATCTATACAATGCCTCACATCAAGAACCCTCCAATATGGAAGAACAAAAAGGATTGACATTTTCTTCCATATACCCGTGACTTTCTTTTGCGTCTTTCCAAACTCACACGAAATTGCACTTACTCGTTGATATACTTCTTCCCCACTTAAAGGTGTTGGGGCTGCATCATTTTCTTGACACTCGTTAAATGATTTTTTTAATTTACGATATGAATGGTTTGAAGGAAGAAATCTTCGGTGTCCAAGGTACACTCGTTTTCCTTCCATGTTGTAGTTGATAGTGACATGTGTCTTCTTCACATATCGGGCAAGCTTTATGTCCCTTTGTGCTATAGCCACTCAAATTACCATATGCTGGAAAGTCATTAATTGTACAAAATAACATTGCACGCAACTTGAATAAGTCACCTGTGTACCCATCAAACACATCAACACCTTCTTCCCACAACATCTTCAACTCTTCAACCAATGGGCTTAAAAAAACATCAATGTCATTTCCAGGTTGTCTGGGACCCGAGATCATCAAAGATAGCATCAAGTACTTACGTTTCATACACAACCACGGAGGTAAGTTGTAAATAACTAACACCACAGGCCATGAACTATGTTTACTGCTTAAATTTCCATATGGATTCATTCCATCTGTAGCAAGTCCAAACCTAATGTTTCTTGGATCATTACCAAAATTCTGGAAGATGGAATCAATTTTTTTCCATTGCAATCCATCTACCGGATGCCTCAACTGACCATCTTTAATACGACTATCTGCATGCCATCTAGTGAGCTTTGCATCATTTCCATTAGTGAATAATCGTTTCAACCTTGGAACAATGGGAAGATACCATAACACTTTTGCTGGGGTACCCTTCATAACATCATTGTCAGAATCACCATCCTTCTTCTTGTATCGTGATTCCCCGCATTGTGGACATTCGTGACAGTTCTCAAATTCTTTCCTGTACAACACACAATCATTCGGACATGCATGAATTTTTTGGTACTCCATACCCATTGGACACAATATCTTCTTAGCATCATAATTGCGGGTTGACAATGTGTTACCTTCAGGGAGCATGTCACTCAACAACTCAAGCAATTCCGTGAAACTTTTATCGATCCACCCATTCTTTGCCTTCACATTGAACAATTTTAGTACCGTCGACAATCGTGTGAACTTAGTACAATTTGTATACAAAGGCTCTTTTGCATCATTGGACAACTTCTCGTACACATGTGTGTGTTGGAAGACATCTTGTCCAAGCTCACGAATCATTTCCTCCAGCTCGATCATCCATCTCTAGATCAACTTCTTCTTTGTCTTCTACACTTGGCATGTTTAATAATTCACCATGCCATGTCCACTTTATGTAACTCTTTAGGAAACCATCACAAAGAACATGTTCCCGAATAACTTCGATCGATAATCTTTGCTCATTCAAGCGAGTTAACACAAGGGCAATAGAATCTTCCATCATTATCCGGAACATTCATCTTAGCAAATTCAAGGAATTGTTCTACTCCACTCTCATATTCATTTGTTGTTCGTCTATAATTGATCCAACTCCGATCCATTGTTACAAATCTAATTTTCAAAATCAAATTAGCTACGAAACACGAAATAACTACATTATAATGCCTACACGAAATCCAACTCCACTCTCAAAATAACTACATTATAATACAAATCTAATGTTCAAAATCAAAATCACGAAAGAATGCCTACGAAACACATTCAAATGACTAAACTACTTACAATACATCTCTAAATTAGCTAAAGGCACCCGTGATGTTTCCCTCTCTTGACGAGCATTATTACTTACTAGATTCAATACTCGTAAACCTACATTGGCTAAAGCAAGCACGAAAACTTACCTCTTGAAGATCTACAGAGGTGACAGGTGGCGTGACGTGCGGAGCCGGGTGGGGAGAAACGTATCCCGGGCGACGGGCACCGGTAGCGGCGAGGCGGCACGAAGCGTCGGCAGGTGGCGTGACGAGCAAATGTGGGTGCGGAGAAACGTATACAAGCGAACGGGGAGCTCGGTATGGGTGAACCGATGAAAGGAAATGGAGCGTAGGGAGAAACGTACGGGGAGCTCGCTATGGGGGAAGTGATGAAATGAAATGGAGCGCGGGAGGAGGGTAAAACAGAAGATACTATGTCGGTTGCCCTAACACCCGTCATCAAAGACACTTTCTACGTCGGTTAAAATTTACCCGACATAGAAAGTTCACTTTCTACGTCGGGTAAATGTTACCCAACATAGAAAGTTAACTTTCTATGTCGGGTACATTTTAACCGACGTAGAAAGTGAACTTTCTATGTCGGTTAAATTTTACCCGACATAGAAAGTGACATTTCCACTTACTATGTCGGTTAAAACTTACCCGACATAGAAAGTTTATGATTTTATTATAAAATTGCCACCGCGCCACATACTATGACGGGTGGATTACGACCGTGATAAAAACCCGTCATAGAAAGCTATTTTTCCACTAGTGAATTAGTCCATATACAACTTGAATAAAAGAATAAGAGTAAAAAAATATAACAAATTTCGTTGAGTGAAGAAAGTTTTGCTTCAACGAATATATTCCGCTTTAGCAAAATCATTACAACTTTAAATTGATTCTCGGACAAATTTCGTTTAAACAAGTAATTTTTGCTTCAGTGAATTACAATAAATTTTTTTTTCTCAGCTTCAAAATATATTTTAGAAATTATAAAAAACAGTTTTTTTTGATTTTTTTTACATGATTTTTTTAGTAACGTTCTCAAACAAATGGATCCTAACCCTAAATTTAACTCTCTATGTCACTTTCACTCAACATCTTATCTTCACAAACAACTTCCTCCATGTTACAGAAGCTTCATTTATTGAATATCCATGACTGCTAAAAATATTTAAAAAGAAATGAAGCAAAACAGCAACAACAATTGTATTGAATATCCTGATGAATTAAAAAACCATATATATATATATATATATATATATATATATATATATATATATATATATTTATATTCGCACAAAGCTTTATTCATCGTGATGCACCAAACTATCAAACTGCATGCAACACGTAAAAGTGACCAAATTAGAAACAAACAAGAATAAAGACGGAACGTAAATTTATTTTATATTGTTTTTCAATTAAAATTAGTTTTATCTGGATTAAATCACCGAGATAAAACTCAGATTCTAATCAAAGAACAATGTAAAAAGTGAGAAAGTAACTATATCTGTGCTGTGTCCCAACAGGAGTTGTGTAGGTCAATCAGAAACAAGGGCTTCCACAAGGCCAACAATGGCAGTAATAGGGTTTCCAAAAATAGCTGAAAATATTAGCCTGAACACCAACACAGCAATCTTGGTGTACTTCTTCATTGTCCCTGACCTCCTTGACCTTCTTCCACATTCTACCATCTCCAACCTATTAATTCTCACAGCAACTTCACTGTTTTCTCTCACAACTTGAGAAAAATAACCTCTCTTCCAATTCTCAAGAATCATCTCCTTCACACACGACACATGGTAGCAATAAGTTCCCCCAGAAGACACATAAGACCACCCTTTAACTCCCTCCACAACATTCCTGTGTTTACACTTCACGCACTTGGAGGGAACACTCTTACACAGTTCAAGCGTCACACACCCTTCTTCATCAGAAATTCTATCTTTCAGATTTAAACAGCATGGATGTAGATCATACCCTGTGCGGGAGCAGTGGTACACAAACCCTAGCACATCGTTTCCACAACCATCACAATACCTGGTGCGAAGTCCTGGGGCTTTCTCATAAAACTCGAAGTGACTCTTCGGGAAAAAAGGATGAAAATCATGGGAAACAGCATTTGCACACTCCTCATGGAGAATGTAACTGCAGTTATCGTTTTCACAGTGATAACTGCGTCCAAACCCCATTTCTCTGCATCCACTGCATCTGTATGGTGCCCCTGGTGGCTTCACTTTCATTGCTTGGGCATGGCTGGGACAAACCCTCGTAGTCATTTCCATGTCTCTTGTGACTTTTGATAATGTTGGAATTAAGAAGGGTGTGTGAAAAGGAAATTAGTTCTGTGGAAACAAAGCGAAAGCAGGAAATATTATAGAGCAGATAAGGAAAAATATTCCTACGAAGACACCATTGTTGTAAGTAAAAATATCTATTTATAGGGACACTTTAAAGTGAAAATAGCTTTATTTCCTTAAAATAATTCTACCTAATTGCTTGGAAATATTGATAAGGAAATTGGTTATTGTTTTCCTATCTTCTTTGATACGGCAGAAAACGCGTAGTATATCAGATGAGACAAACGAACAAGAAGAATTTTTGTGTTCAGATTCTACATACATTTAACCATAAACATAAGATTGACACCAATAACGAATTACTCAAATGATGTAAAGGTTATATAACAAGTAAAAACTTGGTCAGAAACGACACTTATTAAATAATAATTTTGTGAAATTGAAATATGAAATATATTTTATCATAGATTATACCAATCATTGTTGTTGCGTTTATTTGATAACCCGCTGCAAAACCATTATCATATGGTGTGTGTTGGAAATCATTAAAAAAGGTATAAAATTTTGTTTGTTTATAGACTATCACACAATTTTATTTTATTTTTATGTATAGGAACTAAGTTTGCATAGGAATAAGAAATTAAGAAACAATTAAGATATGAGTGTATTATACGGAACGAAGAAGAAAAAAGAATGAGATAAAATCAAACATGATAACAAATATAATATTAATCGCTGATTATTGGATGTACAATAGTAGAACAGCGTTTACATTTTTATTTTAGCAAATACTCCTTAAAGTTGTTTTTTTAATTATGAAATGAATTTTGTTAATCTTTATGAAATATGTATAAAATTTTATCTTTTTCATATGTACTACTGTTGTCTCAATTTCTATACATAATTTAAGAAAAACAATGAATACTAATGGACATATTAGAAAAACTAAAAGTTGTAAATAATTTGAGACGGAACAAATAATAAAAGAGTAATTAATATTATATTAAATTTCAAAAATAATTGTTAATAAAAAATATTAATTCCGACAACTTAAAAGAAATAGAGAAAACAATTCCCATTGTTTATATGATCAAATCATTTGCACAGACATTCAGTTTTAATATATATCCTTATCTTTCAAAATGTACACAACATGTCCTCAAGTAATTACTAGGACTTTGAGTCCTTCCCCATTTCATGGAAATTATAATTATTATTATTATTTTAAAGTTCCACTTCATTGCCCAGAAAAGGAGATGGTTATTTCCTGTGATTTTTTTATGTGACAACCAAAGCCGTGTCAACTTCTTGTCTTTCAAAAATATCCTATATTTTAGATATTTTTCTAAGATAATTGCCACTTTTTGAAGACTTGTTAAGATCCACGTGTGAGATGTCAAGGTTAAATTATTAATTAATTGGAAATCATACATAAAACATTAGGTCATATTCAAAAAATAAAATCGAATACGATATATATCAGGTCTTTTGGGATAATATGTCACATTCAAGTTATTTTACATAAAGGTATATTGTGTCTCTTATATAAAGAAAAAAAGTGAGAAAATAAGTTATTTTAAGAGTAATTCTTACGTGATATATAGATAATTTTAAATCTTGTAGGTATTAAGGTTATTTATAATCATTATTATTAAGTGTTTTTGATGCCATGGAGAAATAATCTTTGCATGTTATCACAGAGGATAGATACGATCCATCGATTTATTGAAGGGACTACGAAAGTATTATTGTGGTTAGGCTAAAAGAGACTCTTCAAGCATAGATCCGATGGGTCATATATATCTTTGTCGAATATTCCTAACATCCTTCAAGCGGCCACCCATACCTAGTTCACAATATTACTGATAAGCATTATTTTGGTGGTAATAGTTATTTTATGCTTAATTAAATAAGATTTGATATTATTTAATAGACAAGACTAACCTTTTTTTGTTTTATTGGGTATATAGTGCAAATTAAAAAAAATTACAAAATCGTTAAAGAAAAGAAAAAAAAAAAGGCAGGCGCAAAACCATTTCGCAACACGACCTGGTATGGGTTTTGGCACATGGATGCTGTGTTATTAGAGGCCCAAGCTTCCAAGATTTCTTTTATGTGATGCGTAACATTTTACACATTTTTTTGTAAGACTTTATCTTTGAGAATACTTTAGTTTTCTTTCCGTCCACTTGGCTTTTGAGAAGATTAGAGTGGTGAACTCCATGGAGACGTGAAGACAATTATCTGTCATTCTTATTTACTCTCATAATTATAAATGAATGTATATATAAGTATTATCTTGAAGGTATGTTTCTAACAAAATTAGATATATCATTTCACAAGCAAACATATACTCCGGTGCATGACACGGATAAACCACTAGTATATATTAACAAACCTGAACGAAGACAATCACACTAACTGCGTATTACAAATATAAACTGACAAAAGGAGTAGGGGGGGGGGGGGAATAAAGCTACCTATACAACCACACCACTCAGAAATGCTGAAAGAGTGAAAGGTTAGTCCAAGTTAATTGCCTTCCATTGCCTGCCTTCTTAGCCGCTCTCTCTCTAAGCGAGAACATAACACTAGGTCAGATGCATACCGAATCCTGCAATAGTTTTTCTTATCCCCAATCCATGGCTAATATCAGTAACACTGGTCCTCGGCATGCCAGTTACAATCTTACAATCAATTGGACAAAAACACAAGGGAAAAAACAGAGAAGGGCAGAAGAATGATGATGCCTATGAAATATTACTCCCGAGCGCCACAGTAATACACTAACTGTCATTGGGTGCTGCGTGTCAATCCACCCCTTGTCACATTTCTGTGCAAATCAGAGACTCCATTAGTCATATCCAAATTAATAGGGAGAAATCAGAAGCATAGAATATGTTATCCCAAAAAGTATAAAGTAAAAGGCATTAGGGTATATCAAACTGCAAGATTTGTCTATATTCATCCAATTCCCCCCAGTAACAAATATTTCGCAGTCTGAATCCGTTAGTTAGTTCAACTAATTAAGAAAATAAAAAAGCAAACAGCAACAAAAACCTTTATAGAGGCAAATTCTAGGTTCAACTGAGTGTTGAAATACTTATCAACATTCAACACCAACATGTCACCGGAAAGTATTTATGATGTTAAAATCTAGACAGTTCAATGAAAAATCGGGAAATAGATGCGGTCTATTTTTCTTTCATGCTTATAAGTGATCATAGGGAGAGGGGTTTGGGCATGTAAACTCCCACGGGTAAATTCACTCAGTGATATTGTTATTTACCCAGCAAATTATGCAGAACAAGTATGTGAACTGATCCGACCCCTTCCTCAAAAAATTTTAAAATTTTCAAAAACCCAATTTATCCCTCAAACAATGTTTACCATTAACATCGTCACATAAGCCCTCAAGACAGCCACTCAAGCATGCAGTGAAAAAAATTAACCCATATAAACCTGCATTTAACAGGTTTCAAATGATGCCTCACTTTTCCCCCATTCTGCTGACTAATTCGTGACACCTTCCCACTCCCACATAGTTTGACAGTTCTCTTCATTCTCTGTATCCTGAGATCGACACACCTCTCTTATTTTGATTTTTTTCTCCCCATTTCTAACCTTCCTCTCTCTTGGTCACTATCGGCAGCAGGTGTTGTGACCCTCTCTTCCCTCTTATTTTATAGTTTCTAACCCTCTCTAAGATCACTTTGGTTTGTGCAGATCATACTACCTTTGTTTTGGTTGCTTCTGAACATCACATTGGACTTGTTCTGGGCCTTGCCTTTGCAATATAACATATGATTTTGGTTTCTCTTTCTTTTCCATAGATTTGAGATATTAATAATACTATAACTACAAATAAATACCTAAATTATAGAATTTTTGTCGACTTACTAAAGGTATGTGTTGCTTCAGTTACACTATTTTTATGTTAACACACACTTTTATAGTTTTAGTAAGATCCTACAATCTGCCTGCTCTTATTAAATTTTAGGCTGTAGACCAGCAGAGAAAAAGCCTTCAGGAGCCCATGACCCAGGAAAATGATATTTTTATGAAATGTCCCTTGAAAGTAATAGTAAAGCAAGGAACAGAAAAAATCCACAGAACAACAACAAATCCTCCATTCCTATTCAGTTAGATTGATTAGTGCATCACACAATGCCATTGGACTTGATTAAAAAACAAATTCTCATGAATATTATTCACTATAGGATCTCCCTTAAAAGGATAAATTCATTTCATGGATAAAACTCTCAGCCTCAAATCATTTGTATAAAAAGGCAAAGAGAAAAGAGAAACAAGTGACTAACTGCATATTAGGGCAAGAAGGCCCAAAATAACAATTACCTTCCAGAAATTAGCTGTTGATGAGCACTGTTTACAGCACCCTTTACATTGCTGAACCGCTTTGCTCTGTTCTCTTGTTCTTTCTCAACACGCATTGCAGCTACCTCCTTCTCCATAGCTGCTACTTCCCTTCTCATCTTCTTAGCCTCAACTTCCATTGCTTTGGTCAATGTATCTACCTTCTTTGCTAACATCTGATAGACGATGACCATTGGAAACAATTAGCAAGTGTCATTTTCAAATAAAAAGGTCAAGGATTATATCCAAACACAATAAATGGACCACACACTTACCTCAATAGCATCGTCTTTATCTTTTAGGCTTTGATCTTTCTCATGACCAGCTTTCCTCAAGGTTATGACTTCCTTTTGCAGCAGGTCATATAAAACACCAGGAACACTATCCACTGAATCTACCGTTGGGAAGTCATTTGGCTTATCATCTGAATTTCCTTTCCAATTGTCACTTGCCTCTCTCTCTTTGGTTTCTTCAAGAGATTGGTTGAATGAGTAAATTGGAGGTGTTCCATTCAGCAGCAATTTGCTCCTTTCCAGTGATCTTGTACCACCATCAAAAGATTTAGATGTTCCTTTAGCATGCTTCAATACTGTGCTTGAGGATAGGGATGACCTCAGTTGAGAAGATGGTGATCTTTTAGATAAAAATCCATTAGAGGTTAGTTTTGAGAAGTTATCAGCTCCGCCTAGGGATTGACGACGACCATTGCTCACACTTCTTCCCTCTGGCGTGCCACGATTACTGCTGTTAGAATTTCCTCTCAAACTCTCCTCTAGTACTTTAAGTCGTAAATGATATTTTTCCTGAAAAAAAATTTAAAATTTACCATGAATAATGAAAGAACTAATCACCTAAGTTAATAGATAATAACCAGATTATTACTTTCAACTGTGCTTCAGATTTTGCAGCACGCTCAACTATAGCAAGCTTGTCACGAAGTTGCTGCATTTCTCCCTATAAGAATGCAATTTACAGTGGGGAAGCAAAAAGTGTGAGAAATTTATATTAAAGAATGAATATACATTAAAAGTGTAATGAAAGTCAAAAGCTTAGCCACTAAATTCAGATGAATTGGCAAAGTACAACACAAAGGAAAAATATTACCTGCAAGAATCGTCGTTCTTCAAGCCATTGTTTGACAGGCATCACTTTATCATTAGCATCTTTCCATTCATTTGCAACCACAACAGCTACTCTGTTTGCTGTTACCTTGGCCCGGGCCAACTCCCTGTCCAGTGTTTTTCTTTCTTCCTAAAGAATGTCAAATAAACCAAGCAAAAATAAATATGGCCCTAACTGACGCAATATAATCAAGAATAAAACAACTGAGAGTTTGAACTAGCTGAACATTTTAACGCATTACATTCATTTCTTGAACTTTCCGCTGATAATCTCTCACTGCATTTGCAGCTGCACCACCTGCAAGGACAGCCTCTTCTAGTTCTCTCACAGTTTGGGTGAGTTTTTCAACCTCTGCCACCTTCTGTCTATGCATTTTGTCCAAAATTTTATTTTCTTCCTGAGAAAGTTGATGACATAGCCAGAAGGTAAAAATTACATAGTATGATTCTGATGCAGCAAGAGAGAATAACCATACAAGATTGAATACCTGACAAATCTCAATCTGTTTAATTAGCTCTTGATTCTTATTCTGCAGATCATCCACCATTGAGGCCTTAGCCAAGGCAAACTGGACAGTCCTCTCAGCCTCAAGTAGTGCAGCTTCTTTAGATTTGGTAAGACGATCTAAAGCTTTGTTATCATCTTGAAGTTTGGCAATCTGCAAGGAATAAATGGAAGTAAATAGTCAATAAACAGTCATTATAAGCCAGTGTCAGTGCTTCCATCATCTGTTTCTCCAAGTGGTTACAATATGAACTCCAAGAACAAGGCAATACCTCTTGTCGAGCAAGCTTGAGCTCAGCCTCCAAAGGAGCAAGAATTGCTTCTATTGGAGGCATGTCATCATCTTTCTGGGCAGCATGGACCCTTCTAAGTGTGGCTTCAGCTGCAAATTGAGCAGCCATTGATGCTTTCTTTTCATCGTTGATTCTTTTTATCTCAAGATTCTGCCAGAAATATTCAATTCAGACAATATACCACCTAACCTAGGAATATGACTAATATTTACTATGGTTGATAGAGGCTTCAAGAATACCTTGCTTTCTAGAAGAGATTCTGTTAGTTTTAGCTTCCCTTCAACCTTTGACAGTTCTTCTGTCAGCTAAATACAAGCAAAAGGCAGAAAAGTTACATTTCAAAGCATGAAAAGGCTAAATCATAGTAGAGGTTAAAGCTTCAGTGTACTTAGGTAGCCTCATGAAAATAATGTAAAGAATGATTAAATTGCAAAAGAAAGAGAAAATAAAATGTATCATGACAATCGGATCAAATACAAATATTAGTATTTTATACAAGAAAAATTATTATGAAAAGAAAGTACAATCGGACAAGGGTAAAATTAAGGTATTAACTTTAGCAAGTTAAAAATTAAGTATCGCAAAACATAATTGGTGAATTTAAGACATAATAAAAAGCTAATAACTCTTGACACATAAATTACTAAAATTAGACAATGAAACTATAAAATCCAGTGATTTCATTTATATTATAGAACAAACACACCAAATGCAAAAACAATATTATCCAGAATACACAGAGTTAAGAGTAAAATAACCTTCCAGTAGGTAGAAAAAAAAAAGAGAGATAAGTTTCCTTCTATATTCATTTTTAGCTTTCATTTAAGATAGTCCACAATAAGTTAATAATAGATACTTTCAATTTTAAGAAAAAATAGCAATTTACAGAATTATGTTCATTAAAATACTTTAAATACCATCATCACTCTATTGAAATTCTATCTCACTCATTAATACCAAGGGAAAAATAGAAAAGTTATTTAATGCTGATAGTTTTTCAAATGACAAATTAAACAAATCACAGAATTCCAAAGCAAAAGATAAATAGGAATGGAAGAAGTAATAAAATAAAGGCTTTTCAAATGAGTGTCTAATGAAAATGGAAGCACAACTTTGATCTTCACAGTGTAAATGCTTTACTTTTCATTAAATACTTTTGTTTTATATCCCTTCACATGTGTCTTAGGGCACTCTTTACCAAACCAAACCATGAATCGGGTACACTATCTGGAAATTGGAAAGTAAGAGCCTAGATAGTTTAGCAAACCACATTGATTTGAGCTTACAAGAGAAGACACTTCAACGGGCAACCATTGGATGGTTGGGATCATGACATCCCCAAGCTTTTTCATATACATATTGTATAATAACTTATTTTAAAAATATTACTAGGCATTGAGCAACTCATTTTCTGTAACAATCAAGTCAATACCAAGATTTTATTACAATGACTATGAAATAAATTTCCAAATTTAACATGAAAAAAAATGTTAAAAGGTAGAACTTGTATCAATGCAAATACCAAATGGGGATTGTCTGACGTTAAGAGCATTCTCTGAATGCTATTTTGTAGAACAGAGGATCCATTACTTAGTAATGGCTTAAATTAAAGAGAGAGAAAAAAAAAAGAACGATAAAACATCCCTTCTTCAATTAGAGATGCTTTAATTATATTTTCCTCTCCTAATTTTAAGAAGTACACTCCCCTTACCCAAGAAATAAATTGGGATACACTTTAGTCCATCTTAATGTAAATGAACTTCTAAGTAACATGAATAAACTATAAACAAGCCTTCCTGAGCTATTTTCCTTTCTCTCTACAACTTTCAGTAAGACCCACCGCTAATTTAGGACATCCTATTTTAGGACTTCAGAAGAAGAAATTATGGTTTAAAAACTACTACTGCCAGCTTTGAAACTTTACCCAAAATCTTCATTTCATCTTTTACCTTCCCAGAGTTGATAATATTAATAGGGATTCCAAAGATGTCAATGATAGTAAAGTGACACTCAGTAAAATCATCCCTAAGAAGTTTGTTCACATTTAAATGGGCTAAAAATGTCAATAGAGATGAAGGTGTAACTTAAGAAATAAATAGAAAAGTGTAATTTATCCTAAAACATTAGTATTGGGTATTAAGTAACAGATTTTCTACATGTGGTCAACACGAGATTACACAATGACTTCATAGCGAGAGTGCTACATTTAACCCAGGGACACTTTCTTTCAAAACTACTAAAAGAAATAGAATGCTAGAGGAATTGTTACACATAGCCAAAATGAGAAAGGTAGCATCAAGCAAACCAAAACAGGATGGTTCAACGTGAAGAGCATCCTCCAATGCACTTGGGACAAACAAACAGAAAGAAATTGAATCCAATTTTCTCAGCAATTACTCCAACTTAGAAACTTAGTAAGCGCACTGAAACATTTCCAAATATGCCAACAATGTGTTCTCTCACGCTAGGAAATAATACAAGACCTTATTTAGCACCAACACCACAACCAACCGATAACTAATTGGAAATTAGTAACTAGCCTAATAGTATATCACAAAAATGGATAATTTATTACAATATTCAAATAAAAAAAAAATTCAATCAATACAACAAAGAACGACAATAATGAACAATAATTAAAAAATTAGCAGTAACCTCTTCAACAGCCTTTTCTCTGAGACGTTCAGAGAGCCTCAGGGCTTTGATCTCAGCCTGCGCTTCCAATAATTCCCTGTCCTTATCTGCAAACACAAACACATAAAAATCAAAACTCAAAATTCAAAAACCACAAAAAATCACGGCGAAGAACTCTGCGGATCGAACTGCATTTCCGCACCTCGAACTTCATTCTCGAGGCGATTGAGCTCCACCTTCACCGGATCCGAACCGTGCAGCAGGTTCATGAACTCGTCGGCGTCCATGCTCGGCGGCCTCACTCCACCGCGGCGCCGCGCCGAGCCTCTCCCCTCCTTAAACGATCCCGACACCGACAGCGCGGCGCCGTCGCCGGAAACCTCCGCCATCGCCGATCTAACCCCGAATCCGAAAATCGAAATCCTCTCTCTCACTCACATTCAACTGCTCCCACCACCAGATTCCAAATCGCACGCGCAGACAATGAAACACGGATTACACACCATATATATAGAGCCAGAAAATCGCGACCTCGAAAATGGTGGTTCTAGAGAGAGAAAGAGAGAGTGTGGGAAAACGAGAGGAAGAGAGAGAGAGTAATAGATGCTTTGGTTCTTCCCGTCTTTCTTTCTCCTTATGTTTATTTTGTCTTGTTTGTTTCTCTCTCTATATCTGCGATTTAAATCTGCTTTTCGAGTTTTAGAGAGAGGTTTAACAAATGAATAAACAAAAACAGTGAGTGAGTTAGTGAGTGTGCGTTGCGCTTTTGCAGAGAAAAAGGCTTTTTGGCTTTGTTCGCGGATTTGAGTTAAATAGTGAGAGTGAGTTTGTGACTGAAACTTCACTGCGATTTTAACTCTTCGATGTTAGTAATCTCACCCTAATTGAGTAGGGCTTATCGTGAGCTTGAAGCGTCGTGCGCACCCCCTGGTAGCGACGTGGGGCTTCATCTTTTGGGTGGTAGTGCGCGCTGCAGCGTAGGTTAGTGGGATTATAACTTGGCTGGTTTAACGTGTGCGGACAAAGCACCCACCCACACTTATAATGGTTTAATTGCTCATTAACTTGTTGGATTTAGAATGTCTTTCGATCCAAGTAGTTGGATAAATTCAATGCCAGTTGTAGCATCCTTGCATTCACCTAATTATGATTTCTCTAAATTCTATTACTGTTCATGTTTTTGTCTTCATATTTAAAAACTATGTTAATTCTTTTGTTTTATTTTAACTTTTACGTTCAGTCCCTGTTTATAATAATTTAAAAAAAAAATTGTGGTTTATAAATGAATATGCATTAATTATTTTTTCTAAAATACTATTAATTAATTGAGATATATTTCAAAAATAATAAATATTTAAAATATCTAACATTAATTTTTTGTCCTCTAGTTTAATTTGAGAATCTAAATATTCATAGATTCTAAAGTTTCATTCAGCTATTTTTACGTAAAGTCATTTTAGAACAATAATACAAAATATTGCCAAATTTATTGCTTTTAACTAGTTAAAAATTTGTTGAAATAGTTTTAAAAAACATGTTCAACGAAGTAATTATTTAATGGGAAGTGATGTAATTATTTTAAAAAGAAAATGAGTTATGCAATTTTGGTGAAAATAAGGTAAGTCGTGTTTAAATTTATTTCATTAAAAAAATTATTTTTTTCTCCACTTTTTTAATTCATTCTAAATTTATTTTTTACTTATCTTGAAAAATAACCTTAAAAAATAATTATTTATAAATGTAACCTAAAATTCTTATGTATTATTTTATATATATATATATATATATATATATATATATATATATATTATAAATTAATTTAATAAAGAAATTTATTTTATCTAAAAATAATATAAAAATAAATTTTTAACAATAATTTATTTTTAAGATGTAATAATTAAGATTAATTATTATTTTAAATTAATAAATTATTTAAAATAAAAATGATAATATTTATTTTGAATATCTTAATTATCTTATAATTTATATATTAAACTATTATATTTGTAATAAAAAAACTAATTTTATTAATATAATTTAAATATTTAAAAATATATTTTTTATTTAAATATTTTTTAATTAATTACTTTAATTTAAATATGTTAATATTTGTTTTAATCAATTCAAATTTTATTTATTAATTTATTGATTAATAAGATTAAATTATATTAAAAGTTATTATTTATTTTAAAATATAAATAAATTAATCTATTAATTTGTTCAGATAGCCGTATATTGGAAAAAAGTTGACTCTATGCAACTAGTTTCTTCATGATAAGAATTAACATAACTGAAAATTAAACTTAAATTTGTTCTAAACTTTTTTTTTTCAGTTTGAAATATATTAAAACTCGTGAGTAACTTGGATTAACTCATTAATCCTTTTACGGCTCATTGATCCTTTTACGGGTGGATAAAAAATAATCCATTAAAATTATTTTATTTTTTCTTAATTATATTTTATTTTAAAATTTTAAATTGAAAATAACACTCCCAGGTTTAAAAGCGTGCGTAACCAAACTCTTTGTTGTGTGTTGCCGCTAACAATCTTTGAGCACAGGACTCAGAGCCACAGCATCCATGGCGATTGAAACGCTAGTGTTAGGTATTCCCTCGTTCCTTTTTCCCCCTCGTATGGTGCAAGCACAGGCATCAATCTTACCCTTAACGTGGTTTGTTTGCAGGCGCTGGCCAAGAAGTTGGGAAGAGCTGCGTGGTGGTAACCATCAACGGCAAGCGAATCATGTTCGATTGCGGAATGCACATGGGCTTCTTGGACCATCGTCGTTACCCTGACTTCACCCTCATCGACCCCAATCAAGATTTCAACTCCGCCATTACTTGCATCATCATCACTCACTTGTTTGTATCACTCCATTCCCAATTATATTTTTTAATTATTATTAGCTTAAACTGTTCACTTGGTTGTTGTAGTCGTCTCTGTTTTCAGTTTCAGTCTTTATACGAGAACACTAAGTTTTAGCAGTGCTAGCGGATACTTTTATAACATTTGTACACCATTCGAAAGTAACATTGGAGAAAGATAATAGCATTCCATTTTGTAAAGTTGCTACAAAACTTTCTGTGAATGATAAGCCACTACAGGAATTTTTATAGGAACTAAAACATGCATTTTCTCGAAGAGAGACTAAAATATAAAACAGAGACAACTATAAGGAGAGGATGAAGAGTTTGACATCCTCACCTCACCCTCCTTCTTCTTATTAGCCTTTTAACTTTGCTTTGTCGTTTGCAAAATGGGGCAGTCATTTGGATCATGTTGGCGCTTTAGCTTACTTCACTGAAGTTTGCGGTTATAATGGACCGATTTACATGACGGTGAGTCCTTCTCCTGCTAAATGTTTGATAAATATTTGCCTGAGCATATGTAATGGATTGCAGAGTTCTCTAAAAAAGAACTTGAATATTTGTACTAGAAAGATTTGGGCTTAATTTAATTATTAATTGTAGCTGTCCTCCCCTAGTTTTTTTGTTACAATTCCTGCTTAAAAATACTATAATTTGATCCATATTTGAAAACTAGTTACTGAATCAGCGCCCTGTTCTTTTTCCAAGTTACAAGAGGGTTATATTCCGTTTTATGTTTAAATTCCTATGCGAAAAAAGAAACTTAGTTTTGGTCCTTCCAGGTAAAAATTCTCCATTTTGATAGCAGTTTTTCATTTTAGTTTCTATTAGGAAATACTCTTACCTTATTTTTAATTTTTTTCCGTTTAGAGACCAAAAGTGACAGTTTTTTCATGCAGGGAGGGAGTAAAACAAAAAGCAAGTCTAGGGACCAAAATTATAATTTTTTAAAATATATTTAAATTGTTGAAAATAGGAAAAAAGATCGTGAAACTAAACTGGTCTTTAAACGTGGCTTCCAGGTCAGTAAATTTAACTTGAGTTTTGTTTGATTTTAAGCAGTACCCAACAAAAGCTTTGGCTCCTTTGATGTTGGAAGACTACCGGAAAGTGATGGTTGATCGCCGGGGGGAGGAAGAGCTATTCTCTGTTGATCAAATTGCTGAGTGCATGAAGAAAGGTAATGTAGGATCCTCTCCTCTTTTCATTTAAAGTACTGCATCTATACTTTGGTTAGACAAGTATTACTTTAGACATGCCACTAGGAATACTGGCGTGTATTCTGAAGTTGGAATTGTGTGTGGCTGTTGGGTCAAGGATTTTAAATGAAGGAAAAATATTCGTTTTTTAGGCTATAAATGTGCCATTTTTTTTTTTCAAATTGATAAATCTTGGCAGATTTCATATACGTGATTTACATTTTTTGTATGCTTTTAAAACTTGTTCAGCTATACGTATCAGTAGTTTAGTGTTTGTTTTGGACTTTGGAACACATCAGGTTTCCATCCAAACACACCATGCTTCTGAGAATATCATCTCAATTTCATATCCTTACTATAGAAATTGTAATTTAAATTGATTCTCTTTGCAGTTACTGCTGTTGACCTGAGGCAGACTGTAAAAGTAGATGAAGATCTGCAGATACGAGCCTATTACGCAGGACATGTAAGGCTTGTGAGGTTCATCTCTGAAGCCATATTCAATTTTTCAGAAAAAAGTGTAACACCAGATGTGTTGCTTTTACCATAAAAGTTATTTCTTAGTTTGTGTTTATAAAATGAAAAGATGATAAGATGCTGAAAAATTGGAAAATCAATTCTTTAATTAGATAACATTCATAATAAAATGAGAGTGTATGGTAACCCATTTGAACATCCGCAAGTGGTAACCTTCTCAAAGTTCTAGTTGAATGGATCTGGTAACATTCAAGAATCAAGATTAGGGTTCTAAGACTAGCATAGCTTGAATTCTGGACAGTGGGGCATCTGGGTTGTATGATAAAAAAGTTAGATTTGTGTTGTATCAACAGCTGGGGATAAAGATTAAGGAATTAAAAGTTTCCTTTGTTCTGTAAAAGGAAATAATTTTCAATGTGACAGGGAAAAAATCAAGGGAGGCAGTACCGTGTGCATTTATCTTGTCTGGAAGTGAACAGTAGTCTAAGACTCTTCAATTGATGAAGAAAACTAAGATCAAAGGAAACTAGCCTTCAAAGGTTTTATTTTGTGATTGATCCAGTCAGGAAATCCACTTGGGCCCAATGAACTGAGACTAGGTTTTATATAGACATCCTTTAAATAGTAACAACTGGTAACCCACTGGCTTGAAGCTACTAGAGCCCAATGAGCTTTTAGGGAAATAAACTATGACTCTGTTGGGTTACATGATGCCTAATCTTATAAAATCATTGAGCCATTGAGGTGTTTGAGTTTTCCTCTTCTGTGTAGTTGGCCCATCAGTGATCTGTTGCTTAACAAAACATCAACTACTGAGGGAAGCCTAGTGCTATAAGGCTTTGCTATGGGTGAGGTCTAGGAAAGGGTTCAACCTACTACATGATGTTTATAGGAGCAAAGTTGTTAAACTCAAGGCTACGTAATCCTTATAACACTATCATTTTATTTCAGCATGTATTTGACCTTTTTAATCTCACTTTAGGGTTGCCTTCCTTATCCAATCTCTCTCTATATCATTATGGTATAATTTTGTTCCTTCAATGCCTTTTGATTAATGTTTTAGTACTTAAGCTCATCATTATGTTAAGGTTATTGGAGCTGCAATGTTCTATGCAAAAGTGGGAGATGCAGAAATGGTTTATACTGGAGACTACAATATGACAGCAGATAGACATCTTGGAGCAGCTCAAATTGATCGACTGCGACTTGACCTTCTTATAACCGAGTAAGAACATCATTGATTGTATAAAGGCACCGGATAACAAAGTTATCAATATTGTAGTGACAGTTATCAATATTGTAGTGACAGTGATAAATGTTCTTTTCTTTTTTTGTTTACTTCATTTTCTACAATGATTGACATTTCAACCTTTTCATGTACTATTTTATCTGCATGCATTACCACTAATTTCATTCTCATATTAATATTAATTTTAGAAATATGAATAATTCCTAGCCTTTTACCTAATAGCCTAAACTATTGGGATGTTGGTTCTTGAATTGTATCAAACCATATGTGCCAAGAGGTCATGTGATCTGTTTTTCCTGTCTTATTTTTTCATTAAAAGCCAAATGTGTTTTACTATTACAATTCCTATTACTGTTGCATGATATTCCAACAGGTACGATAATAAGCATCATTAGTCTTATTGCTATTCGGTAAATTTTCCTCTGTCCTCTAAATGCATCATCAGAATTGTACAAGAATGAGTTTCTGGCCCAATATCAATTGTAAACCAAAGTTGTGAAATTTTTTTATCTTTAAGCTATGCTCTTTAGACAGTATTCTCTGGTATTTGCTAATAGTTTGGATGAAACATTTTGTAGCTAGCTACCTACGTCAGATATAAAATTTCATAGATTGACACGGTCTTTAGTAGTTTTGTATATACATTCTATAATTGTGTCATACGGTAAATTTATCTGTGTTATCATTACTTTCTTTTCCTCCTATTGGTTAATGGTTTATAGGGTTTTAAATGCATGAATCCTATTTTGGGTTTACTGCTTGAAGTTATAAGGTGGATTTTCTTGGATACTTCTTTTATATGATTCTAAAAAAATCATTTCAGATCCACATATGCGACTACAATACGTGATTCAAGATATTCTCGTGAGAGGGAATTCCTCAAAGCTGTATGTATTTGCAACAATTAGTCTATGGTGCAATGCTGCTTACGTAACATGGTGTCTTCTTTTCTTTCAGACATTGATTTAAGAAGAAAACATTATTGATCTCACTTTCCCAGTCCTTTATTTTCAGTTAATTTTGTCATACTTTTGCTATTAACATTTTACGTAACATGTATTCATGGTGAGGACCATTTTTTGCTGATTAGAACAAGAGGTTTCGACTAAAGGGAAAAATGGAAAACTTGTGAATGAGTGTTATTGATGCTCCTCTTAGGTGCATTTGATTGGAATAGAATATTTAGAGTCAGCTGGTCTAGGAATATTTGTTTATAAGGTTTGTCGATTGGACTTGTTGACCTATATTGGCTGTACAAGTGTCAGTGATTTTTTTGTCTGGATCAAACCCTAAACATTGGTACATTATAATGTTTGGTTTTGGTAGTTGTGTCAAATGTTGACCCCACACTTACATCCCTGATATATGTTAATCATAATCAAATATAGAATTTTCAAAACAAATATTAAACAAGCATAAAATATTTTATGCAATAAAATTTATCACCATTGTTTCTAAGTTAGATTTATTGACAACTTTAGCATTAATTTTGTCTTTAAAAAAAAGTTCTTGTGTGTTTATTTGAAAGGAAGCAGGATAGTTACATGTTGTGTAGCTTAGATATCAAGTTACATTATTTTTTCTTTTTTACTTTTCTGCTTTTGTTTCTCAAAATGAGCTCGATCCACAGCTCCTCTAATGTTGGGTATTAAGTTTCACATTAAATTGTTTAGGTTCATAAATGTGTATCTTGTGGAGGCAAGGTGCTTATTCCAACATTTGCTCTTGGAAGAGCTCAGGTATTCTTATTATTAAGATCGTCATTCATCTCAATGATTGTAATTTATCTTTCCATTTGTTATAGCTACTGGATGAAGTACAAGCAAGTATTTCACTTACAAATTCTAAGTTTGTTTTCGTTCAACATATTTTGAAGAAATTATCACTTATTTTTTCCTGTATTTCGGGAGATCTTTGGAAAATTAAATGATAATTTCCTAGAGTTTAAGCTGTCCCAGACAAGCACTTTATCCCCCCCCCCGCCTCTCTAAACCATGAGTCACACAAGCAGTTTAATTTTCAAAACTATGATTTAAATGTAATACTTGTCTTATATTCACCTTGATGTTCCAATATCTAGGAACTATGCATTTTATTGGAAGACTACTGGGAACGCATGAATTTGAAGGTTCCTATCTACTTCTCAGCAGGTACATATCAGCTTGTAACTTTGTGTCAATGATCTGAATTTGTTCTATTGTTTTGTATATGCAAACCATGCAGAATCATTTCAGTCTAATCCTTTCCATTTATAGAGAACGAGATTTTCTCGTATTCCCTAAGATTTACACTTACTTTTGTAAAGCCAATTATGTACATTCAATACATTAAGTAAGGTATTGTCTTCTGCGCAGCACATAAATTTGTTTAAAATTTTCCACGAGTGATGGGCCAGGACTGACGTAGGCTTCCTCTTTTAAAGATATAATCACTAATGCAAAATATCATGACATGCTTTTTGGAACTTCTCCAGCAATAATCTCAACATTAATGTTATATGTAATGGTTACTAAAATTAATGGTATAAAAGTTTTGATCATACAAATCACTATAAAAGGTTAATATATTGTTGTAGAGGCTGCACACCTGTACAGGATCCAAACTTATCTATTTTTCTCCACGATGTTTATTTTTTTTTCCATTATTTGTTGGGGTATGTGCTTCATATTAAAACTAATTAGTAACTATTTGAATTCTTTTTTTACCAGGTTTAACAATCCAAGCTAATGCGTATTATAAGATGCTTATTAGTTGGACAAGCCAGAAGATTAAAGATACATACTCTAAACATAATGCTTTTGATTTTAAGAATGGTAATTTCAATTTTCATATTTTACCAGAAATTTTCTGTCTGGCATCATCATGCATTCATATGTTCACTCACATTTGTGTATATTTGTTCCCTTTTTTTTTAATGTTTGCTGCATATCTTTAATGCTGTGATACAGAGCCTTGACATTGGAGCATTCCTAAGTCGGAGATTATAGTTCTTTAAATTCAATAATTTTAACAGTTTGCTAAATAATTAATGAAATCAAATTTAAAACATTAATTTCAGGATAGAAAAAAGGTGAGGGCTTGGGGCTTATTGAGTTTTAATGATTAGAAATCTGGATAAGAAGGGATGTAGGTAAAGGGTTTAATCATTGTGAACAAAAGGAGTGGAATGGCTAAAATATGGTGTAGTTGACTGGCAGCTGTAACTGGTGCCCGAGAAGACTAGAAATGAATAGTTGCATTATAGGTTTTATAAAGAAAGCATGTCTACCATCAGATCCCTAGGCATGACATCCATATAACACATTGTACCTAAGATAGACCTTTTGGTGATATGGAACTTTTAATATTTTCTTTTCATATCTGGTGTTGACAAATTTCAATTTCTTGAATAGAAAAATGAAATCAAACAAAAGGAAATTAGTCTACTTTTGTTGAGAAATTTTCTTTTCATTGTTTTAATATATATATATATATATATATATATATATATATATATATATGACATAATGATGCTGTGTTGGTCTTTAATCTCTAATGAAACTTTTATTGAAGTTTCAAGGTCAGTTGGTAATAGTCTGAAGTAATAAAAGTAGAAGTCCTAATGGAGAATCATGTTGAAATATGTGAAATTTTGCTAATATGGCATATACTAGATCTGTTTTTAAACGAACTTATTCAAATTCATCCTTATGGAAACTTTTATGTGAAAACTGAAGAAATTAAGGTTAGAACTTTTGTTGCATGAATGTTTATCATCTGATAAGTTCTATAGCTCCTCATTCATCTAGTTTGGATGTTACAGTTCAAAAATTTGAAAGGTCTATGATTGATGCTCCTGGCCCTTGTGTTCTTTTCGCCACTCCTGGGATGATAAGTGGTGGATTTTCACTTGAAGTTTTTAAGCACTGGGCAGTGTCAGAAAACAACCTTGTCACTTTGCCTGGGTACACTCGTATTTCCTCTCTCTGTTTTGACAATACATTTCTTCTCTTTCTTTACTTCCTTTCTTTTACATTAGCCATTTTGATAACTGCCTCTTCCACAGTATTCTTTTCCTTAAGAAAAATTATGCATAAATGTATACCAAACAAATATGTATTGAGGAATTCCATTTTCATATACTTTCCTACCTGTTGTGTTCTGCTGATCCGTTACTCTTGTAGGTATTGTGTGGCTGGAACGATAGGTCATAAATTAATGTCAGATAAGCAGGCCAAAGTTGATCTGGATGCTAATACAAAATTAGATGTTCGATGCCAGGTAAATATTACTCCCTACCCATTTACCGGGAGATATATCTACTTATAATTCAGTGTTTTTATGAACTTCAGTTTATAGATGCGCTACATGGCATGGGTAGGAAAAGCGTTAGCAGCAGATACTAGTAAATAAATCAGCGAGAATAAACATCTTAACTTTCACAAATTATTACATCCTGAGTTTTCTTCTGAAGAGAGTAATATTTCTTTTCTTTGTTGGGTAAAAAACAAATTCCATCCTCCTCTGCTTGAGTTGATATTGGTACACAATGTATAAACTGATTTTAAGTTCATGTTCCACTTCAACTAATGGCTATGTTGCTGTCACTTATTGATGTTCTTCCGTTTATCTTGAAGTTGTGTTGAAAACTCGTGTGCTATAGAAATAAGACCAAGATGATAATACCATTTAAATTAATGTCCTAGTCTTGAAATGCTTGAATGTCGAAAAACAAGAAAGCTGTGTAGTTAAGTTGTAAATTGATTACTATATAGTATAAATTAGCATTGAAGGTTTGCGTCAGTTCATTTAATTTCTGGTATAACTTTGACTCATCTTAAATTGGCAGGTTCATCAATTAGCTTTTAGTCCTCACACTGATTCTAAAGGGATAATGGATCTTGTAAATTTTCTCACCCCCAAGCATGTGATACTAGTGCATGGGGAGAAGCATAAGATGGCTTCCCTTAAGGAAAAAATTCATTCTGAATTGGGGATTCAATGTTATGATCCTGCAAACAATGAAACCATATCCATCTCTTCAACTCACTATGTAAATGCAGAAACCTCAGATACTTTCGATCGAAGCTGCTTGAGTCCGAACTTCACGTTTCCGAAATGCAGTTCGGTGGACACATGTAACTCTACTATAATGGACAAAAACTTAATGCCTATGATTCAAGTTGAAGATGAAAGGGTATCAGAAGGAGTTTTGGTTGTGGAGAAGGGAAAAAAGGCAAAGATTGTTCACCAGGATGAACTTTTGCTTATGTTGGGGGAACAGAAGCACCAGCACGATACAATGAGCTGGACGTTGTGACATATTGGTGACTCAATGGATGGCTTAAGTGACAAATGCTCTTGGCCTTTGTTCTTATATTCAGAACTTCATAGCTACTTACCTTGAATACTCAAATGCTTGAAGAGCATCTCCAAATAATCATTTATTGCATCCGTCTTCTGTAGAAGCATCATTGTCCTTGCAGGATTAAGGAAAACTCCCAACATATTAATAACCAAAGCAGTGTATTTATGCTGCTCTGGTCAGCAGTGAATAATTGCAAGGAAACAAATATCAGCAATTTAGAGCATGAATACCTGGACCAGAAGTTTATCCCAGAGCTCTGAAGCAAGTACGTGAATTAATCAACAGAAATGGTTCATTCCATAGAAAAAGAATCAGACTAAACTGAACAGCATGAGTTAGGGTCATCCGTCCTTAAAAGGAGTTTTGGTTCGAGATTACAGTTTTGCTTGTTGATGGTAATTAATTCCAGTGGAATTTTTTTTTATGGCCTTAATAATTGATATATGTGCTCCTAACTTATTCCAGATTGGTCTTGTATGGTGTGTGTTTTTTTTCTAATTGTTCGGCTTTTTTTTCTAAAAGTAAACAATGCAAGGAAATTTATATGTGGGATCTTATTAAAAAGTAAATAAACAATATTGGTTTTATAAGGAAAGAAATAAAAAAAAAAAGGGAAGACTACTGTTTTTATTAGGTCCTGTTAACCAGTCGTTTAGAAATGAAACAAAAAAAATATTAAAATTTTTTAAAAACACACAATTATACAATATCATTAATCGTTTCAGTAAAAAATCCATCCGGCCATATTATATAAATCATTGAAAGGGTGGATCACTGAAGACGTGACCAATGATGGACAACAATTACAACTGACTATCACAGGTTTTCTCAAAATAATAGATACCATCAACCAATAAAATATCCCACAAAACAACTTTTAAAACGGAAAATAAACTTAAAACTAAGATTTATTTTAGAAAGAAACTTGAATTTTAGGAAGGTTTAGCAACGATGGAGAACGAGTTAAATGTGCTAATATGGGCTCGGGGAGCCGGGTGAAGGGTATGAATTAGAGTATCTTTGTTAAAAAGTTCAGATTTCTGTCTGAATAGATTCAAGTGACGATCTAAATTTCGTTTAATAATTTGAATAAAGGTATAGTTTAATAATTTTGGTTAAGGCAAGTTAACTCGAATAGAAACGAAACACTATTTATAATTCGACAACATTCTTTCCATTTCTACACTGAAGTTAGGTAGGGCAGTGTAGAAGCACACTTGCTCCTCTCTGAATCCTGTAATTTAGCTGCAACAAAATAAAAAAAGGTGGAACACTATGTATTCGAAACTGCAGTCATTTAAAACTTGGAAACAAACAAAATGCATAGAGTAATAACATACCGTCTCTCAAAACCAAAAAGTAAAGCAAGACGCAACAACATATATAAGAATAGTTCCTAAAACATGCAGAAAATCAAAAACTGGTAAAATCAAGCGTCCACCCTTTCCTCCTCCAAGATTAGAGTCTTCCCTGTTGGTTTTGCCAACAGATCTGTGTACTCTTGGAATGGGGATTTGGTGAAGCGAGTCTCCTTCCAGAATTCTGGTGTCAGGAATCCATAGGTTTTCATCAAGCAGTCAAAAGTAGCCTGTGAATAAATACAAGGCACAATCATTATTGGTGCTAAAAAACATTAACATTAGAGCATTCAATGAATGAATATGGCAACCCCAGTAAAGGATAGACACACAAATAATACACGATGCATGTTAAATGCTTCAATTGCACCAAGCACTTGACACACATCAAATCAAGTAGTCTTAGAAGTATTAAAAATCATCCTAAATAGGCCCACAAATTAGAAAGGATAATTCAAACAAGTGTCTCTAAACGTTATTAAACACATTAACATAGTTTAGTGATGAATATCCAATGCATTCATACACAATGAAGCTACTCCGCTTGCACAGTGCACTGCCCACATCTAACTTAAAAACACAAGGAAAAGGCGGAATTATAAATGATTCCATGACATTTACAAGACTTCTCACGAATTAAGTAATGATATAGTATATTTCTTTCAAAACATTCTTATCAATAATGATACATGGATGATATACACTCAACAAAAAACCAAAATGATCCACTAAAGGTTGCTTAGGAAAATAAAATAAGAAAAAACAGTTTAAAACTAATCTATACACGAGTTTAGAATCAAATAATGAAATAAATAATGCAAAACGCTTGTACAAATTAAATCATAAACAAGGTCGTGTTAACTTTTAATTCATTGTTCATGCTTGAGAATACAGCTAATTCAAACATACACTCAATCCAAAACAGTGAAATAAATTAAAACAAACAAATTAACACAAAAAGCATCCATTATTTGTCCATTCAAAGCAGTACCTAAAACCTTAAAAAGAGACTAATTTGTTTGAGAAAGCAACGCAAACCTTAACGAAATTGCCAAGGGTCTTCGTTGATCCTCTAGAGGAGGTGAAAACATCGTCGATTCCAGCAAACTGTAGCACCTTTTTGGGAACCCTAGCAGCGACAATCCCCGAACCCCGAGGAGCGGGAACCATCCTCACGGTAACCGACCCGCACTTGCCCGTAACCTTGCACGGAACGGTGTGTGGCTTACCGATCTTGTTTCCCCAGTACCCTCTCCTAACGGGGACAACGGAAAGCTTCGCCAGAATGATGGCACCGCGAATGGCGGTCGCTACCTCCTTGCTGCACTTAACGCCGAGTCCCACGTGGCCGTTACCGTCGCCGACAACCACGAAGGCCTTGAACCGGGTTCTCTGCCCGGCCCGGGTCTGTTTCTGGACCGGAGTGATCTTCATGACCTCATCCTTGAGGGTGGGACCCACAAGAGTGTCAATGATTTGGTGTTCCTTGATGGGGAGGGAGTGGAGGTAGATCTGTTCCAGGCTTCGGATTCTGCCCTCCTTCACGAGGCGGCCAAGCTTCGTCACTGGGACCCACTTCTCCTCCTCTTCACGGCGGGGTCCTCGGCGACGCCCACGGCCCCTGTCGCCGCCACGACCGCGCCCCCCGAAACCGCGCCCGAAACCGCCGCGGTCGCCACCTCCACGCTCTGCCATTGTGGATTGGGAGATAGAGAGAGATTGGAAGAGAGAACGAGAGAGTGTGTGCGGCGCGAAGATGAGGTTTGTTTGTGTGTGTGATTTGTAGGGTTTATGTGGAGAGAGATGGACTAACTAGGGTTAGGGTTAGGGAGGTGTTTGGTTAGGGGTTTTGTATGAACAGAGATACCTACTGTAAACGGGCTTACGTTTATGGAATGGGCTAAGTCGTTCATGACGGCCCGATATTATCTGAATTTTTTTTATGGGCCTCTTCTTCATATCCTTTTTTTTTTTTTTCCAAAGGCAATATTACTATACAAATTTTATTTGAGTGAGTTAACATGGGTTTTAATAAGGCTATTTTTTTTTCCAGTATTCCCATACTTTCTTCTTATACTTTTATATTCATCTAAAATGTTTAAAAAAATTTGGATTAACTTTTCTTAAAGGTTTTCAGAAACATTTTAGAATCAGTTTTCGAAAATATTCTGAAAAACTGATTTTAAAACACTTCTAAACAATTTTCGGAAAGGTCAATTTAAACAAATTCTTAAAAACTATTTAGAAAAAACAATCTAAAAATGAATTTTAAATTATTAAATTTGAAATATATCTTAAAAAATACAATTCAAAAATAAATTATGGATAGATAAATCCAAAATATATATTTCTAAAATATACAACCTAAATATGAATTTTGAATTAGTCTGTCATAATAATTTTTTAATATTAAAGTAAAATATGTTTAAACAAAGATGAGTGTGAAGGTGGAGCGCCAAAAACAAAACTGACCTTGAAAATATTTGTTAACATTTTATGTACTACAGACAAAAATTATTAGATTAGAGAAAGAAAGAGCTTTCGTTATAATATTTTTGGACCATCTAAAAATGTATTTAAGAATTAAATTGAAGTATCGTAGACCCGTTTTTTCTTTCCCCTTATTAATAGATAACTGTAATTCTTAATTAAATGAATATATAAAAGGGTGACGAAAAATAATAATTTATAAAATATTTTTTAAAATCCCACAAATTTATATTATATTTAGTTTTATTTCAAAATATAAAGTTACAAGCCAATCAGGATTTTAAATATCGAATCATTTGTCCTTAATATTAAATATAATAAAGTTCAAAGTCAATCAGGATTTTAAATATCGAATCGTTTGTCCTTAATATTAAATATCAAACATATAATTGTTGATATTATTATTATGATAAATATTCAATTCATTTATTTGATTAATATGAAATATTAATAATAATTATTATATGCATATATATTATTTGTTTCGGTATTTAACAGTAGATTATAAATAATATTTAAAAAAAAACTCATATTGTCATAGTATATAAATTTTTTCACAATCATATATAATATGTTGAGTAGTTTATGACATTTATTAAATATAATTTATTCATCAATATAATGTTTTAAGTATTGAATACTTAGTTATACTTAATATAATATCAACGTAACCCTAACAAATATCTAAGTTTACACTCTTAAGATGAACAATTTTCACGTAAAAGATTAGTTTAAAAATGATATATGTATTGAAAATACTTTACAATAATAATTTTGTAAGAATGAATTATTGATGAATTATTATAAAATAGCATACATGAATGTTCCTTATATTGAGAGAAGGTTCTAATTTTTGAGTTTACAGATACAAGCACCATCCTTGCAAGTAGCACGTGATCCAAGACAATTCATAAATGGAAGATATGGAATGCAATCCTTCTCTGTAAAACATTGCGATGAATCAATCACTCCATCTTTCAATACCAAGTTCTTCTTAAACTTCAGAAATGGACGAAATTTAATGCAATCCTTGTCTGTCAAACACTCAGAATCTTTCACTGCATCATTTTCTATTGCTACCCTTGACAATGAAAACCCTACAAAATTCCATATATGATTTTAATATATTTATATATAAAAAAAAATGTATGCAAAAGATAATATTATAAAACAAATATATACCATGAAAAGCTTCTATGGCAAAAATTACCAACAAAATAGCTAATTTGAATGAACCCTTTGACATATTTCTGGGTTTTTAGGACTAATTATTGATATGAAACTCAAATTGTGTGAGTAGGGAAAATTATTTTTTGGTGGTGTAGTTGATCTTGATCTTTTGAATATTTATAGTGGAGGGTGGAATTGAAATAAATGGAAGAAAATATTATTTATGTTGAATAATTAAAATCCAAATGATTTCCTATTTCTACAATTTGTTGACTTTTAGGTTCAAGATTTTTAGATTTAATTGAATATGGTTCGAGTGCATTGAATCTATTAGTTATTGAATCATTCGTTTTTAGTATGTGATTCACATTTTGAATATAAAAATCATGTTATTTTAATCATCCAATTAAATGTGATGTGAGATTTGATTGTATGCATGTATTTGGATGAATGTTGTATGCGTGTATTTTATGTGTGTCATATAAAACACCGTGTGGAGATAAATCAATTTTTTAATGTTTTCTTATTCTTAGAATCACATGGAACGATGAGTTGATGGAGATATATGCATTCCATTTTTATATTAAAGAGAATTATCAAACTTTATTTATATTTTCTACCCTCGTTAATGTAAAAAAGGGTTTATTATTCGTGTGATACAATAATTTATTTTTTTTAATTATTAAATAGATTTCTCAGTCCAGAACGTAAATTAGTAATGAGAATTTTAAAACTAACTATTTTACAATCAAAACAAATGATTTGGTATATAGAAGAATTTTAAACTAATCATTTCAGAATCAAAACGAATGATTTGGTATCTTATTAAGTTGAATTTCTAAATGTGAAAGTTGTAATACCTTCAATATTTTCTCTAAAAACATATGAAGATATTTAGTCAATAAAAAAAATGCACGATGTTTTAGACAAGACAAAGTGTCTTATTTCTAAAATTAATTGAAATTTTGTGAATATTATATTATATATTTATTTTGTATTTTTTTAATGATAAGATATATATCACAATATTATTATATATTGATATGAATCACAAAGGGGGTAATTTAGGATCTTTAGGATTATAACCTTGTAAGAAATTTAGGAATTAGAAAGAAGGTGGAAGGAAAAAATCACTCTTCCCAAGGGAGGCAACACACAAAGGATGTGGCAGTCCTTTGATACAGCCAAATATTCTTGAATCACTAAAGAACTTAGGAGAATCACTCTCACTAAGATAAAATAGATAAACTCTAATATTTCCAAAAATAAAACTCAACTTGTTATTTCTGATAAAAATAGTTCAGCTTATAAAGAAGTTTTGTCATCAGAGTTACAAATATTCATTAAAAAAAAATAAATGCTAATAATGATTTATTAACCTAAGAATTGAAAACTACTTAATGATTGATTATAACTGAAATTGTGGCATCCAAAAGTTAATCAGCTATGCACCATCTTGGTCTCCCAAAGACTAATAACTAAATTTCCAATTGGGCCCTTATTACAACTTGCAATAAAACTAAACTAAAACCCATTAATTGATTAATCCAAAACACAATTTGGCCAACCAACAATACTTGTTGAAAAGCTTTCTTTGTTTCCCTTGCTCTAGCCCTTATCATAGGTCATGTTCACATCATATATGTAGTAAAAATGTATGATTTTTAATTATTTTTAATATTGAGGATATTTTTTTATAGTATAATTATTATTTTTTATCTCATTTTTTAAAGAGGGATCATTTAATATTAATTTAATAATGAATTGTTTATTTTTAAATTATTAAAGTATAATTTTTAATACCATTATAATTGATTTGGATATATTTTATTTATATTTATTTATTATTTAAATGCTTAATAAAATAGAATAAAAATAAAATATTTTTTTAAATATAATTTAAAAATGCATAAATTTTTAGTAAATATAATAATAGCAAAACATTATAATTAATATGTCGTATTTACAGTATCAAAACACAGAGTAGATAATACCAACAATCTTTTTATGTCAAACACTTAATATTTTTAGTGGCTAATTAATTAATAATTAAGTAAATTTTTATTTTCATAATAACTAAATAATTGCATTATAATTTTTTAATGTTATAAATGTAGACAATACGCTATACAAAATTTAAGGTTTGTTTTAATCGTTAATATTTAGTTAATCATTTTAAATAAGCAACAGATTTTGTTCATATTTTTAAAATTGATACTCATAATAAGTATCGTATCATTCCGAGTTAAAATTAAGAATAATTTCTTCTTTAATTTATCAAAACACATTTTAAAACAGATTCAAGATTAAAGTTGACATCTATAACATATTTCCTATCATTGAATTATTTAATTATTATAAATTTATGGATTAATTATTTTATTTGTCTACACAAAACGGAAAATGCTCAAATAAAAAGGAATTAAAAGAGGCTTTGTTTTATTAATCACTTTTATTTTATATAACTATCCTATCGGAGCCCTTCATTCTTACAACCTTCAAACACATTTATTTAAAATGTTTCATTAATCAGAATCATTTATTCCTGACCCTCTTGATGGTTCCTAGAAAACAAATACCTGCACAATGAAGTGTATAATTTTAATGTTAGTAAATATAATTAAAATGTTGAAAACAATAATAATTGTATAAAAAAATGAACACAGGAAAAAATATATGACGTTTTTACCTTATTTATTTTGGTGTTTACTACAAACACAGTATCCTTCATAGCAGTGAACACGTGATGGATCACAAGGTAGAGAGCCAATGTTGCGAAAACAATCCAGCGGTGAATGACAAGGAACCACACCTATGTCTCCTCCCTTTGTGTTTCCTTCCCTTCCAAATGAACCACCTACAAACATAAACCAATGTTTTTTTATAACCATATATCACAAAAATTAACACCATAACACAAGGGATAAGTTCAAAACAAACACCATAAGAAGCTTCTATGGCAACCATTACAAACAAAAGTGCTACTATGGATGAAGTCCTCCACATATTTCCCATCCTTCAATCTCAATATATGA